TCATACACTCCTTTTGTCCAATCGTTCTCCTTTTCCATCTATTCCTCTCTCAATCCCATCCATGCCGTTATGTCACATACTTCATCTCTCGAAACCCCTGTCATGCCAAAACCAAGATTTTGTCAGACCAGAAAGCTCTGATAAACTCACGGCCCCCCCTATTCCACGCTCCCCTTGGCCTTCGTTTTGCAATGTGATCCCGAGGGCATACAGGCTCTACCAGATAGCTTTTGACATTTTGAGTGCCCAAATTCGAAGCATCACATTCCCTCAATCTTCTATATTCCTAATTGAGGACTAATGGACTTGTCGCCATTACCTATGGGAAATTGCCGATATATGAAGAACTAACTTGTATAAATATATGCAAGTCATCATGGTAACCATAGAATAGCCAGAAGGATATAATGAGCATCAGCATCAGCTAGCGAGGTAGGAAACAACATCATACAAACTTGATCAAGTCGCTTGGCAATCGCAATCGCTAAATCTGTAGGTTTATACAACGCCTGATGAATCTGATACGGGGAGGCTCCTTACGTAGGTTTGATATTCCTTTGTTCCTCTAGTTTCCCCGACCCACATGCCCATGGCCACTCAGCACCATATGTTGCACATATGCGCCAGTGATGAACAATGTATTTTATTTCCACTGCCAAGATAGACTACACGTACGCTCGTAGCTTGCTACAAAATTTCTCCTTATTTGCCATAGAGAGACGAGAATCTCTGAAATCCTACATCACGGTCAAAGACTACTGATACAGATCAAGATCAAGATAAGACAACAGTATAAATATCTGCAGAATATATCCATAGTTCCAAAATCTACAATCCAATCCCCATCCTTGCCCTCCATCGCCTTGCCAGACCCTAACCGAAACAACAGCAACCCAAGGGGAATAAAGAAAAGAAAAGAAACAAAACATCAGAACTAAAATTCAAATAATATTCATAACACAAACCAGTCTTTCGAAAACCGATATCCCGATCTGTTTTTCCAGTGATGGAGACCCTCTCTAAAATTCCCAGCCGGAGACCCATAAACCCGCAACACGAGACACCGAAACAGAATGAAAGGAGGAAAGATGTAGGAAATGGGGATGTAATGGGGAAAATGGGAGAATATGAAAGAGACTGCCATAAGCATATTCATAATAGAAACATAAAGGTGGAACCATGGAGAAGGATGGAGATATCACATCCGAAGATCGAATATATAGCCGATTGCTAACTGCCGAGGATTATAAGGTGGCATATCAAGCACAACCAGATGCCCTTAAGACCCTACATGTGATATGAGGGCCAGCAGGCAAGACAATTTCGAGCAGAGTAAAGCAGAGCATGCTATCTCTCCAGTCTCACATATCACTTTCACCGGGGTAAAAGTGTAGATGCTTGAAATGGCCATTCTTGTACAAGGTTTCTCCCTCGAACTGAGGGAGCCACCATTGAGAAAGAGGAAGGAGGAGATAAATAGGCAAGAGGGGAAATGAAGAAGAAATAAATCATCCCAGCGTAGTAAATATAAACAGACATCAGGGGCAAATGGGGGTAAAATAGATCAAAACGAAAACACATCACACAAAACCACATGAGACCAAAGCATATCAGACAAAAGCACATCAAAATGGGGCATAGAGCATAGAAAGGGGGGATCCATACGCATCGCTCGCTAGAGAAAAGGTCCAAGACGTCCATCCATAAAGCCGTGACGACAAAAGAAAAACAAAGAAAATTCAATACCGCAAGCCAACCTATCAAGACGTGTAATGTTTACAGTCTTCAAGGTGAAACAAATGAAGATGAGGAAGATCAGCCGTCCTCATCCGAGGGCTCGGCGGACTCCCCCTCGCTTCCATCGGCGCTAGCGTTGACCTTCGTTTTCTTAGAAGAGTTCACGCCATCGCCATGGATTTCACTTGACTTGCGCTTCTGCCCGCCTCCATTTTCGGTTGGCAATGGCTTGCTGAGATCCTCAAAGGTAACAGGCTGACCCGTCACCTCTTCTCGCTTCTCCATAGCGGCCACTTCATCTGCAGTCAGGAACCGTCCACCGGGTCCACGCGGTCTTCGCATGGCGTGGTTGTGTCGTGACTCGTGCAGATAAGGCTTGCGACCCTTGGATGTCAAGCGTAGCTGCTCCTCCAGCTTCTGTCGCGCTACGCGACGCTTCAAAATTCTGTGGAACTGCTTGGCATTCACATACAGGGGCGACTCTTCTTGGTTGCCGCCAGGTACCATGTCAGGTGAGGGCTGGTTCTGTTGTACGGGAGCCTGGGGGAGTGGTGCAGCGATAGGGGCCCGGCCGACATGGCTCATGACAGGCTGCGCACTCTGTACATTAGGGCTACCGACATGGCTCATGCGACGTTGAGAGAGTTGCTGGTTTGGGGGCATCTGAACCTGCGATCCCATCGGGGGCATCTGGTTTTGCATCTGCGGTGGGGATCTGGGGTCACGGTCCTGCTTCATTTGCATGCTTGCCATGCGCGGCGAGGCTCGGGAACCCTGAGGCATCTGGTTGGCCATGGATTCCTGGTGAAGAGGGTAGAATTGTCCAGATGCAGCTGCTGTAGCCATCGCGGCAGCCTGCGTTGGCGAGATGCCGTAACTTTGAGCCATGGGTGCGGGGACACCATAGCCTTGGGGAAAGTTCATTTGTTGGTGAACAGCTCCGGGTCCATTCTGCGTCTGTTGATAATGAGGTTGCGACGGAACGATCGGAGAGGTTTGGTGGCTTGAGTGAGGTTGGATGGGTGCCTGAGCATTGGTAGGTGAGGCCATAGATCCGACAGGGGCGCCGGCGTTTGGTGGACCGGTTTGATAAGGACCGGGGATGTGAGATGGAGCATGTGGATGTTGCCCATGGGCTTGTTGATATTGAGGAGGGTACTCCATATTGGCGAGTTATAGTGGATCTCGTCACACTACAGGGCGCGCCGCTTTGGTGGATCTCGGAAGTGACGACTTAAATCTAGAGATCACCAATCAGACCAAAGGATTGCTTTGTGATGGTAAGTCTAAATGTGTCAAAGGCGATGGCGACGTCTGTTTGGTAGAAATCGTAGAGCGCGCGCAATGAGGGACAGAGTCACCACAAGTACTAGGGTAGGCGACCGATGATTCGACAAATAGTCTGCAGGTTCGGGGATTCGCGTCAGCAGAGCGCATCGCCGAGCGGTCACTGGATTGGCGGGGTGGGGGTATGGGGAACCAAAAGAACACAACAGGGACCAGGCACGTACCTTAAATTGTAGGCGCGAGCCAGTTGTGTTTCGTCAACCGAAACTTCAACCTCTTGTGTGTCGAGAATAATCTCAAATGGCTTGCGGAGGGTTTTGGCTCTTTTGTGCAAAATTGTTTACGCCCACTGTCGGGTGTAACGTGGTTGGGCTGTGGTGCAGCGGTGCTGGGGGGGTACTTCAACTAGATGTCGGCTTGATGCGTTGTCAAGTCAAATCAGACCTGATGATAGCAGGTGTGGAGACTACGCAGTATATTTCAAGCACGGTCGGCAGACTACCTCACGCAATTCTGAGGGGATATGCTCTGTCACGTCCAGCGTAGAATCCAGGCAGTGCTGACAGCCTTTGCGACAGATAACGCCTGGGCGTTGATGTCAGAATGCGCCTTCAAGTCTCCACGCACCGACACTATGGGGCCAACATTAGCATTTTATCTTGGCCAATCATTGCGATGGATCAACAACCAATGCGCTGTCAATACAGAAAGTTGAAGTGGAGGGGGTTTGGGAATCCGGGGCGGGTTAGACCGGTCATGGCTGGGAGGGGAGAATGTATGCGTTGGCACGGCGGGAGTTGGAGCTGCAGGGAACCTACCTTGTCGATCGACTTCTGCAGAGCAGAAAAAGTGAAGATTTGGGGTAGTTTAAAAGCCAAATCTAAGTAATCACGTTGCGCGACTAAATGAAATGTTAGATCCAACTGGATATCCACGAGGGGAGATGTAAATGCTAGTGACGCGTGCAGATTGGATGAAAAGAAACATGAAACGCGGCATAGGTAAAATAGAAAGAGCCAATGAGGGAATAGCATGGATATGTAAATTGCAGTGAAGAGGTGTGTTTTGGTTTAGCACGCGTTGTTTTGCCACGAGATAAGCAGCGCGCGCAACGTGGTAGAGCTTAGCAATTACCTTAATAGGCACGGCAGAAAGGAGATGGATAATCTCCGGGGGGGTTAGGGTGACTTTTCCAATCCCAAGCAATCAAGGGATCCCAGGGTAGAAGATGATTTGACCAGAGGGGGGAGAGGGGGAGATCGAGGGAATCGTGCCAACGAGAGGGCGGTGGTTCTGTGGGAGCCACTGATGTCAAGCCGGGCAGTTCCGCTATAGAACCGGGCAGTACAACAGTACAAACACAGTACACCAGGAATACAATTGTAGTTTTTTTTTTGTTCAGGGTAATAAAAGGGAATAAATAGGCAAAGGGGAATTTGAACATGTATTTACCCAGAAAGAATGTCAAGATGGAATTCAAACAAAGAAAAGCAAGCGAAAACAAAAGGGCAGTAAAAAAGCAGTGTGTACAATTGCATATCAAAAAATCGAAATGTATAACTTACCCCAGTTTGAATATCTCGAAGACCAATAGAGGAATGACCTTAATGCAAGGCAGGGTTTCACCAATAATGATGTAAAAGGGGGGGGATACTGTGCGATTGGAGGATGAACTGGAGAGTGCGGGCAACCAACGAGAAGAGGCAGAGGGAAGAAAGGCGAGGAAAAAGGGCGGATGGGGCAGTTTTGTAGGAGATTGACTGGCTGCCGATAGAGAGACCGCCTTGCTCCCCGCTGTTGAGGCCGCCTTTTCTGCGATATTACACTAGATTACAGGTAATTATCTATTATTACTGGTTCATTGGCCTTCATAGCTGCCTAACTGGCCCCCAATCGTATTTATATTACAATACAACAAAACAAATCCGGCTGTCCCGAGCGTCATGTGTGTGACCCGAGACTTATGACGCGCTCTTTGATAGACACTTTTTAGTACTGTAGACTTCGAACTTCATCCTTTCTTAACTTCATTTATTATATGTATCTAATTGATTAATCTCTATATATCTCACTTTTCCCATATTACTTTCCCTTTCTCATTTTCTCTTTCTTACTTTCCCCTTGAAACACGAAGGAATACACTTTCAGCTGCATGTCTGCCCACGCAATCACTCGCCTCATTTTAATAATCGCCTCATTTCTTTTTTGGCCCTATTTCGTCAGCTTGACTTTGGCTCATGATTATCATGATTATTATGATTATCACTTCAGATACCTAAAACGATGTGCTATATTTTTCTTTGCTTTTTCCTACACATGGTGGAAACTGCGTACCTCGGCCGTGTACCCTATTTGGGGAAGTCTCCTCCACTTAATGTTCCATCCTATCCATGGCCCTGGCTTCCTCGTATACAATGTACTTCGGAACAATAAGAGCATTACAAAATGCAGGGTTTATTACTCCGTATACAATCTAATATTCATGGCACCGGGAGTGTGATGAGATCTGGGTGGCGGCAATGAAATCATCTCCCCGGGCGGCAACATTGTATTCCAGACGGGACTGTCGGGCTTACTCGGCATACAAGGCCTCCATCTGGCGTGAGTTGACAAGGTCTAGGTATCTCTTGTTGATGTTCGAGAAACGCGAGGTCTCCCAGGTACTCACTTGGCGCATTGAAGGATTTGTTCCAGCTGAGCTCATGGCACAATCCAATTACCGCGGTACCCTGTACAAATGCAATATACGGAGACCGTTATAGTGGACTTGTTACTATTATTGAACATTAAAACTGGCGGTCGCAACAATTCTGCTCACCGTAGATTTATCGGCTGAAAGATCCCCACCTCGCGTTTGTCTCGGATAGCCCATAAATCCTTTCAAGCTGAATTGCCAGATAATCTGAACACAATCCTTATACGGAGTCCTCTTAGACTACTTTCTATACTCCCGGCTGATCTCCACGTGCATTCTAGTCAAGTTTAGTAGCTTCACATGGGCCATTCAGCGTGAGCCATAATCCCGATTCGCAGAGACGGATGGGTCCGATCTCCGGATGAAACACCCCACGTGTGAGAAGCTTGACCGCTTCACTTCGGACCTTCAACTTCGGGTTTTTCAATTTGTACAAAGGTTTCATCTGTAATATCTTGATGTAGTATTGACATCTGTACGGAGCATCCCGTTGGGTCCTTAGTTTTTGTCTGATTTCGATATTCGTGGCTTTGCTGTCATAGCAACATGCATTCCTTGGAAATATATATAACTAGTAGTTTCATACCACAACAACCATTGATATGGTAATTAATACCAAGATTGGCTAACATTATTGAGCAACAGGCTGGCTATTCTCCATTAAATCCAATGCTAGTCACATTAAATCTTGTAAGTCACTTATATAAAGAAATTACAAGATACACTGAAGTTTTGTCGCCCTATCATTCCGAGACTTCGACATTCTGTGACTTCGACCTCATCTAGACTGGTCAGATTATTCCATACAACTACGCCTGTTTCAGATCATACTAGACATAGCATGGTAGCCAAGATCAAAACAAGACCAAAAGTTGTTCGCTTACTGACACGCAATAAATATAGAGTACCAACGCCCTAACAATGTATACCGCTGATCACAACAAGAATATCAACAGTGAGCTAGTGGTTACATCAAAAAGCAAAAAGCCATCCGCTTCAAATTTTACAAAAATGCCAAACATCGCTCACGCATACTCCATACCCGCAAAGTGTCCAACTGTTGTTACTATAGTATCACTTCGAAACCTCGGCCCCATTCTCCATCACATAGACCTGGATTACTGGCTTCCTGACCAACCCCAGCGTCTCGAAGATACTGCGGATCTTCTCGGTAAGGGAAACTGCAATGCTTTTGTCAGCATGATATATATAAAATCAGCATGGGAGGGTGGTTAGATACGTGGACGGGTCTCGCGGTATAGATTTAGCCAGTTTTTTTGTAGTCTGAACGGTGGAAACATCAGGCTTGGGCAATGTTGGGTGTCTAAATAACCAGATATTGTCAGTAACCTTCATGTAAAAGACAAGTGTAGACATCGACCTGCGATGGCTATAGATTATAGCTATTACTATTACCGCGATGGTGAGAGGTAATCCTAGCCCAACCGCAAGGCCAAAAGCTAGGCCTTCGTTTATTATCTTTTGGGACTCGTAAGAACACTGGCTAGTTTTGGATGAAAGCAGTGTTCTAAATATTTCGATTTGACTCAATTTACGGCAGTATGTCAGCGTAATTTTAATATGACCAAGAAGAAGAATAGTATGCGTGATCAAGCTGAGAAGAAAAAGGAAGATTTGATGATATCGCCTCTCAATGTACAGAACAAGGTTGCGTCCGAATTGGGATACAAGCTTATGTCCTGGAACGTCCATGATCGAACGATTACGGTATGGCCCTAGTAGTATCTGGCCAAGGTCACGTAGCTGTATACTTATCACACTATTATTTTTCATAAAAATCAAAGGACGCAAGATCTCAACACAGAATATATTGAAGGTAAGATCGTAGTAATTCTCGGCAAGAAGCAAGCGGATTTATATCCATGGAGAGATCAAGCTAGATGACTAGGCAACCAAGCAATAGCTCCTTAAATTCAAACTTTAACATGATCCTCATAACCCAGGTACTCATTGATACCTTTCGTTCTGAGCATATTCATCATGTGTAGTGATAGCGTCACTTGTTGGGTGTGTTGTGCATGACATAGACCTCCTGGAAAACCTGTCCCGTTTCAAAACCAAGGGCTTCAAAAAGATCGCAGAGCTTCCTGGGGAGGTTTTCTGATGAAAAGTTTGTTAGCCAGAATATAAACTAGGTCACTTGTAGTCGCGGAGCCCTTACTATGCCGTGTCTTCTTGGGTACTTTGGTATAGTTATGAGCTTCCTCGTCCTCGCTATTCATGTGCAGCGGTATATAGGCATATCTAGTAGAATATGGCGTGTTAATAGTTTCTATCAGGCGAGAGTCCGTGTGAATCATACCTGCGGCGAATCCACATGACACACAAGAAAACCACAGCTATAGTTAAAGGAATGCCGAGGCCCAGAGGTAGCCCAATAGCAAGCCCCTGGTTAATAGCTGGTGTACTGTTGTTGAACCCATTGCCAACCTTTGTAGAAAGGGCGTGATATTTCGTGTTCATAGTATTGACCTCCGCGCTGAGGATATCATGAAAATTCGCAGGTATAGCTTCAACTTCTGCTTTCCAGTGACTGAGCTCTGCACTACTCTGATCGATTAGTGTAGAAAGAGCGGCAATATCCGCGCGCAAGCGATAGTTCTCCGAGTTAACATCATCAACCTTCTCGAAAGAGATTGGACATCTGCGCTCGATTCCGTGTTTTGTGCGTCGTCGCCTTGGGATGTCCTGGTATTAACCGCTTTGATTTCATTCTCTAATCTGTCACACCACGACTGTAGCTCGCCAAGTATTTGAGCGTGGTTACTTATGACTGATCGCCAGTAATCCAAGTCCGATGAGAATATAATACCCATCTTGTTGTGAAATGAGGTGATTGATGGGGGAATCCGAAAGCAGATGCAGAATTATCTGACAAGATGAATCCAGTAACTAGGACTGTACATAGTGAGGTCATCCATGGATGCCTTAGATCCATGGAAGTTATAGAAGAAAACTCGGATTCAAACATGGCGCGGTCCTCTTGATAACTCTATTCTCGTCCACGTCGATATAAACATGAGCCAAAGAAGTAGTTATGAGGTACGGAGTAGTATATATGTGATTGGGCTAAAGTGTGATCAAAAGAGTAGCAATCGCAGTCGCTAATAACGTAGAGGAGAATTATTCAAGAAGTAGCAACATATCTACAAGCCCCTTCAATATACAAGAAACTAAGACTTCAACCCCTTACAGTCCCATGGGTGGCGGTGGAGCGCTTACTCAGCATCACCCCCCGGACCAAAGTGGCTTTTCCGCATCGTTTGTTGACTCGACCACAATCGCATTTTGTTTTGCTTTGTGCCTCGAGAAAACCGACTCTGTGGCTGGTTTCTCTCGGTGGCTAACTTCCAACACTGCAAGATCCAGGCTCCCCGCACGTCGGCAAACCTCCCCCACAAAAAAAACAACGCAGACGCGCAACATAAATATTGGACCGATACATGACGTCTTTGTTGACAACGGTTTTGAATAACGCTACGAACCATTCCCGAACAATCACAAGCGATTTAGCCACACCTAATTTAGCGCCTATTCCCCTGCGACAGACCTTCAAGCCGCGCTCCTTGCGGAGTTTGCGCATCGGTGTACCCCTGTCACCACTTGCATCCCACGTCCGGACTCCGGTTTTCATACACGTCCATTGTTGACGAATACCCCCCGTGCATGGGTTAGAGAGCAAAGATGGCTCCAGGCGGCGGTGGAAATATTAAGGTGGTGGTGCGGGTGCGGCCTTTCAATAGTCGAGGTAAGTGGATATCGAGGGAGGGGTCTCCCTTGGACCTGGGGCTAACCGTGTCTGTATTTTGGCAGAGATCGAGCGAGGCGCAAAATGTATCGTGTCTATGAAAGGAAACCAGACCGTGCTCACTCCTCCACCTGGCGCAGAGGAAAAATCACGGAAAGGTGGGAAGGGTGCTGTTGAAGGGAACAAGGTGTTCGCCTTTGACAGATCATATTGGTCCTTTGATAAGAAATCGTCAAACTTCGCCGATCAAAATGACCTCTTCGACGATCTGGGTTCTCCGCTTCTGGACAATGCTTTTGGGGGTTACAACAATTGTATTTTCGCCTATGGCCAGACCGGTTCGGGTAAATCATACTCGATGATGGGTTATGGCAAAGAATACGGTGTTATTCCACGGATTTGCCAGTCGATGTTCGAGCGGATAACTGCGATCCAGGCGGACAAGTCTTTAAATTGCACCGTTGAGGTGTCATACCTTGAAATCTACAACGAGCGGGTACGCGATTTGCTCAACCCGTCAAATAAAGGCAACCTGAAAGTTCGTGAGCATCCATCAACGGGTCCTTATGTCGAGGATCTGGCCAAACTTGTCGTCGGATCTTTCGAAGAAATCGAGAATCTGATGGACGAGGGTAACAAAGCTCGAACGGTTGCCGCGACTAACATGAACGAAACCTCAAGTCGATCACATGCCGTTTTCACCCTGACCCTAACACAAAAGAAACACGATGAAGAGACTTCAATGGATACCGAGAAGGTGTCGAAAATCAGTTTGGTTGATTTGGCTGGTTCAGAAAGAGCCAATTCGACTGGAGCCACTGGCGCACGATTGAAGGAGGGTGCGGAGATCAATCGCTCATTGTCAACGCTTGGTCGTGTCATTGCTGCACTCGCTGATGTCTCTGCTGGCAAGACTTCGGCCGGAAAGAAGAAAAATGCATCCATGGTACCATATCGTGATTCAATTCTGACATGGTTGCTGAAAGATTCCCTGGGTGGAAATTCCATGACCTCCATGATTGCAGCAATTTCTCCTGCAGATATTAACTTTGACGAAACCCTTGGTACTTTGCGATACGCTGACTCCGCGAAACGCATCAAGAACCATGCTGTTGTGAACGAAGATCCAAATGCACGCATGATTCGCGAACTTAAGGAGGAGCTGGCACAGCTCCGATCGAAACTTGGAGGCGGAGTTGGACCGGGAGGAGCAGGTGGTGCTATAGGTGGTGTTCCCCAGGAGTACTATCCCCCGGATACTCCGTTGGAGAAACAGATGGTCTCCATCCAACAGCCAGACGGAAGTGTCACCCAGGTCAGCAAAGCGGAGATCGTAGAACAGCTCAATCAGAGTGAGAAGCTTTACAAAGACCTGAACCAGACCTGGGAAGAGAAGCTACAGAATACAGAGCTTATCCACAAGGAGCGTGAAGCAGCTTTGGAGGAGTTGGGAATTAACATCGAAAAGGGCTTCATTGGGATGAGCACACCAAAGAAAATGCCCCATTTGGTTAACCTTAGCGATGATCCACTTCTTGCGGAATGTTTGGTCTACAACATCAAACCTGGCACCACCACCGTTGGTCATATGGATCAAAACCAAACCGTCGAGATCCGATTGAATGGATCTAAGATCCTCGAGAAGCACTGCACTTTTGAGAATGCGGATAATGTTGTGACCATTGTACCTGCCGAAGGTGCCGCCATCATGGTGAACGGCATGCGGGTGAACAAGCCCACACGACTCAAGAGTGGTTTCCGAATCATCCTTGGCGATTTTCATATTTTCCGTTTCAACCATCCCCAAGAGGCCAGAGCCGAACGGGTCGAGCAGAGCTTACTCCGGCATTCGGTCACTACAAGCCAGCTTGGGTCGCCAGCGCCGAACAAAACACATGATCGAAATCTGAGCAAGGCTGGATCTGAAATTGATGGCGATTCAACTAGGGCAGATTCACCCATGCCTTCACAGCGTAGTCGTGAGTCAGACTGGTTCCTCGCACGCAGAGAAGCTGTCAGTGCTATGGTTGGACCTGATCAGATCTCCAGTTTGCCTGATGATGAATTGGATACACTGTTGGAGGATGTACAGAAGGTTAGAGCTGGACGACGTGGACTTCCGGAAGAAGAAGACTCCGACTCCATCAGTTCCTACCCGATTCGGGACAAATACATGTCTAACGGGACCCTCGACAACTATTCCTTAGACACCGCTATAACCATGCCAAGCACCCCCCGGCAAAATGACGATGATGATGCTAATGGCATCGCATCACTCAATCAGGCTCGTCAAGATATGCAGCGGCAGCTAGATCGCCGCAAGGAAGAGTTCCAAGAAAAACTCAAAACCGTGGAGGCTTCGTCTGATCCAAACTCACCGGAGCTACGCACTGAGAAAGAGCGAATGGAGTACGCACTGCGGACAGCTAAGGAGGAGTTTGAAGAGCAATTGCGCAAACAAAAGGAGACGTTTGAAACCCATATCCGAGATATGGGCAAGCCGGTTCCTCAAATCTTCGAAAATGGCTTTGCCAAGTTGGATGAGCGTGAACTTGAGATCGCGCGCTCAGTGTACAAGCACTGGTCGCAGCGAAATTATGTCCGCATGGCCGAGAAGATTTTGCAACATGCCTCCCTTCTGAAAGAAGCTCAGATCATGAGCCATATCATGGATAAACATGTGGTCTTCCAGTTCGCCATTATCGATCATGGCCATAACATGGAATCGTCGTATGATCTCGTCCTGAATGGAATTTCCGGCGATGAAGATATCCTGCTTGATGAGGCCAAGAAGCCTTGTGTCGGTGTTAGAGTCATCGATTTCAAGCAATGCGTGATTCACTTGTGGTCAATTGAAAAGCTCCAGCATCGTGTCCAGGCTATGCGGCAATTGCACCAATACATCGACCGCCCCGATTACATTCAACACTTTAAACTCGATAATCCATTCTCTGAACCTTGCTCGCCCCAGTATTCTCTTATCGGAGATGCCGATATCCCCTTAACAGCTGTTTTTGAAACCCGAGTTCAAGACTTTTCCGTTGAGATAACCTCACCATATACCCAGAGTGTCATCGGAATCATCCGTCTCTCCCTCGAGCCATCCTCTGCGCAGGCGCCCTCTTCAACCCTGAAATTTAATGTTGTCATGCGGGACATGATTGGGTTCGCAGAATGGGAAGGCTCTGATGTACATGCGCAGTTATTTGTTCCAGGTATCTCAGAGGAAGGAGGTGCGACTACAACTCAAATGATCAAAGGGTTTGAGGACGGTCCGGTTCGGTTTGAAAGTGTACACAGCATGAGCTTGCCGCTGTCAAGTCCACGGACGGCCGCATTGAAGGTCTGTGTTTATGCTGGTGTGACGTCTGTTCATCTCGACAAGCTTCTTAGTTGGGATGATATGCGTGACTCAGCGGAGCCTTCACCGCAGAAACGAACTGCTCCTCGAATCGCGGAATCGGAATTTTACTCCGAGGAACGTCATGATGTATTTGCAAGAATTCAAATACTCGAAATGGCAGAATCTGGTGAATACCTCCCCGTGGAGGTTGTTCAGAGCAGCAGTCTCGATTCTGGTACGTCCCAGCTTCATCAAGGACTGCAGCGCCGCATCTCGGTCAACATCACGTACAGCTCAACGGAAAGTCTTCCGTGGGATAACATCAACAACATCCGCGTTGGTTCTGTCCGCCTCCTCGATCCCTGGGGCAAGATTCCAGATCAGGACTTCCAGACTCCGGATGTCCCCTTGAAATTTGTTCAAGAACCAACGGTTAGGGATAATGCCGACGGAACCTCTCATGTGACAATTGTCGGCCAATGGGACTCAAGTTTACATGGGTCTCTGTTGCTTGACCGAGTGACGGCAGAAAAGTACCGGGTCCAAGTGACCGTCCGTTGGGATCTTGTATCCAGTCGCTTACAGAACCCGGTTGTTTTCGAGGCAGATCAGACAATTCAAATCCAAGGCCGTACATATGTCCGCCAGCAGTCCATGTTCAAGCAATTCTGGAACTCGATTCGTGTTGTGCACTCGACGACTCGCATGTATTCGTTGGTTATTCGGCCCATTTCAGCTAAGCGTGCTGCTGATCTGTGGCGGATGAACACCCAAAACGACTATGTGAAGGGTGAGGAACTTTTGAATGCTTGGGCTCCTCGAAAAGTCTCTTTGGTACGAGACTACATTGCCAACCGGAAGCGCCGACAGCGTACTGCAGAGCTCCATGCTGCCCGAGGCGCTCTCAGCGCGGGTTGCCTCAATCCATCGCTGGCTCGGAGTGGAAGATCAACTCCAATGCGTGGCTCAGATCTCAATGAACGCAAATCTAAACTTCTACGAAAGTATCTTGATCTGTGGTCGCTCAAGCAGGATCCAACAGAGGCGATCCTCGTCCGGACTAATACCGAACCCCCTTCAGACGGAGCAGCGCACATAAAAAGTTCGGATACCAACGGCCTCTCTGACAAACTTTCCCTCAAGCCTCGCTTCATAGCCACCATTCAAACTCTTCCTAAGGCCCCCGATGCCTTAAAAACGGGATACGTGCTTACACCCGATGATTCCAACAATGTTTGGGTGCGTCGTTTCGTGGAGCTCCGCCGGCCGTACCTCCACATTTACTCGGTCCCAGAGGGAGACGAGATCAACGCCATCAACCTCCGTAATGCGCGTGTCGACCATGCGCCCGACTTTGCAAGACTACTAGACGGTTCAGGAGCTGGATCCGACCGCTCGCTGTCCGCTAAGGGACGGCCGAATGTGTTTGCAGTCTATGGAACCCAGAACACTTTCCTCTTTGCCACTCGTACTGAGGCACAGAAGGTGGAATGGATCTTGAAGATAGACGAGAGCTACTTCAACAGCAATAGCCCCAGACCCCCCGCGAATGGCGACTAATAATTCCATTGGAATTTCCAACTAGTTGCGGCATGCCTGTGGACAAGTTTGAGCTTTTGGGCTTCGTCTGCTTCATGTCTTATGATATTACAGGTCTAAGTCTAACATTTGAACTTTGCCTTTACTTTCTAGTTTATTCTTTCGTTCCATTTCCTTTCATGACCTGTTGAGATACCCCTTGAATATATCGACTCGCTGTGGCACTCTCCCTCTTATGTACATAATAATCCGATATAGTTGGGACTATAGATTCGACTGTGCACAGTTTCTTTCTTGGTAAGAGCTATGCAGTCTGGCCTTTCTACCTCAAAAGTCCTATGTAGATAAAACCCTAGAGCCTACTGCTATAATTAGCATCTCTGGATCCAAGCATAGAAAGCACCTGCGTTGCCGTGGAAACAATCAGGGCTGACAGTGACATCAACCCACGAAATGCAAGGTCTTCATCTCTTACAGGCCGAGAAACCCAGATGAAAATTCAGATCGAGCATTGTTAACTGAAGAGGGAGTTGGAATTATTCCAAGAATGTTCACTCAACGCCCTTCATTCCGCTTCTTGGCCACTGGCGCCGTGGCGTCTCTGTTTATCCTTACATTCCTCATCATCAGCACCGGAACACCAGCCTCAACACGATTTAATCCAAAAGGACAACCACGACAGCAATATTGCGCCCCGGCTGTCAACTCTTCCGCCGGTTGGGAGTTTGTAGTTGAGCGTGATGGAAACAACTATGGTCTGTCCGACGACCAATGTCGCATCGCTTTCCCAAAGCTATTCCTCGAGCTTGACCAATTCTCTACACTGAAATCAAACAAACCGATTTCCTACAAGGAACTCAATTCCAGACCAGTGGATGATGGCATGGTGCGGGGAATTATTGACCGAGGAGAGGTGAACCAAACATCCACTCTTACACACCAAACACCCGATTCTAACATATTCCATTCAGCTGTATATCGTCGACTACGCCAACATGCCCGTCACAGCATCCCGCGCCCGCGCAACCCTAAACTCCCTCCACCGCGCCCTGACAGCATTCCCAGACCGCCACCTCCTACCCAGCATCGAATTCATCTTTACCACAGAAGACTTCGCAGAACATACAACCAGCCCAGCCCCCATCTGGGCTTACTCAAAACGCGACGCGGACACTTCAGTCTGGCTAATGCCTGACTTCGGATACTGGGCCTGGCCGGAGGTACATATCGGACCGTACCAGGAAGTGCGACGACGCATTGCAGCCATCGACGACGGCGACACCGCCGCAGATGGTACATGGGTTCCGGGTCTGAAGTTCCAGGAGAAGAAAAAGCAGCTCGTGTGGCGTGGCAGTTTAGCCACGAACCCGCCAGTTCGGAGCAAGCTACTCAAGTCTGCGGGTAGTAGCTGGGCCAGTGTGCGGGTTATTGACTGGGATGATAAGGATGATATCCGCTTTAATCTCCTGCCTATTGAAGATCACTGTCGGTACATGTTCCTGGCGCATACCGAGGGTCGCAGCTTCTCTGGTCGTGGGAAGTATCTTCTGAACTGTCGTTCGGTTGTTATCTCTCATACCCTCGAATGGAGGGAGGTTCATCATGGGGCGTTGGTCGCGACTGGTCCCGAGGCGAATTATATTGAGGTCGATCGGGATTGGTCGGAGTTATCGCATAAGATCGATTATCTGATTGATAACCCCGAGATCGCGGAGCGTATTGCTAATAATGCTGTGCGCACTTTCCGTGATCGGTACCTTACTCCTGCCGCCGAGTCGTGTTATTGGCGGCAGTTGATTCAGAAGTACTCTGCAGCTTGTGATTTCGAGCCGGTGCTGTTTTCGACTGGTCGAGATGGGAAGACGCAGCCTCGCGGTGTTCCGTATGACACTTGGCTGCTTATGCATTGATGAGATCTGATTGCGTTTTTATTGCATATTGGTGTTTCTTTTTGCGATATTCCCGGTTGGCGTTGAGGATGATTCTGATGATTTCCATTTTTGTACATGAAATATGGACTGTTGACCACAATGCACATTTATGAACCGAAATTTCCTTATGTTCTTATAATCTCCTTTAAATCGAAGGATTCATAGCTAAATATACATCCACGCTTCGCAGCGCGCTCGTTAAATCAAGATGGAAAAACCGCCGACCCGCACTCTCCAATGCATCAGGTGTTGAGAGGGACATATCCGCCACTTCAGGCCTAACTGTCATTTCCATCCCACCCTTCTCTGCATCGGCGGATCCTTCGGAAGAATGCGAGCCTGCATCTTCCCCAGTCTCACTCGACTCCGGCAACTGCGAGTACCCAAAGCCTGCGGCATGTAGCGCACGCTTTGTCCACCGATTTTTGATACTGGCGAAATGCCACTGCACAGGAACAGGCGCCGAGCGACGATCCAGCTGGGTGCGGATATCCATCAAATTTTGCACACAGGTCACATCGACATTATTGACAGCCGAGAAATCGAGAATCACAGCTCGTAGCATCGGCAGATGCGAATCGTCGGTACTGGAAGAGACCGGCTCGTTCCAGGGACGATCGCCCTTTTTCGTATATATCTCCGCGTTTGTCCCGCGTGTGTGCTTGTAAATTGTTTGCACGAGGTCGTCGAAGTAGTGGCTTGCGTTGGGGTAGTTGAAGCCTTCCGAGAAGCGGTAGACGAAGACTCCCGGACGGAGTTTCTCGATTTTGATGCTTGGGTTGGCTTTCGGTTCGTCCATTGGTAGGAAGAGTGGGACTTGGTTGTTTTCGTCGGTTACCCACGCTTGGCCGAGGAATTGGCCAGGTGCTTTTGCGTGGCGGAATAATAGAACTGCTACCGAGATGCAAACGGTTGTGTAGATGCTGTTTGGGACTGTGCTGAATAATGCAACGATTAGGCCCACGGCGAAAATGACTGCGTCTAAGGGTGAGATGAGCCAGAATTGGTAGATCGTATTAGGTGGGACGATCAAGTCTCCGACTGCGTGGATGATGACGGCTGATAGGGTTGCTTTGGGGATATAATAGAGACCGGAGGTCAAACTGTACATGGCGATCAGGACGACACAGGCGGTGATGATGCCAGTGAAGGGCGAGCGGGCTCCCGACTTGGATTGAATGGCCGAGCGTGAGAAAGCACCTGTTGCCGGGAATGCGCCGAGGAAGGGACCGAGGAGGTTGGTGATACCGACTGCGATAAGTTCTTGCGAGGGGTCAATTGTGTAGTTATTGACACGGCCGAAGGTTTTCGAGACTGCAATGTGCTCGATGAGGAGACAGATCACACAGGCAGGTAGTTGGGAGATGATGAGCTTGATTACTTCGGGCTTGAGTACTGGGACACCGGCTCGGTCGAAGCCCTGAGGCACTGTTCCCACTAAAGCAAAGGCGGGATTGTCGCGGCGATGGTGGTTCACGCCAAGACTGATAAGAGCATAGAGAGCGATGATGAACACGGTGCGGAGCGCGCCGAGAAAGAAAAAGATCTTGGCAAAGCGTGGCATCTTGGCAGCTCCATAGTTGAACCCTGATCGGAGGCCGTATAAAAGCACCAATGCGGTAAGACCCATGGCGGCATCGTATCCTTGCGCGGAGGGAAGATATCTCAGCGTGTCGATGATAATTCGATATGAAGGAGTGCTCGTCTCAAAATTTGCTGTCTGGCCCAGCAATCCCTTCACTTGTCCCGAGCAGATACTTATAGCAGAGCCGACCATGAAAGCTGTAATTGCGGGAATTGGGATAAAATCAATGATGAAGCCTAGTCGTGCTAGGCCCATAAATGCAATTATACCTCCGCTCAGAATGGTGACTGCTACCGCAATTTGTGGACCTTGGATATCGGGGTGGTCCCTTTGTACGTCGCGTATAATGCTGCCGAGAACAGTTGACATGGTAGCCACGGGCTGCCCAATTTATTAGCCCATGCCGGATAAGAAACCACCTGGGTAGCTTACCCCTATCGTGATATCTTTGGACGTTGCGAAAAACCAGTAGACAACGACACCGATGAAAGAAGTATAGAGTCCATATTGCACCGGAAGATTAGCCAGTTTGGCGTATCCCATACTCTGGGGGACCACGACCGCGCCAACCGTGATTCCTAGGAAAGTTAGCAGAGGTTGGATTCTAGTCAACCAAGGCACGTACCTGCAACCAAATCTCCCAAAAACCATTGCAAGTTATAGTGTCTGATCCATTGCAAGAAAGGCAGTAATCTCACAAAATACTGTCCAACCTGCTGTTTGGAGGGGAAACCGTCGCTTAACCATTCTAGAACCGTTGGATCTGACTCGTGAGCTGGCGCGAGCTTGTTGTGTAGATTGGGAGGATCTTGCAAGCCAAGTGCCTTCTTAACAAAGGCTGACCTTGACCCCATGTTGATAGATAGAAAAATATCAAACAGGGCAAGAAAAGGCAAAACCCTTTTGGTACAGCAGAAATCACTATGGGCACACTGGTCTAACGCGTTTAGGGCTAGATAACCCTCGGCATCCACTTTTCAATACAAGTGCTATTTATCTTAATAGCACTATATTAAATGACGTAGCTTTCTTTTCTTTGCCACAAGGTACATTCCAGATAAACCCTTATATTGAGGTTCATGTGTACTACCCAATTTAGACGTGTCATTGCATGAGAGTTAGCCGCCGCGTTGTTTCCTGTAGAGGTTTGTATGATCAATGGCTGTATTGAAAAGCCCAGTGCCAAGAGATACTATCACCAAAGGGGTTAGTTTACTGTACCAATAGTGAATTCAGCCGTGCCCACAATAGCCTTTAGGAAAGATCCGTCGATCCAGCCACGAGACATGAGTTAACCTTATTTTACATTTTTAGCTATCAATCACACGAAAAAGAAATTATAGATTGATCATTAATACCTTCACATCACCCAATATAACTTCAGAAATTAGCTGAAAGGAAGCACAATCTCACCAGCTTGCTATCAATCATGGTGTAGATAGAGTGGAATGTGGCTAGATCATCATTTGGGGTACCGAGGGTTGGTCGCGTGACCATTGGTATGTATTGGGTAAACTGAAGTCCACAATTGATGCCAAGCAACTCCAAGAAAGGAGTTACAGTGGAGCTATATCGTTGGGACGAAGGTGCCGACAAGGGCGCATTGCATAACCCCTTGCATTAGTCTCAAGTATGAAGATATCACCCGATCTAAATGTCACGGTCTCCATTGAATGGTTGAATCTTGATGAAGTTCTAGGGAAAGTTGAGGTTGCACATTTTGCACATTCCTCACCGCCTATATTCTGCCGCTAATTATGTACATAATTTAGCTACTCCGCAGGTCCGTATGCACGACATCAATACAGGGGGGAGAATATCTAAAAAAAGACATCCAAAAATGATACTCCAGAAGACATCCAAAATACTTGGAGTAAAATTTCCAAAAGTATTTGAAAATGACTACATAAAAAGAAGAGCAAAAATACTACCCAAGGCCGCATAACTATTCTTGTTGGGTGCATGTACAGATATATATCCTGTTCTGTAAGAATGTGGGTGGCACTCTCATGCATACCCCAAGTTATGTGTGAAGGAGAAATCTCCATATCATATAAGCTAATGACATTCCATAATAATGTTTAAATGCACGACGAGATAAATCACCGAGAAACCGAAACTGAGTTTCATGACTGTATATATTTTAGTTTTATCTATTTGATATTGACACCTGAGCCATGAAACATTCTTTAACGATTGACCAAGAATCACGAGTAGAGAGCACTGGAATATTTTCACATTCTCCTATTCAGACCTTGAATGTTGAACAGAAATATCTGATCACCTTCGAAGTCGCGGTGAACCACTTGAGTGCCAACAGGGCCAAGGAAGCCAAGTGGCTGGCTTATGTGTGGCGTTGCAATTATGTGATACCCTCAAAATCTTCATAGATTAGGGTTATATAGCTTAAGCCTGGGCCTACTCGGCCTGATTGCCGACGCAAGGTATGCGATCTGTGCTACTCCATACTCCGTACATTAGGGAGCACATTAGAGGTGGTGGAAATATCTTAGGTAGTGTATATATACTTGGCAAACTCAATGGCTGTACTCCGTAAGGAGTACTTAACAGCATGGAATATGACCTGATAAAGCATCTACTGTATCTGCAATACATCGTCTGACAATGCACTCGTAGTCGAATGTTACAGTTGTAACTGCATATAAACACCTGGATAAGCGACACCCGAAAGCGAAGCGTTGCACTTAGGCTAGGAAATTGACAAGTCCTAGGGATATCGATCGCGTTCTTCCCTTGCACTTGATCACACCCAAACAATTGGAATTCTGCTTTGCCAAGCCTCAACGCGGAGACTCACAGTCACATTCTTCGAATCTTCTTGGCACGTGTTCTTGGGTCCTTCGAGAAATCATGGATCTGGAAAGTTAACCAGTAAGCCGGTTAGAAGACCCGGATCAGCGACAAATAGCCGGTAGTAAATTACTTAATCGTATCGCTAGATCTGATCATCCGATAGACAAACAAACAAACTTAGGCTACCCATTGATGTTGAATTTAGAGATGAATCATGACAGTAGACTATTTTACCAAGGAATATTTAGAACAAGCATACCCCTCACTAATTGGGTTGACTATATAAATACGGTTAAAAGCATGGGGGACTTTCCCAAGGTTGTTCCTGCCAAGCTTTGAGATATACACCCGTTGATCCATGGATCACCGAGGTTGTCCCTGAGCTGTCTCAAGCTTACAACAACTTCCAAGGTTCTCCAATGTCTTATGAGAGCTGATAATCGAAATAAGATCAAGTAGCCGATGTTTCCCCGGCTTTTAAACTGCCTGATCTTGGGTTTAGCCTGGCCAAGCTACATCCATTATAGCCGTGATGAATTTCCCCGCATTTACACAGCCGGTGGCTGAAGTGTGCAACATGCTTATTTTTACTTGAAGAAGTTTAGCCGACTCAATAGTTTCTACATGCTTATTTAGCTACTAAAATCTGATTTTAGCCTGGTTGGATGATATAGGGATATAGCTGTCGGTCCGATGGACCAGTAATAGTTCATGGACAGTGAACATGACCCGTGTTTAACGTATAATTAGTGCAATTGGAACAGGGCAAGGGGATAAATAGGTCGTTGGCTAAATTCATTCGAGACATGTGGAGGACTATGAAACTGTTTAAACTCGCCCCACACCCTCCGTCAATATAAAAGAGGTCTTCTCCCCAAGGAATCATCCATCACAAAACACACTCCAATTCATTCCTCAATTACCAGCATCTGACCTTTCATAATGGTCTCTTTCTCAAGCCTCTTTGTCGCTGCATGCGCCGCTGTCAGTGCCCTCGCGCTTCCCAGTGACGTGGAAAAGCGCGACATCACCCAGAACGAGCGAGGAACCAACGGCGGCTACTTCTACTCTTTCTGGACCAACGGTGGCGGCAGTGTCTCCTACAACAACGGCAATGCAGGCCAATACAGTGTCAACTGGAAGAATTGCGGATCTTTCACCTCTGGCAAGGGCTGGGCTACAGGTAGCGCCCGGTAAGTCCAGACAACATACTCAATATTGATAAATACTTACGTCGTGTTAGAAACATCAACTTTTCCGGAAATTTCAATCCCTCCGGAAATGCTTACCTGGCTGTCTACGGCTGGACCAAGGGCCCCCTCGTTGAGTACTACATCATGGAAAACTATGGCGAATACAACCCAGGCGGCAGCATGACCTTCAAGGGAACAGTAACCAGCGATGGGTCCGTCTATGATATCTACAAGCATACTCAGGTCAACCAGCCTTCGATCATTTCGGATTCTAGCACCTTCGACCAGTACTGGTCTATCCGTCGGAACAAGCGTAGCAGTGGAACTGTCACTACTGGTAACCACTTCAATGCTTGGGCTAAGCTTGGAATGGGTCTTGGATCTCACGACTACCAGATTGTTAACACTGAGGGTTACCAAAGCAGTGGATCTGCAACCATCACTGTTTCATAAGCGTGTGAATACCCTGCAGTGGTTTCATGCGAAATGTCACTTGCTGCTAGCAAGGGTTTGGAAGAGCTATTGTTATGAACCTGTTAACTGTATATGGAGCAAAGTTGTGTACCGATACTTCACTTCAATCCGGTTCATCGGGTGTTTAGCTTGTTGGTCTTCTCTTGGATATTTGCCTTGTTAGGAATCAATCCATATTTACGCCCCAAATTTAAGTTTCTAGGAGTATCCACAGGTGCTTGCCTTAGTATGTTTCAGCCTGCGGAGTAGTAGTTTCTAACAAAAGTAATGAGATGCGATGTCTATTTTGAAAATTGCATGTCGCACCTATATGCAGATACTAAAAAGCATGTCACAAGTGGCTATATATCGACAATAGTGGTTAGTATATCACCGTTCCTAAAAGTGCATTTCGCATAACTCACATTCTGTTGGGGATCAGTGAAACCACAACTAGGCCCACTACTTTTCTTCGGTATCTTCCCGAACTTCTTACGCCGCCTAAGCGGCGCCTTGTGCGCCAGCGGATACCCATACCCAGACCACCAGCTCGGGGGGTACATACTCAAAAAAGAAAACTCCGACGTACTCCCGAGCTGGAACCCGCGGAATCCGGATACCCCAGAAAGGTTCAAGCCACCATCTGAAACTCTGCTCTTCCCCTTCATTTCATTTCCTGGAAGTTTGCTGGATGCAACCTGTTGGACACAATGTGCGGAAATAAGGTTATCGTTCCTTGTTTGAGCCTTTTGATGAACCTACCTTTCCGATAGAAATCCATCTCACGTTTCGGCAAACAAGTGGTCGATCCTGCAGCATTCTCGAAGATCAGCGAGAATGGCTTGGGGTGTTTTAGGCACTTGGCGCTTTACTTCCCGCTCGGCAATGATACCCTCAGCAAGGACTCTCACCCCTAGGGCCCAATATGGAAGGGTAAAGGTTTCAGTTCCGCCGTACGAGAAACAGGCTCATGTTCTGGTCCAGTCTAGGACTAGGGATTGCCGGAGCTTTGACCTGGCTCACCATTAGGGAAAGGGAATCAAGGGCAGCGTAGAGGTCTCGAATCATTGTACCGGTTTCATGAGTAATTTAATTAATCCTCATGGAGATTGTTGAAGTAGGCGTAACTGGAGAGCCATCCACGGTATTTGCTCATCAGTTTCCTGGTAAATCCAGTGTTGCGCGGAACGGGAACCGATGCGGATCCCGTCGTACAACTGATTCCAAATGAGTAAAACATGAAATCAAGCGGTATCAAGAACCTTAGAGCACTCACCACTTCGCTTACCACCAGAATCGACGAGTTCACCCTCCAAGATATATATAAACTGTGGGAAACCCGACTTGTTATTTCACCGAGTCCATTGGCGAAAGCAAATCATCAATGGCTCTATTGAAAGCCACGTCTGGTAGACGATGTCGATGTTCGTGAGTCGTCCACTATCGACTTGTGCGTTGTTGGTCGAAAGTAGAACAGATACCACGGACTGATGTGGTATCCGGACCAAGAAATTCACGCTGAAACATCCCGAGCGTGGTAATAACTGTGGCATAGCTCTGAAATAACAGCTTCTGATACACTTCACTTTGAGGGACTGGTCCCATGCCGATTTATCCTTATATCGTACTACAAGCTGGAAGCAATTAACCCACCATGCGATATCCACGGGAATGGTATTCCTCATGACAGAGTACGAATGCCATCTGCCGGTGGTCGTAGGCGATGACTACGACGACGACCGTTTCAAGCTGTAGTGCAATGATGTTGGATTTCTCGTCGAGCACGGTCTTGTACCAGCGGTTGACGCTCCGGTTCATGAGTTTTGAGTTTGCCGTGGAAACATGGACCTTTAGCAGGTGCGCTGTTAGCGGCTGTAGCCTGTAGCATGACATGTGGGCTGCTGGATTTCGGCCTTTTGGAAATCGGGAAGTTCATCGGGAAACTGCGTCAAGACCCGAGGGAAGATCTTATGGGTTGTATCTCACTCCACCAAGCGATTTATGGCATGGCTTTGGAATAGTGCCATGATTGATCATGCTTCAACTACCCAATGTAGTAAATCCGCACAATGGTTTGGAATCGCATATTCTAGGCCGGTTTCATTAAAACCACCCTGGTGTCGTGCATGCATGTTGAGCCCTCTCGCACCTCAGTTGTATGTTGGTAGGAGGATTTGGGTCCTTGTGTTGGATTGGGCAAAATGGGCAATGGCAGAGGCGCGAAGTTCCTCGACAACCCATCGCGGATATAAGTCGAAGACAATTCGGCATTCCAGGCAGGTTTGGTCGAGGGGAAGATATATGGAGGTTGAGAAGCGATGAGTAATGAAAGGATAATCTCAAGTCATCAGCCCACGCGTATAGACATCAAGTAGAGACTCCATGGAATGATGAATGTTTTTAGGAGTCATTGTGCGAGATGGACAATGGATGTCGAAAATGAATTTTCGGTGGCTCTCTGGGGAAGAGACTTGGATTTGAGTTCCAGCTGAGAGCTGTCGCAACCAAGATAGAGCAGCAGCTGTAGACGGTAAGCAAGGATTAATCCAATATAGCTTGGAGTCGATTTAGGAAGCTCAGTACCTGTGATAAATTTGAATTTCGGTGCAACAAGTTCTCAATTTGACTAGAGAAGCTCAGGAGAAATGAAATCAAAAGTTGAAGAAGAGGTGAAGGGGTGAGTGGCGAGGAAGGTTGAGAAGGGGAAAACAAAGAGAACTACAGATCTGGTGTAGGAACTTTAAGGTCACAGGGCCTGGGACTTTGATATGATAGTCACATTCTACACAGGGCTTTCCCCAATATTATCTTATATCTTATGGCTCTTGTCTAACTCTCCTATAACACCAATAAGGAAAGTGAAAATGGAAGATACGTATCAAAAATAAATTCGAGAAGACTTAGATGATCCATAGTACAAATTCAGTCACGGGCAGGACATACTAAGAGTATCAAGTTGCTAGCAAAGAGCTACTTCGTAATGAGCCTGGAGACATAGATACCTGTGCCCATAATGAGGCGATGGATGATATTAACATTAACCTTAGCCTCAGACGCAAATCCCGCATTTGGCCAGAGATATTCTGCAAGGCCACGGGCGCATCGAGAATACTGGCAAGCGGAAGGCTGCCCTATGGAACTGCAGTAAAGCTTTGTTTACGATGCTTATCCCTTACTTCTTCCAATGAGATCTCCATATCGGCACTAGCTCCTACAGAGCTGGAGGTTAGATCACTTATAGCAACGATTTGGAGTTGTGCCCCGAGTAGTTTTGAGTTAGGCACTTTATGCGGTCTGATTGTCAAAGATCTTGATCGGGAGCGGGGGCTTGTCATGGTCTACTGGGATCTTGTGTTGCGACTACAGGACGAAACAAAAAATACTCATTCTACGAGCAGTGTCACTTTTAGTAGGTTAAGCAACTTGCCTTTCCCAACCCGTACCGCCACAGCAATTGATAACGAGATCAACACCAGTGGTTTGGATCATCTTAGCGAGAACACGAATGTATTCTCCAGCCTACATCTCATGAGATAGCACGCCATATGACGCGGCAAGCCTAAGGCCGTTCAAGAACCCGAGGTCAGTCGCCTTGACGCCGGACTGGTTGTAGAAGCGCACCCATTTGACTAGGTAGTCAGCGTATGCTTGCATTCAGTTGCAAAATACACGAGAAGTATTGCTCACTCCACACAAGTATCCGCTGTTGTTGTCGTCTCCACTCGTTCCTATACTCCTTGGTGCGGACTAGGTGTCGCCATAGAGCGTGATGAGACCCCGTTGTATTTCCCTTTAGCTAATGGAAACTGGCTGATGTCATTGCCATCGCAAACTTAGTGTAGGCATGTGTCCGGTGATCTAGGAACGAAGGGTTAGTTGAAGTTCATGAAGTTGGTTGTTCATTTTGTAGTTTTGATATGACTTGGGCTTGTAACATCTGAATAAGGATTCCATTGTTATGCCTCGCACCTTTGAAATCACTACATGAATGTCCACGGCCGATCGCTTCTAGAAGATTTTGATTTCGATTAGAATAGAAATAGCGGACAGGAGATGCTAGAAAACATTAGATGCGTGGAAGATAGCCACAATAACCGAGGTAACAGTATCGGCGGTACAAATAACAGAGCCAACCGCATATATAGCTTCTTCAAATATGTTGAATACTTGGCTTCTGTGCCAAGGAACTTACGCTAATCCCAAGTTAGTACGGAGTGAGAAATTAGCGTGTTCTGGGAGAAAACAGGGAGAAAACACGCTAGAGACTCCAGGATACCACCGTAGTAAATCTGTCGACCACTAGTGAGTCACTAGTGCTTAGGCGAAATAATAATTTGAGGCTGATTACTCCATTCTAACCTATAAATAGGGTGACTGCTTTTCAAAATCTTTCTTCTAGTTTTGGATACGTTTGCCTTACCTACGCTCGCTACAATGAAGATCGCCCCTTTCTGGGTTTCTATCGCCCTAGAGGCTCTAGCAGTCCTTGCTGAGCCCATAAAAATTTCTGCTACATCCACTACCTCTACTGCCGCGAAACCAACCTGTACAGCTTCTCTCATCACCAAGCTCTGCAGCTACAAGGAACCCGAGGAAGGGACTGCCGTTGCCGCCAGTGGTACCGACACCTGCTGGGACTACTGTAACGCCCACCCTCCTTGCGACTTTTCCATCTTTGTTCGTGGCAACCCCTACACGGGCACCGGCACATGCTGGCTGTACCCGGGTGAAACCTTCGATGAGAGCGAAGGTAGTTCGGATTGCGCAGATCCCTACCTATCAGTCTACGACAAGCCCGTATGTTCTGGCGGCCCAACCCCCACCACGGGCGGCTGCACCGCCACCGAGACCCCCTCTGCTATTGCCTCGGTCTGCGGGTACCCGCCGCCTGATGACTGCGAAAAAACTTGCACTGCCAGTGACAATGCGCAGAGCTGCTTGAAGCAATGTGCGAATGCCGATTCCTGCAGCTATGTCGTCTTTAACGCGAACAATCCAAACCACTCGCCATATCTCTCGGGCAATTGCTGGATGTTTTCGAGTGGCACATTTGACAAGGGGTCTACGACCACTTGCGATGGCAAGCCCGAGCAGTATGTGTATGAAAATGTGTGCCCCAAGCCATTGCTTTAGCGGCCGTTTCATCATCTGCTACGGGAGGCTCTAGTGGCACTGGAACTGCAGGCAAGCAATAGTTCGGGCTCAACTACTCGTGCTGCTACGGTTCTAATGACGCCGAAATGCAGACAGTACTCCAGGCCCAACTAGCAGCACTGCTACGGGGTCTGATGGAACCGAAAGCGTAGACAATACTACGGACTCTACTACCAGCAGCAAGAATTCTGCGCCTATCGGCCTCTCTCTCGCTAATCCATTGGCTATAGCCGTGGCTATATTCATATGGCAGGCGCTCAACTGATATAATTGTATGTACTGCTTGTTTGTTTAGTCAAACAAGCTACTGGAAAAATATTATATCTTAAATGGATATCGCATGAGCTCAATTCTCGTGTATCTCTCGCTATTGTAAAAAGTTAAGTTAGGTTTGAGAGGCCAGGCCGAGGTCAGGCCTTTTGTGTTCGGCAACAGCTGATTTAGAAACATTAATATCGAGTTACAAAAGAGAAGAGTTGACAGGAAGAGTCTCATTGTTGTCTCTACCATCTCAGCCCGCTATATCTGCCATTTATGCTTTTCCCTCTCCCTCACTCTTCCTTCTCCTTTCCCTCACTTTCACTTCTCTTTTTCTCAAGACTCGTGGGCGAATCCATCTATCACATCCAACACTCTTCAAAGCCCACCATGTCTCCTTCAACCAAACCCGGCCCAGCAACGGCTGGAAGTGAAGGTGAGATCTTTCCTCGAGTTGGAGAATGACCTGGCTAACCAACTATTTGAGTAGGACGCGACCCTTCAACCTTCGCCTCTCGCGTCCCCACTTTGATTGGATTGAAGAACTGGCCCCGCTAGAGTACTCAATTTGAGAACGTTCTGCGCGAAGTTTCACCAAACCACTGGGCCATGATCGACGGCGCCGTTCTCCCTCCAACTCGTGGATAGCCCCAGCTACTGCCGAGATATCAAACAGAAGCCCCACCGACGAACAGCCCAAAAATAACTTGCACTTTGGAGGCAAGCGAACAAATAGGCCGGAGACCCCCCGTGGCAGACTTGTAGTCCAGAGACTGCTGATAATATCGCCGGAGTCGATCATATGCCAGAGATGCCTGGCTCGAGCTAAAGGAATTGCACTTCAATAGGAGTGTCACTCGCTCTTGGAACAAGAAGGAATTTGTATCTGGCTTCCAAGAGGCCTTGGTTGAGCTGCGCTTTCTCAATTTGAGATTACTCCTGCGATTGAGTTTGCTCGTTTATGCGTGCCGTAAAAGATAGTACGGGCTATAGGCTCTTTTGCACATATGTTTACAATTATCTCGATGTGGAAAATGACATGGGCAAGGTTTACTTTCTTTTCCTGACTGTTAAAGAAGATTGAGAGTAATCGGGGGTTTGACTGACTTCTCCATGCCTTAAATGATATGTTCTCTATCTTCTAAGTGAATGAATACTGATATTTCTCCAATAATAATTCTTATATTGTATTCCTAGATTTTAATGACCAACAGGTTTCACGAGAGCACTTAGTTTGAGAGGGTTCTGTGTGGTGTTTTATCTGCGTATAGATATCTCAGTCATGAGACCAAAGCCAAGTTATTAGTGAGCGAGGCCGAATATCTTTGATTAAAATCCTTCTACACTTCGAGTACTCCGAATATCAGACTTTAGCTTAGCAAATAATCACGAATGCTGTCATTATTAGGGAATGCATTTGTCTGCCGGCATTAATGAACTTTGTCGCTGCGTGTCTAATACCTTTCTCAACACAACACTATAGCAGATACAGCGACTAGAGCCATGACAGCGTTCAAGATAGCAGCTTTTCCTGGCGCACCATTGGTAGGAGTCGGCGTTGAACTTCCTGAGCTAGTTTGATTTCCTGCCGAAGAAACCCCCTGGGAAACTGTCGAAGATACCGCCGAAGTAGTAGAAACCGACGTTGTTGAGGACTTGGAGTCACCAGTGGGAGAAACGGCAGCAGTACTAGAAGTCGAAGTAGTAGCAGTAGCTGGTATCCAAATACCAGCGGAAGTAGTCAACTTGACACCGCAACGAGCTTCTGCATCAAAGGTGAAGTCCAGGTTTCTGGCAATACATTCCCTATGCTGTCGCGTAATGGACTCTGGATTTACCAAATTTATTAGCTATGATTCTTGATCCAGTCGAAGAATGAGAAATAAAAGCAAATAAGAGAAAATAGGTAACATAGGTAAGCTTACCAGGCATGACATTGGGGTTACAATCCTTCATGCAGCAGAAGTATGCCTCGCGATACTTGTGCTTGTTACACATGCATGCTACATCGTCTGTGCAGGATCCACCGGGGAAACTGCTAAAGTAGCAGTTGTTCTAGTGAAATATATATTAGTTAAATTCTTGCAATTCGAATTTGAAATATGCTAAGCAGATAATATACTTACATCGCAGTCCCCATTCTCCAATTCCAATGTTTGGTTAAATGCAGTCACTAGAGTAGCGGCTAGGAGGGCGAAGAGCGTGAAAACAACGGAAACTCGCGCCATGGTGACCGATATGCAGTTTGGAACGACGAAAGCGAGCGATTGATCCGTTATACGGAAAATATTCTGTTCGATAGGCGAAAGAGCCCCAAATGGGGGTTCCCCTATTTATGAAAAATTGCCTGTACAGTTCGCGACGCACTAACCCGTTAAGGGATAGTTCTTTGGCCCCATTCGGATTCTTCTAGGCTCCAGGGGTCAATGCGTCTCCCCCTGGGATGACTTTTCACCAAGGTTGCTTTTCTTTTGCACGCTTTCTCAGTAAACTACATGTACTACGGGCAAGGTTCAAATGAATATTTGGGGAATATATTAAAATACATAGAACGGATAATGTGACATTGATATGGTAGGTGTACCCAGATCTTCATCTACATGAAAATAAAAGCGCCAATTGCAACCCCAGCAACTGCCATTAAGGGACTAACACGGCCCACCGCAATATTGGTGGAGACTGGTGGGGTAGAAGTGCTCGTTGAGCCAGTTTCTGACGTTGCTGAGTTTGACAGTTGAGTTGGAGGTTCTGTAGTCGAGGGAGCAGCGGTAGTACCCGACTTAGTGTGCGAGGAAGTCTCAGCCGCTGCTCCGGTAGAAGATGCCCCAGTGGAAGATGAAACACTGGTATCGGCTGTGGGAGTGGCAGTGGAAGATGTAGTTTCATCAGCGCTAGCGGATGCGATTGCCGAAGGAGTGGGGGCGGTCGAAGGTGACCAGCAGGAGAGAGTAGAGGTTGTAATAATGCATGGTTCCGTGCCTCGGTAGGCAGCACAGCAGGGGACGTCGTACTTGACAGGAGCGCGGCCGCCACCACAGTTCAGCGGGTCGCAGACTTCCCCGTTTGTCGGATCGTACCAGTGGACGATGTTGTCAGCGCAGGTGGTGTAGCTGTTGCACGCACCAAAGGCGGTCGTTGCCAGCATCAGCAGGGATGCGGTGGTGGATAGTGTTGTTTTGACCATTTTGTATGTTGATATTTTCTGGATGAGATTGTGGTTTGCGGGTTAGAGAAATGAAAAGGGTAGGAGACACAGTGTTATACGCATTGAGATCAGTTAGTCAATAATAACTGGACCCCTTAACGAGCGCCACCAAATTAGGTACAGAGTACTCCGTATGTTGAGCCTCGCCTGAAAGAGATAGACTCCGCGGAGAAGTCAAATTCTAATTGGTTAGGTTCCAAGCCCGCTTGGCCATTAACCCAATTGGGACCATTTTATATTACTCCATGACACTCTGCGATGTATATAATAAACATACTAATTTTTGACACAATATACATGCATGCACATATTGAAGTGAAACATCTATGGATCTCAGCCATATATCTATCGCAACGTGGATCAAATCCGCTTTGGGTCTAGATTCCCGGCCATATCCCGATTTCCTTGCCATATACTGGTTCAATGAATCCATTGGTGACAACAACGTTTATAATAAGATATCAGTCCTTCACAAGATGTCCTGTTTGGGAATTCGAGCTAAATTGTTAGTGCGAGTCCGATTCTAACATGCTTGTAGTGGAGCTTCGATTGGGCTCACTATAGAGGCTACGAGTAAAGTATAAAGGCGCAACATACTACACAAAAGCACTCTTTGACTACAACTTCGCCCAGCCAAAACGTATAAGAAAGAAAAGTGTTCTGTTCCAGAAAACGATCCCCATCTTCGTCAAACCATTGATATCTTGAGCCCGTGGCCATCGCTCAATTAACTCTTCACTTCTCTCACTCAAGAGGTTACTTCTATTAGGAGCTTTGACTACTGCGCTTGCTCCGTTCTCCTCACTCTTCTATCCAAAGCCTCTTAACTTCCAGAGTCTCGAGCTCGACAAAGTGACTGACTACACTCTACTTCAATACCTACTTTCGATCCCTCGTCGTTCAACATATGCAACCTTCCAGCCGAAATTCTTCGCTGTTCTCACGCAAACTTACTTCTTTGCTTTCTTTCGTGCCATCTTGCTGATTCCTCCGCCTATACGCATTGATGATTATTGTACACTTGCCATTTCCTCTTTTTGTTCTTGATATTAACTTTTAGAGCTCCTCTATTATCCTGGTCTTGGACAGAGAATATGCATTAACTATCCATAGCATCATAAACCATCCTTACGGCCGAAGAAATTACAATCACTGCTGTCATGGCCAATCAGAAGCAACTGACACTTCCAAAATGGTTCGAGAAGCTCGAAGGAAAATCCAACTGGTCTTCTTGGCGCAAGGGTCTGCATGAAGCTTTTATGAATGTCGATCCTATTTCCTGGGACGTCATCATGGACAGACTCGGTGATGACAAGATCAAGCAGGAATCGACTACAACAGCAGAAGAAGAAAGCTTCGATCCAATATTCTTGGAACAGGATGATTCATCTGAAACCGACACCAACAGTCTGGAAGAGCCCGAGTTCTCCGTGACACGAACAAATCACCTAAACCCCAATTTCCCCCCATTCGACAAGAATCGGCCGGGAGATCGGCGGAAGTTAAATATCCGTGCTCGTGATCTTCTCGCCTCAGGTCTTGGCAAGCAACCATTGTTAGAGATAGAACGAGTGATGGACGCACGCGAAGCGTACGTCAAACTCGAGAGCGTGTACGGGAAAACATCTGCTCAGTCCGTGCACATTGCGTGGGAGAAGTTCAGCAGAGTCCGTTACTCTACTCGTGGGCTCACTCCCGCTGCGTTCGTTGACCGTTTCCAAAAGAGTCTCCGCGATGTGAAGGACCAGTGTGTGGAAGTTCCTCCTACTGTGGAGCTTGCTCAGTTCCAACAGGCAATTAAGCCGAATCCAAATTCGACTACATTCATGGCAGATATGAAAGTGGATATCTATGATCCGAATTTCATGCAACTTGTCTACGAAGATTTCCTCAAAGATCAGTCGCCAATATGATTCATTCACCTCATGAACGAGATACGTCTTTTCTTTTGCAATGCCTTTTCTCTGTTTGCCAACAGAATTCATGTTTTCAGCCCATACCTTCTGCGCGTATCTATGCACCTCTTTTTTTGTTTTACTTTGATTTTACCCCTTTGCGTTTTCGTTCTTCCGATTTTAGGAACAACGTCAGTGGTTACTAGCAGTGTACGTATGTGTGCTTATCATACCCTGAAATGGAATCTGCTAGTCCATGCCGTGCCAGTGGGCAACCATTAACTATAAACAATGGGTTATTGGAAGACTATAGCGGCACCCAAAACGATCACAGCGACTGACACACCAAGGACACCACTTAACCCATCCCACGAGTTAATCCTCGAGGCGACTCTTGCCGCAGAGTTCGAAGTAGATGTAGCTGTTGTGGACGCAGCCGCTGTGAAGCCCGCCCCAGCTGTTCCTGCTGCTTTAAGATCAGACTGACGATGCACTAGGTGAAGCATAGGCTGCATAGAAACAGCCCCATGATTACTAACGTCCTCCGCAGCGAAGGTTGTCGTGACGCTACTGACGGGTTGCGTATCAGTAATAGCGACGAGAAAATCCGTGGAGGTAGTCCCATTCACGACGACGGTTTTCGTTTTTATACCAATATCCTCATCGGGAATCATGCGGCGACATCCTGTGGTAATCAGGTAATCAGGAACAGCCGAATAACAGCCGAATGTAATATCCGCGGTCATGGTGTTGGAAAAAAAATATATAATCAGTGAAATCCCGGGGAGTAGTATTCTTGACTGTACATAGCGCTCGGGTTGGGATCCAGAGTAGCGATTTCGGGAACCGTGCCAGTGGGGAGACAGCCATTATAACCACCTCTAGTGCATTGCACATTATATGCAAAACTAGGAAGAAGATCACTGATTCCAATCCCGTAATTGTTTATCGCAGTTGAGCAGCTGGCTGGTGCGGTAAAGGTAGTGGTCACCGGGCCCAAGTTACTGAAGGTATATTCATCGGTGGTAGTGATACTGGGCATACTTGCGAAATGCAAGTCAAAAGTAACAACGCGAATGAAGTAAAAAGCAGAATAAGGGGCCTGATGCTCCGCAATAAGGGTGATCCTCTGGACAAGGTAAGATCTATGGTTGGGAAACTAGATAAAATATAAATTATTGGTGGCTTTAGGCGAACAGTTGTTAGCGCGAAAGGCTAGCGGGGGTAATATATCCCGGATAAAATAAATTTGCCAAGTTGAGGCTAAGACGAGGCTACTGATTTATTAGCAATCTAATGTGTTGCTTAAAGTGGTGGAGTTCGGTTTAGAGTGTAGGAGTCCTCTCGAAGCCTTTATTGGTCAGCTTTTGGATTGGATTATATCGTATAAGGCTGGTAATAGCAGATGATAGCGAAATATGTTATGAAGACTTTGAAGAGGAGTCTATAAACGGAAATATCTGACGAGGATATGGTTAGGTTATTTTAAGATTTTGGGCTCGGCTGCGAGGGATGTATAGCCAGCTGCACACTCTGGAGTAGTTGTATGTACCATTCGCTCTACTATAACTGGCTCCTTCCCAATTTGGTGGACGGAGTTTAGGAAAGAACTGAATGGGGGGAGGTGATGGAAGGTGAGAAATGATTAGAGGGAAGGTAGAGGAAATATAAAAAAGAAGTGAAAAAGATGATGAAAAAAAATGAGATGGAGAATGAGGATGGAAGATGGGGGTGGGATGTGGGAGGATGGAGGTCCCTCAACCTTATATACGGTGCGTTTTCTCACTTAATATCTTCGAGAATTGGTTCTACCTCTTATTAGGGCTTCTCTCATATAACGATTTCTTCATTTGAATATCTACTTCCATCTCATTTACTACTCACTTTTACTTTTAAGCTCACACTACGAAGTACACGACCTTGGGATTATGGCATTCTTGACAATACAAGCAAATTCAAGCGTGAATATCCCCACTTTGCTAGAACATGAAGATAAGACACAGCCGCAAGATCGGCGGTCAACTAGTAGAGATGATTATATGAATTTGAACCCGGAGTATAAAAGTGTAGTGCATTCCGTATTTCTCACAATATGTAGCCGTGTAGTGGAAGAAAATGATCACGTCACAGATTGGAATCCGTGCAATCGGAGGATTTGAAGGTTGAGGTCTGGGAGCCCAGGGGGTAGCTTTACAGGGTCTTGGAGCTTGGGTCTGGATATGGGACCGGCGAAAAACCTGGATAATTGTGTATCTTCCCACTCGTCTCCCTCCTGCAGGAAATTCCTTAATCCTCTTCCACTGTGCTCGAGGATATGGACTTTTCACCTACTCAGAGGCTAGTCGATAGGTGTGATCTTCTGAAAGCGATTTCCTCATTTTGGTGACCTGTTTCTCCAGCTTTGTTGCCTTTTTAATTTGCCCGTTGATCCTATATGCTATTGAGAGTTGCCACTCTGACGGTAGTCGATGAGGGTGATCCTGTCGAAGTGATTTTCTCATTTCGACGACATGCTCGAGTAGGCTTATTTCCTGTTTGATTTGCCCATTCATCTTATATGAAATTGCAAGTGCATATTCAGAAGCTAGCCGACGAGGGTGATCCTCGGGAAGAGACTTTCGTGTTTTGACGACGTGCTCGAGGAGCTTTATTGCCTGTTTGTTTTTTCCACTCCTCTGGTATAATACCCCGAGTGCATATTCAGAGGCTAGCCGATCAGGGTGATCTTCCGGGAGTGACTTTCGGATTTTGGCGACGTGCTCGAGTAGCGGTATTGCTTGTTTGTTTTGCGCGTTCGACAGATAAGATACCCCAAGTAAATACTGAAAGGCAAGACGATCAGGGTCATCTTGAGGAAGTGATTTTTCAATTTCGACAGTGTGCTCGAGTTCCTTCATTGATTGTTTCACTTCCTCGTTCACTTGATATGAGTTATCTCCGGAAAGGTACGTAAGTTCGATAATGTACTCAAATAGGTCTATTGTCTGTTTGAGTTGTCCTGTCGACCGATATGACATCGTGGGTTCATACTGAGAGGCTAGTTGAGACACGGCCTCCTGGTCGGAAATCCACCCCGATGCTTTTTCAATATAAACACCGGCCTCTTTTGGCCGACCATCCGCCAAGAGACATCCCCCAAGCTTTCCAAGCAGCGCGTACCTATCAAAGCCTTGGGCTTCATCTCTTCCGATCAGGCTTAGGACATGAGGCATGTATGCCCGCCATTTCTCTCTTTCCTCGTATTCGCCACACGGAAAGACCTCTCGTAGCCTTGCAAGTGCCATAGATGTGCATGAAGTTAGGGACAAAGTGGATGTAGAATCTGCTTTTCTTAGCCAATTTCGAGTAGCAAGGTGAACGAGTCGGTGGAGATTCAGCAGCTCCTTTTGTGAGTCCTCGCTGACAAACCAATATGCTTTCAGCATCCCAATTGCTTCGATCTCCTCTTTCCGGGATCGCGCTGGTGGCAGAAGGGACTTCGGGATATTTGTCGGCTCTATACAGGCGATGAATGACAAGTAAGCGCCTGCTAGAGGGTTTTTGCAAATTTGTTCAAATGATATTAGCCATGTTGTTGCCACCGGGCTTTTTCCATCAAGATATCGACCATCGCCCTCGAATTCCTCGCTAAAAAGGTCGACAACCTCTTCCTCTCTTCGTTCCAAAAGCGATAGGTAATCAGAAAGTCTTGCTACCGAGTTCTCATTGATGTAGGAAGCAGCCTGAACAATTGCCAGAGGGAGAAACGTAAGCTTCTCGAGAAGCAGCAAAGTTTCGTTGTAATCCTGACAAAGCGTCGTTTTATCCAAGCAGCCACGAAACAACTCCATTGCTTTCTCCTCGTCCATCTCAGCAACTCCGATCACCTTTTTTGCGAGTTTATGGGCGATCTTCTTGTAACGTGTAGTGAAAAGTATTCTTCCGCGTTTGCTCCATGGAAGGTAATCACTCAACATGCTTGGCTTGCCAAACCACATGTCGATATCATCAGCATTGTCGAAGATGAGCAACCACTCAGCGACACTTTTGGTAAGGTAATCCTTAAGCAACAATTTGATATCATCTTCCTTCTCATCGACTCCTGGTATCCCCAATGCTCTGGCTATTTCATAATAGGCTCGTTCGAGGCTCTTGAGGCTCGTTACTGGAATCCAAAAAACATGGCATCCCGGGTGCTCCAACTGCGTTTCGTATGCCAGTTTGATCGCAATCTGCGTTTTCCCGACGCCTCCGAGCCCGGTGATCGCGACCTTGGATTGAGGCGCGACCTTGGATTGTTGGCTTGAAGGAAACAGGAGCTTCTTCAGTTCACCAAGCTCTTTTTCACGACCGACAAATCCTTCATTCTCAGGGAAAGGAATATTCGTAAATCTCTCGTGGGGCGCTGTTGAGTTGTTAGCTAGATTCGCGGTGTGGCTCACATATCTTACAGTTCTTGTACTGCATCAAACAGCTACGGTGTTTCTAATAAGAATGAGCTTGGAATCCACGACAGGCTCTAGCCTAGATGATATTTTCCTTACATCAACAGTTTCACTGAATTTGAGACCAGTGCTATCTAGATAGCGTTAGCTGGGGAACTAGACATTCTAAGAAAAGTCTTCGATGGACACACTTTGTTTCTGCACAAGATTTTCCACACACTTATCCAGGCGGAATCTGCTCTCCTGTAACTCAACGTACTCATTCGTTGCTGCCTCGATTTTGGCCTTTTCTTTATACTCCTCCAAACCCACATCCTGTAGGCCTTGTTCCACATTGAAGCGGAAGTAACGATCGCTGCGGAAATGCCCAACCCACCTGTCTGAGATCTCGCTCGCTGTTTGTTCCGTCTCCGTCGTAATAGCCACCAGTGTTTTGTAGATGAACTTGAGCCCTTTGCTCTCGATCTCTCGTTTGCCGGGATTTCCGGTTCCAATGGAAATAAAGCATTTCACAAGGCTTTTCAGGTCTCCCGTCTGCGGGCACCAGATCCTTGATGCCTCTCCTTCCACCTCAATCACCGGGTTATTTGCGTTCAGCCCGCCATCCACGAAGCAGCGGTCTCCAATATAAACCGGGTCGAAAAAGCTTGTCGCAGCAGATGTGGCAAGAGCGGCTTGGCAGATGGTTGCATCGGTTTTAGGTGTCTTGCGTAAATTGTAACTTCGTAACCGGGTAATCTTCGTTGTCTCCTTGGCCATAGCGCATACGAATCTTGTTGAAAGTTAACCACTGATTTACCTATAAATAAATCCATCTCAGTCTTCCACTTACACTTTGCATCTACTATCGTCTCCGTCATTTAGTAGATCCTCCTCTTTAACATCGCGGGAAGCAAGGACCTCCAGAATTGCGCTTTTCAAAATGTCTGAGCTGAAACGCGCCTTGATTGCACCTGTGCGACTGATAGGGAGTGTAGCCCGTTTGCCTTTGAAAACCGTTTTGATGAGCCTCTCATATGCCGTAATACATTCATCAACGGTCATTTCGAGTCGCCCTAGCATGATTGCTATGATACTATTTGAATTAGCTGGGCTAAAAATATGGAAATACACAAGACAAACCCTCCTGTGCTTGTTCCACCGATGAGATCGAAGACTTCACACGGCTTCACAGGCCTAAGACCCTGCTCGTTGCGCTCATAGTTGAGATCATCCATAATGTTCTTGAGTATGTAGAGCGTTGATAATCCTCGGACACCCCCACCGTCCAGTGACAACAGACACAGTCCTGTTGTATCCACTGGGTTTGGCTCGCTACCAGTCGCCATCGCTTGTGTTTGCATTTAGGCTCGATAGAGACACCAGTAGGTCAACAATCCTTCGCGGTGAATTTGATAGAGGCTAGGAGAGCGGAGTTTTAGGTATAGACAGTTGAGTTGAGATACGTACTGGGGAGGTACCTCTTTTGACCGCTAAATCTCCTCGGAATTTCTAGTACGGAATAGCCTCATTAGGAGTCAATCACACACCTTTAGGCCAAAAGGCGGGCAATCAATCAAAGCCCTCAGCGTTCGAGGCACTTTAACCTACTGTGTGACAAGTCATAAAGGTCGTGATTGGTCTGTGTATGCCTCTCGTTAATGCTATTGGTCAAGGTGAGAGCGGCTGAATGGGGGCCTTACGAATATACGAACGAGACGCGTTGTTGGCGTGGTCGCGGGATGTCTACTCCTGGTAAGCACAATTTTCGAAGATATACTATAGTTTTACCGAATTCACAAATAGTAACTTGATGTACACAAAATTGGCAACTTTCACACCTGCATGCCGATAGTTACCCTTTTCGCTCTTTTAAATCAACAACGACGCACCGCCCCCCAAAGTCTCCCGAAATCGCGTGTAGATCGTTTAAAAATACACTGCATATACATTTAGAAAGCATCGCCTAGAAGATATCAGGCTCTGTGGACTCGCTATAGTTAGATCCGACTACATCCGAGTTTGCACTGTTTAGAATATATATAATGAAGTTCAACTCACAGACTCTTGTACTATTTTTATATCCCCTTTCAGCGCTACCCCCAACGCACCAGCATGCGTTTCGTTTGGCTCACCAGTCCTTTGACATACGCTTATATGCACATCTCGTGCACACATCTTCTAATCTTGATCATTCTGGTAGGATTTAAGATCCTGTAATTTAACGGAGGTTCACTCTAGTTGGCTGTGTTGGAATGGCTTTTCTCGTGTGAAGTATTTCGATCATCCGAATCGGGCCTGACGTTAGAAGAGCCGCAAGGAGACTGATTGGTATTTCGCTTAGTGGATGTGATAGCTCGGAATGGCGGTAGGCATCCGACGGTAATACCTGGGATTGCCGTTAGGATTCATGATTGTATGGCAAAGGCACTAGTGGAAAAGGCAGAAAACCAATAGATTCAGGAGGATTCGAAAACACCCCACACTGCAAATGCTGCTTGATCTGAGTATGCTTTTCCAGTAATTTCGACAGCTTGTATAATTGCCGTTCCGACAATAACGAATCCGAGACAGAAAGCCATTGCTAAACCGATCTTTTGTTGCATGGTGATTCCGCTTGCCAGACTATGAGAAGTGGGAGGGACATAACTTTTTTGAATAGTGTTAATTAAAATTTCGCACATAATATGAAGAAGTGGTGTCTGTACCCAACAAGTAAGTCTGTAAGGATATCTACTGCCGTGCTTTACGAAATAGAAATCACAGATCCTGTTTGATAAATTAAGATTGTGCATTTTCCTGGGAGTCGTTACAAACAAAATCCTGGAATCTCGAAAAACAGATTTTCTACCAAACTTGAAATAGTTAGAGGGCGGGTGCAGGTGTATACCGAGGTAATCTAACATCCGATATATGCGAGGGCTGCGAACACAACACTCGGCCACCAGAACCGCCGGTACCGGGGCAGCCCGGTAGATGTCATCCAGACGAGCGCGAGGAGTGAGGCATTTACGCTAGCAAAGTCCGTGGTGGGTATATCTGGTCCTGTTATGCTCAGAACCACATAATAGAGATGCGGTGCCTGGAGAGTCTGTAAAACTGCGTCCGTTATCAAAAAGGGTAAGGCGAGGAGTATAAAGTAGTCATCGGCTAGTAGAAGTTTGACATACACGGTTCGAATAGCGATGCGAACAGATGTTAATAGGATCCCCAATCCTGTTTCAGCCCAGTTGATAGAAATGAGGTTATTCGCTGAGAGTCCAGTTACCACACGCTGGGGGGCAGGAAGTCACGGGACTGACTAGGTCACAAAACTGTATGTACACTGTTGTTCAGTAAGTGACAACAGATGGGACGTTCCGGTATAGCTCATGTTCAGTTTACGATAAAGATTAGCCCTTTAAGGGCTGAACTCACAAGGTGGTGTTCAACTCACTTGTTTATGCAACTGCCATCCAGGAAAGAATGTGATAGGCTACGGTTATTTGAACCACTGTTACATCTGCGTAAGAGAGAACCTGGACTATGGGGCCCTACCAGGCCGGGAAATTACTAGGCGGGGACAGAAGAAGGGCGAACGTAACAGAAACTACTCCATAGATACAGGACTTTAGCAATGGGTCCGATATGGAATAGGAATTTACCGCTTATGCTAGTTCCCATCGGCGAGTACTCTGAGCAACTATCCTCTAATCTCATTCTTGAAAGAATCGAGGTTTGCTTGTGAATGATATCTAGACACGATAGTGTGGCTTTTCAATTGGATAATTAGGGCCCAACGAAGTCATCTAAAGATCTAGGATCTGTAGTCGAAATTTAAATTAAGCCACCTCCCAACAGGTGTTGCAAACGGGATACTGTATGGCCCGCAGAGCGCTACAGGACGTTTGCTTCAAACAGAGCTTTCCTCGAATATTAGATATTATCCCGTTTGGGTTATCCTTCAAGCCATTCTAGTTGGGCACTGACATTTCAAGCCAAGCCCTTCCCCAATCCGGAAAATCGTCAGATTCCACAATATTTGCGCTAATAAGACAACGCATGTATGTGTATGACAGAAGCAGGAAAACTCGCATTTGTTTATGCAGTCAGATCACCCTTCATATAACACCTGCGGGAAAACACCCTGGTTTGAAAGACGTGGTGTTTACCTGTGGTCCCCTTACAATTTCGTTGCGACGGATCCTGCCTTAGCCGAATAGGGCTGTGCTCCCCACTCTGTTTGGCCATCCTCCTCTCTCTCGCTCTCCCTCCCCACTCTCTCTCACACAGAGCCAGGTCCATGCAAGAATGGGTCCTTTTCCTTCCCCCGTCAACCCTTTATACAAGCCTGGTGATGGGTTCAAATCTTGTCTCCAGGAGTTATGCGGATGCGTAAGCCGATTCCGGAAATCCCAACCGGAAACTGCCAAATCTGCATATTCGTCGGTTGCAACTGACTCTCACACTCTAGGAGATCCCTTCTGGTCCTTGCCAAGCACCTTCGATTCCCTCAAAACACCGGTATTAGCAAGGTTGACCCACAATCCTCCAGTGGCTATCTCAATCCTTGTCAGTTCTCTAGTCCGCTGTATGCTATCCAAAGAGGACGGTGTCACTTACCACTAGTTACATCCGTTTGCCGTCAAAATATATCCCAGAAGGCCCGTTGTTGTACAGCAACTTACAGTTATCCTACTGCGGCGGCTATGAACAAGATCCTCAGCAAGTATCAGAAAGCTGTGGACCCACCCTTGCAAGCAATTTACAGATCCAACGGCTCTCCACTCTCCACTTCATACTTATAGGCCCTGTATGCTGTATCCGAACCAGTACGGATCAGCCCCTTTACTGAGCCTTGATATCACGAGTGTTTGGAAAAGCTGAATTGATGAGCCGTGCCACTCTTGGGGACATGGCTGGTGTCGCTGCAGGGAATACTGAGGGGGCTGCATTCAGTGCTGCTGAGCTCTTTGGGAGTGGAAAGGTTCCGTTGTGATGCATCTGACCCTATCACTTATATTAAGGGAGGGGCTATAAGAGCTCTCGACCCACTTCTCGGAAGTTACAAGAATCCCACATGAGGATCCTTTGCGAATTCGCCGGTTTACTAATTGCAGAGGCCGATCCCATCCTCTATGGGCCACGAACTTTCATTTACAAAGTATATGCCTCCAACCCGACTAGAAAAGTCTATTGTATGTACTAATCTAGGTGGGTAGCCAACCACAGACTCGGTATTTGATGGAGACAAATAACGGCCCACTTTGTCCACTGGGCTGTGACGAGTAGTGTCGGATGAGTTGGCATTGAGAATCCTATCGGGATTTTCAATTTGCTACAAGACACATGTCCATCGCTGCACACCGTGTGTTAGACGGCCTGAAAAACAATGATTTATATAAATCTAACCCGAAATGTGTACAAAATGTGTCGTAAACCTCATGTCGATCATTAATTTCTTTCAGACAAGGGACCCCGAGCATCATGGTGACAGCCACTCACTGTACCAATTCCCATCTTTATCGCGATATTTGATGTGACTTTTGGGCTGGAACTTCGAATGATTGGGATGTTCCGCGATGAAAGCTGCGGTCAGACGAGCGGACTCTGGTATTTTCTCCCCTGGTGGAACACCTGTAGACTCAATATCGTAAACACGTTGTAGCAGGACAGCAGCCTCAGCGGTAGAAAACATCCCCTCTCGTCGATTGTATTTTCGGCAGATGGCCAACACCTTCTGGCGAACCGTCCAGTCCCGACATTTGATCCCACAAAACATGAGGGCTCCTAAGAATCCTTCCTTCACCGAAAACAGTGGGTCGGGTAACTGATCGAAGCTACTCAACAACACTTCTGCATTATCAACAATAGCCTGAAAATTATGGAGGACAGTATCCCAATCTGTTTCAGAGCTTGAGAATTTTGTTGAGGCGAGGACAATTTCCATCATCTGGATCTGCGTTTGAAGGACCATAAAGGCACGGAGCTTTGTGGGGCAGGCAGTCTTTTGGTGGAGAACAGTACACTGCTGTACTTGTGTATTAAATCGATGGACCTTGTTTGCAGGGGTGTCCCATGTAAATCCTTGTGACATATTGCTGATCATCGGGTCAAGCGACACGGGGTCACTCAAGATTAATGACCAAGCTTGAACAGACACTAGGAGAGTCGCTTTTGAGAGTTCATCCGCATATGTAGAAATATCGACGAGGTTATCATGGATAAGTTCTAGAAGATAGGGAAAGTCTGCTCCCTTATAATCCTCGAGCCTTGTAGCACTCGCCCAATGGATATGGAGCTGAATAAATGTATGTAATAAAACCGAAGCAACCGGGCTCTTAGAATTCTTCTGCCTCCACTCCCAGAGGAGTTTAGTCCCAGCTCGCAGATGACAGCGAACGGCATCAACATCGCCTTGAAATATAGCGAAGGTAACTAAAACAACGCAAGCCACTAGGACTTTTTCTGTGGTCGAGGGATCTGATTGGTCGTCCTTCATCATAGCCGTGCGGAGACAAGCAATCGCCTTTGTGGATTGCCGAATTGGGAAAATGTCGTTCCGGTCTGAAGCGGGGTTCGCAAATCTACGATGCAAGGCACCGATACCAATCGCTGCATGGCGCACCTCAGGGCAAGATTCACTGACTTGATGAACAAGTACCTGCCAGAATGGGTCGAAGTTATATCCAGCACACTGGCTAGCAGTATATGAACGGAATGAATACAAATAATCCCGTTCCATCCGTGATAAGCCAACTTGACTGCTATCCACCACATGGACCAAACCAGCGGCTTGAGCTTGTTGCTGGCATACATGCACAATGTTTAGAGCACCTCCATTTGTCTTCGCGGTGCGGGCATCTCGGACCTCACGGGTTCTCCTGTCGGGTGGCGCCGCATACCCTTGGCATACACGCCCAGCTCGGATGCACATAAGGCATGCGGGTCGCGTTTCATCACATTTCTTGTGACGAGATCTTCAAACGGGTGTTAGCATAGACCTCCTTATTACCCGGGCGTGATCGTGAGATCCTAGGGCTGATCTCCGCATTGTGTTTACGCGTTGCGGATCCTTTCGGCCACTTAGCACTAGATTCGGGTATACGAGCACTCACTTGCATGTTAAACACCCCGTGCGGACCTTCGATCCACTAGTCCTTTTTCTCTTCTCCCTTTCGCGTATCACCAAGGTTGATTGGCTCCCTGGCGAAAGGGTAGGTGGATCTGACATGATGGGTGTGAAATCAGGATAAACGGTGACACCGAGTGACACCAAGGGACGACAGGAGGATTTGTGGACTTCAGGGGGGGGGGATCGCGTAAAAGCCCCCGCTATTTTAGATGCATGACAGGGATCGTCCGTTGGGGGAGATGCCATTTTGGTCTTTGTCCAATCGTGTGTTGACGATGTTACTAGCTAGTGGGTCATTGCCTATTCAACCTGAGGCACCGCTGCGAACTCACCGCCAAGCCCGAGGTTCTCATCTTCACGTCAACAGCGATTGAATGAACCATTTGTAACCCCGCAACAATCCAGATGTATTCAGCACCTAGAGATGCGCTGGAGTTTCCAGAGTCGGATAGGGGCTTCTTAGAGCCTCATCTGCCGCCTCAGGATGACTCAGCACCTCAATCTGATCTCCCCTTCACAACGCTCACATTCGCGACCTCGCTTGACTCGTCTCTCGCTCTGTCCCCTGGTGCACGAACGGTACTCTCAGGCCCCCAGTCCAAGGCAATGACACATTATCTGCGATCCCGCCATGATGGAATTATCATTGGCGTTGGTACGGCGGTGGCAGATGATCCCGGTCTTAACTGTCGAATCTCAGGAGTCGGAGGTTATGGCAAGGAGGGTCTGGACGGCCAGCCTAGACCGGTCGTGATTGATCCAACAGCCAGATGGGAATTCTCAGGTGATAGCAAGCTGTTCCAACTTTGTAGAGAGGGGCGTGGCCGTGCCCCATGGATCATCACTGCAGTTGAGAAACTGGACCCCGAAAAGCAAGCATTGCTGGAAAGGTACGGCGGAAGATTTATCCCAGTCAAAATGATCAGACTGCATACCGGTGGACATCAAATTGACTGGCGGGACTTGCTCGTCACTCTGAAATCGAATGGTCTCGGAAGTGTCATGGTAGAGGGTGGTGGCCACGTCATCAAATCCCTTCTGAGCCCACATTATATGTCTTTGCTGAATAGCGTCATTGTGACTATTGCTCCCACCTGGCTAGGTGAAGGTGGCGTGGTCGTTTCCCCTGCCAGGCGTTTTGATGAGAGTGGAAATGCCATCTCCGCAGCGAGATTGAAGAATGTCAAATGGTACCCATTTGGGGAAGATGTCGTCCTCTGTGGGCAGGTCAAGCTCTCTGAATAAGAGACCACCTTGGATCTACTTTCCATTAATATTGACAAAGACCACTGCCAAGCGCAGGTTCCTTTGATCTACATGTTCGAAAGGACACCAGGACACCCAGAACAAAACCTGGGGCAACTTAAGGCTATGCCTTATCTTGTAATCGAGCTAGGCAGACTTCAAAACAGGTCATTCCACTGCCTGATCTATTGGGTACTGTTTCTCACCCGCAGACGTACGGTTCACCCCAAATATTCCGTTGATGCCATCGTCCTCTTGAGGCTGGTTTGAAGGTATATTTGCCTGTACAAAAGACTACAGGGTGGCACCTTGTGCTTTGGCAAAGCATCTGATGGAGGACTTGCTAGTGCGATATAAGTAGACTAATTGTGCTCTACCACGGCAATTGACTTGGCCACACCAAATCAAATCTTCCAAAATATCAACACTGAGTGTGTGACAATTGTCGAATTTACACGGCTTTATGCTTCAGGGGATATCATGATAGTCCTAATTCAATTCAAACAATACTGACAACCAAAGCCAACTTGCAAAGTTCACTATTTTGAAATCGATCCAACTTGCACGTTTCGATTGTCTTCTTCGGTCCTATATTTTCTTAGCTCCATTCAAGATCAACAACAATCTTTGTAAGCTCATATTGTGGCACCTCGCATGGCTTCCTTTGTCTACAACAATGGCCTTTGTTTTCGGCGTATAATCGTTTTTGAACCAACACGAAAACCAGTTATAAATATCTTCCCTGTCCACACTAACTTTAGAGCGATCAGGCCATCCCCCATCCTTGACATAGGTAAGTACTATCCACTACACACCTATATTGACGTTTTTAGGACGCTGTTCTACAAACAATGCCACCACTCAACGATAGTCAACAACACGAGCGTATACTCACAACGCTGAAGCGCCGAATCCACGATCTCCGGTCAAACCCTGGGAGCCGCACGCTTGTAATTGCTCGTCTGAACGCGATTTCCTGTCTAGCACGCATCTGCGCACAGTTTGGGAAGGATATTCGTTTCACTCAGCTTTGCGACGTCCTCCAAAGGGGGTTGCCTGGACAAATCGCTCTGCTCAAGAGTGACATAAACAGTAATGTTATAGTTGCAGATGCTCTCGAGCGAATGATCCTTGAATGTTCCTTTCGTCGTTCTGTCTCTGCCGTGGATAGTGACGATGGCAAGGTTGACAGGGTGGCTGACCAGGATGCTAATGTAGATGCTAGTGACCAGGAAAGTGATATGGATTTCAGCGATGATAACTATATTGCACAATTGCTTCTTGGTTCGAAGTGGGCGAAACCGATCGTCGATTTCGACGAAGAGCCGTACGGGGAGATTGAGCTATCTTCCGCTGACGTCAGTGAAGAGGAAAGTGAGATGGACTCTAGTGATGACAACTATGTCGCACGATTGCTTCTTGGCCCGAGCTGGGCTACCCCATTAGCTGATTTCGCGGAGGGGGCATATGGTGGGAAGAAGGAGGCCGGTAAGTGATGATAGATTTACAATAGACCGAAGCGTTCTCTCCATAGGAAAAGCGGTTGGATGGTACCGACATAACTGGCAATTTCTAAAATCCAAGAAGGGAAGAAAATCCATGCAGAAATTTATATCCATTTCAATCAATGCGTATGAACGGTCTGGTTCAAACCGCAATCTAAGTATTTGTAGATCGTCTCTCAATACCTAGGAGAGGACTTTCCTACTTTAGTGAAATTTGAACATTCCGAGTTGATGATTTCGCGAGATGGAAATGTAAAGACATCTGAAAGATTATGTACTCAATAAGATTAATTACATTGCTTTCAACATAGTAACAGATATAGTGTTGATATGACTTCGACCTTCGAGCAAATTGAGGAATTCTTTACTCTCTATAGGCCAACGCAAAAGACGGACCGGTGCTATCTCGGCTGGTACCTGGTCTTTCGGCCCTCGGTCGAGACATCTCACGGTGGATAATGTTGGCTAACTCCGCTTGGTCTTCATCTCTGAGTGTTGTCACCGTGCCTTGTCTTTGTCTTGGCATAGCATCTCCCTCATCCCCGGTGTCCGTTGCGCTACCTTCGGCCTCTTCTGTGGTCTTCTGTCTGACCTGTCGAGCCTCTTGTTGCTCATGGAGCGTGGATTCCACCTGCTCCCGGCAATCCTTCTCTTCCATCTCTTGTTTTACGCATGCGTAATGGGCCCTTCGATAAACACCAATGGTGCTAAGGGCGATACCAAGTACTTCATAGACAAACAGGACAGGCAGCGCGTAATATAGTTTGGGATTGCAGCCAGAAGACCAGATGTCGATGAGTACCTGAAAGACAGAATGTGCAGGTAAAGCAAAGCCCACTCGGTAGAAAGCAGGTGACAGCTCGAATGGGATAAGAATGGAAGTGATGTTCGTGATGATCCACGATATCAGCGCCATCGGTACGTAGGGAGGGGGGAGCCAGATGGTGAAAACGTCTAACACCAAGAAGTTCAAATGCGCAAAGAGCCACAGGACCAGCCAGGTGAGTGCGAACTGGTTTCCGTTCACATTCCAACCACTCCGGAAGGCCCAGATTGCACCGGCTGTAGACATAGACCCGATGACTGTGTAGATTGAAGATATGATCAGACGCACGATGGCGATGCGATGGGGTGACACCGATGTGTAGAGTTTGAATTGAGCGTATAAACCGTTGATAGTACCCAGGTAGAAGAATTCCTGGATCAGGATCAAAATGATAACAAGCGTGTTGTAGATAACTCTTGACCCTTGTGATGTGGGCTGAATATTGTTGTTGGCCAGTGTCCACGGTTCATATAACGCTGAAAGCGCTGCAGAATCAGAGCTGTTGATACTTTGCAGAGACTGGTGCCCGTTGGTCCGCGAATATGTAACACGTGCAGTTTCCGAAAACAATTTCATGCTATCTGCAAGCACCGAGTCCACCACTGTCGGGTAGCGCGCTTCGTTCCACACCATGGTGAGAACATCGTTCTTGTCGTAGGAAGACGCAGCGGATCCACCCGCAAATGCGGCACTCAGTGCGTTTGACGCATTCGCTGTGATGTATAACGCTCCCCAGTATTTGATGTCGCAGACTGCACCTTCGATCGAGCCAGGTACGGGGTAGACGGAGGCAGATTGCTCAATAAAAGTTGGAAAGTGGGGTGCTTTGAGCTTTTGGTACGCTGTGCGGGCTGCATCGCCTATTGCGCCACCATCGTAGTCCACGAACAAAACATTGATGTTGTGGATGTGTCCGGACTGCTGAAAAAGGGACCCGAATATGTAACAGAATAGACCTAGGAACAGAATTTGGAGCACTAGAAGATTGACAGTAGCTGCCTTGAGAACACCCAATCGAAGAGGCCGAACAGATGGGTCATGGATGCTCGGCCGCTGCTCCCGTGCTTTGGGGTAGAACTGCATGTGATCAAATGGAGCGCTGATCTCTGTAGCACCTCGAGAGTGAGAATATGTGTAGGACAAGTCTGTGATGAGCCTTTAAATCTCCGAACAGGCAAGAAAAATTTAGACCAAAATAAGCATCGAATAAGCATTAAGCACCGATGACCGGTGGAGATGTAAGCAGGTCCGCCGAAGGCCGACACGTTGCCGGGAAGCTTGGATGAGATAAGGTATCTTAAGCTCGTAACCTTGCTCTATGTAGGGTCCCTAGTTAGATACCTAGATATTTAACTCAGACTTCAATGACAAACATGTCGTGGATGAAGGAGAAAATTGTCATTGAAGCCTGAATAATCCGGCGGAAAGTCTTATCTTCGGGCGATAGAAACTCCGGGCGGTCTGGGGGCTGAATTGGCACATCTCAACCTCTTGGCCTTTTTCCCCCACGGGTACCGGCCCGCCCGGCATCGCCGAGGTGGGGATTAATCAGCGAGCACGTTTGCTTATCGTAGAATATACAAACAAGCATCAAATATTCATTGGGGAAGTCCCCTGTCCAAAGAATCCGACACGGGATGAGTTTGTCACGAATGAGATAAGCAGCCGCATTGATGACTTGATCAGATCAGGTGGTTGCTAGTTAGCAAAATCGACAATATAACTCGCTTGTTCTATTCGACTTGCATCCTCACCTGTGTCTCAATGTATGTCGCATTTATCTCCCACGCAAACTGCAAGGAAATACTCAAAATGTGTGCACTGTCCCCTACCGAGCTATCGACGCCAATCCGGTCCACTGTCGATCATCCTACCCCCTACTCCGTACTAGCGGTCGCATTTCACACGCACGATAGTCCAACCTCGCCAAGCACTCCGTACAGATATCACCTTCCTTCCATGGTTGTCTCTTTGTTTGAGTGGCCTTCGACCTTCTGCATCCCTGTTTCACAATGGCGGTGAATCTCTTGGTCTATCCGCATAATGGGGTGAAAGAGAGCAATACGCCACTGGCACGCTGGGTTGTTGCCTAGTACCATGATTGCTCAAGTTGCTTCCTTCTTTCATACGCGATTAATGGCCCGGCAACAAGTCAAATATAAATCACAACATCTCAATCACCATTCTAGCTAATCTCGGTTGACCGGGATGTTGAGTAATCAAATGTTCACTAATCCGAATATGCCTCGGGCAAGCAGGTTAGCGCTATGATCTATGGCCAATGACATGCTCGTTGACTGGGGCTGGGAGGTTGGTTCATCCCCAGGCGCCCCCCGCCTTTGTTCCCCAAGAGGCCTTTAAATATTGCTTTTGTGTGATGAACGCGCAGATGCTTGAGGTTATATAACCTCTGCATCTGGCATACAGAAGATTCCGGAGAAGTAATCTGGGATCTCGCAATTCTCGCCTATTACTGGTTTACTCATCATTGCATTCTATCCTTCCCCACAAAAGGACCATTAGCACGATACATACCTGCCAGAGTTTGTCTACTCACATTCCAAGGGTATTCTTAACATGGTCCAAATAGAGCATGGCTCGAAGGTCGATCTAGGCGGCACCATGGAAGCTCTACGATCATCATCTGACGATACTGTGGAAACCGCACTCGGCGCATCTGAAAAGAAACCAGAACAAAATGAACTGTGGAATTGGGATGATGACCCTAGCAATCCTTATAACTGGCCGACAAGTCAAAAGGTTCTACAAGTGATGATGATTGGATGGGCGGCTTTCACAACGTTAGTTAATCCTTCCGCATAATGCGAAACTGACTGGAAATCTGATATTAATCCAGAACTGTGGGAGTATCTATACTATCACCTGCTCACTCGCAGTTCATGGAAGAATTCGAGGTTGGCAGCACGGTCGCTATCTTACCGTTGTCACTCTACGTCTTCGCCTTGGCCCTTGGACCTATTGTTGGAGGGCCTCTTTCCGAAACTGTTGGGAGATACCCAGTCTACATAGGGTCAGTTGGACTGGGTACCTTATTTACCCTAGGTGTAGGGTTTTGTCCCACATTTTCTGGGGTGTGCATTTTACGTTTCTTGGCTGGTTTCTGCTACGCACCGAGTCTGGCAGTTGCGGCCGGGACTCTCAATGAGACCTTTAAGCCCGCGGCGCGCGCTATTCCTTCCGCTATATTTATCCTTACTCCTTTCCTGGGTCCTGGTTTAGGGTGAATATCTTTTCAATCGATATTATTGCTAAAATATCGGTTTTGCTGACTATTTCCAAGGCCTGTCATTGGAAGTTTCATTGTGAATCGGAAAGGATGGCGTTGGACACAGTGGACAATGATCTTCTTCGCCATTCTCACTGGTTTCACGGTCCTACTTTCAAAAGAAACCTTCCACCCTATGATCAAACGTCGTCGTGCCAAGGAACTCGGATTAGAGCTACCCCCATCATCCCCGCTTTCTTCCCAGCTACGCTTATTTGTAACCATTTCCCTCCTCCGCCCCATTCATATGCTCATAACCGAACCCATCGTTGGATTCATTTGCCTTTACATTGCGTGTGAATTTGCGACACTCTTCTCATTCTTCGCAGCCTTCCCATTGATCTTCCAAGGTATCTACCATTTCAACATCGAGGAGTCCGGCCTTGTCTTCTTAGCCATTGTAGTCGGGTGTCTCCTAGGAACAGTGACAGTCATATTATGCAACTTCTTCCTTTACCTCCCCAAAGCTTCAAAGCATCCTGACGGACAAGCACCACCCGAATATCGGCTTTATCCAGCACTAATAGGGAGTGTTGGGCTACCGATCGGTCTGTTCTGGTTTGCATGGACTTCAAGGGCCGATATCTCTTGGGCAAGTCCCATAGTTGCAATCATTGTTTTTGCATGGGGAAATCTATGCGTCTTCGTTAGCACAACGCAATATCTCGTTGATACTTATCATGGTCTTACTGTCGCAAGTGCCATGAGCGCCAATGGTCTCGCGCGATATGGGCTTGGGGCTGTGTTCCCTCTTTTTACCGTTCAAAGTGAGTATTTCCCTTTGGTGACGTTCAAAATACATTCTTACGTGTGTATTCAGTGTACACTAAGCTCGGTGCAGGGTGGGCCTCCAGCTTGCTTGGGTTTATTGCAGTGGGACTTTTGCCTGTTCCATGGGTCTTCTTCAAGAAAGGAAACAAATTGAGATCTTTGAGTAAATATGAAACCGCGGAGAATACTAAGTGATAGCCAGTTCATCCTAATTGTATCACATCACATTCCAATAAGAAAGAAATCAATATTCTACTTCACAAACGTTGAAGGTTCCCGCGCTCTAGCGATCAATACATGTGGACCTGAATTGATCAGCTATTGCCTATACATGGCTGTAGATATTTCCACCGGGCGCTCTATAGGAACATTGTAGAACGTTGCCAAGTGGCCTAGAGACACAAAAGAATCCCTTCCATTACCACTCTCACCATACCCCGAGTAATTCAGTCCTGAAACCTAAGGGCCTCGATAGGAATGGAGCAGCCAGCAGGTTCGCGCTCATTCACGTAGTCGGCTATCCACGGACCCTACCCTCTGCCGTTCCACCATTCAGGTCCTCCAGGAGGTCCACAATAGTATGCAGCTTTCTGTCAGAGTCTCCAACACACTGCTGAACACCATTGTGAACAACATTGATTCCCCGTCCGGCGATGCTGCCAACTCGATTCGAGTTGGGCGCATATACAATAGCTCAGCCACGATCTACAATCGTGGTGCTTCCGTAGGAACAAGAGTTTACTTCCTTCACGTTTACCGTGAAAGCTGTGACGGCTTGGTAGAAGAGAACACAGATATCTCCTCGTTCGGCTGAAACATCATTGCAGGTGAAGGTGTTTGAAACGGAGTAAGTCTCGGACTCAGTGATAGTGAATCCAGCAGATTCAAACGCTGAGTTGACACCAATTCTTATGCTCCACCCCCAGGTAGTTATGTACACTGGTAAAGAATATAATTCATTAGTGATACGACCCCCATAGCTAAGTTTGGTATATGGGAGTAGATAATCACCTTAGTTTATCAAGTAGTAGCCTGGCCGAGGGCGAAGCAAAAGAGGTCGGAGTTTATGAGTATAGCCATGAGAGGAAACAATGCTGTTTATATGGAAAAGAGACACCTCCATTCATGTCAAATCTTGGGGCCAGATTAAGGGGCCGGCGACGAGGTACATGGGCATAGAAAATGTTGACGCGTATAAGGGTATTCCTTTCCTAGCTAGGGGAATAGAACAAAGCTCATGGAGCCATACATTCAGGATTTGCATCATTCCTTCGAGCCATGTAAATTGAGATAATACGAGTGATATCACGGATTCATTTCCGGCTGCGGAGATTGGTGGCTAGGATCGACATAGAGAAATCTTATATTGTTGACTAGTCCTAGAATATTTTGCATTTTTCTTAGGTTAGTATCACCCCAGGTCATCCTTCATATCTTGGTATAAGGTTTTATTGGACTTAGTACATGGCTACTACATCACTATTGCCAATCAACTTTCCACGGCATACTTCGCGGATTCCATTTCAGCAACAGATATCTCAAAGCTTTCGCGGTTTGGGTTTGAAGAGCGGCCGTAAACATAAAAGCCCACAGGAGAGCCGACATGATCTTGAGCAAAGGTCGTGGCGAGGACGATCTAGGTGGGAACTATGTAAGCTTTAGATTGATCTGAATCCACGGGATATACACACAGGTTCCACTAGCGCACCGGTCCCAACATCACGCGGCAGGCCGGAGCGAATAGCACGGGTACCGAATCCTTCCATGCTAAAAACTGTTTAGGGGCAAGGAGATTGGAGGAAAATAAACTTGTGGCAGTGTTCAGATGTAGTGACACAGGCTAGCTTAAAAGGAAAGCTTTGCGAGAGATAATGCACGCTAGTTCCACGAAAGGAAATCTATAAGGCGCGGGTTGTCGGAATGAAAGGAAGATTTATGGAGCTGTCCACAGCGATTTTCAACCCAGCTGGTCCACTAATTCCGTGAAAGGAAATTGATAAGGCGCGAGTTGTCGTAATCAAAGACAATGACAGCAATTGGTAAATCACTTAATCTCTCTGCATGCCTCGAACGTACTGGTATACGCCATATCCACCTGTCTTGGCCACCATGTGTCTATAGCGGATTCCAATAGAGCTTGTATCGTTTCTTTACTGATAGTTTAACATAAATTGACGTAAATTTAATCAATAAGATAGCGCGGAAGTAAATTCTGTATAGTACAAACTACTTTCTAGTGTAAACGCTCAACATATCGGTTCCCTTTCCACTTTCGTACGATCTCTCGGGCTTTATATACCATTTTCTCTCGAATTTCCCGCCTTCTGCTTGTTGATTCGGATTTGAAGGGTGCAAAATTCCATCACCTCCCTCAGACAACAAGTTCCAGTGAACTCCCTGCAGGGGCCATGGTGGACCCAGAAGACTAGGGTCTTTGAAGAGAGGAAATTCCAAACAAACCAAGAGGCCGCCTGGAACCAACAATTCAGCCATACGCGAGGCCCATTGAGCACGCATTGTTGGATGAATAGCACACAAAAACTAAAAGAAGTTAATAAAGTACAAAAGCCTGCAGGGTACATCACTTACTGTGTAGTCATAGATCACATCGAACTTCTCTCCCTTCATAGCGTCTGGTTGGAAGAAATCACCATTAACAAATGATACAGAACCTCTTTCGTATTTGTTTTCCCAAGCAGACCCAAAATTGTACGCTTGTGGCTTGTCGAGTTCGCTGGAAGCATACCCCTCCGCAATAGAAACGCCTTTTTGCGAGATTTCAAGACCAACGACGTCAAACCCATGAAGAGCAAGCATGACTACATCGTAGCCCTTGCCACATCCCTATCCTGATATTAGTCTCGTGTTTCCGTGTATATATGAAAATAGCCGCTTACTGGTACGAAGGCCTTCTTCCGACGGCCATCGGCTGCAATTGGGTTCAAGATCTCCCCTCTTTGCTCTAGAAGATCAATTAAGGCAGGCGAGGGTTTTCCCCTGTCCCACATGTCACTGTTATCAGTGTCCCACAGGTTTGACCACGCATCGTTGTGATTTTCGATCGAACTGCTAGTTGTCAGTGTCTTATATCACACTATACTAACAAGATTATCTACCTTTTTTCGAAATGTTGAATCAGACGAGTCTGATTCACAGGGGTTTGGAGTCGTTCTGGGGTCGTCATTTTAAATTTGCACCTGATTATAACTCTGCATGAGAAAAATATGAAATGAGATCCCGGAGGCTCTAGAGCGTCCTTTTAAAGAGGTTATCAAGATGTGGGGCGATCTACTCGGATTTTTTCTGGGCCGATGACGCACGCCCAATATATTTCCTATTTGGGCAATGCCCCACTTTAATATGTAAGCAACAGCATACCTGGAGGTGCCCAGGCCATGTTAGAGACCCAGCTTATGACTGTCAATGTCGAAAGTGACTGAGACCGATATGGTTAACTTGCTGAAAATTGATAATGCTTGGCGCTGATCGAGCCTTTCCGATTTCCTATTTAGGAAAACTTTGTGAAACATGACTTGCTTGTGTTGGATGATACCATTCCCATGCTTGTTTGCTAGTTTGACTTCAGACTGATTGATTGCTTAGCGGCTATAAATACTCTCCTTTTTTGTAGATTTTACAATCAAGAACTCTCCCTTCTTCGCCTCTCTCTTGCTTAGCATCCCCGACTCTCGTTATTGGAAGCCCTGCCTATTTTGGGCTTCAATTCCCCAGAGAAGCATCTCATCCATACTGTGAATTCAGGTGTATATCCAGAGAGAAATACACGATCTAGCAATGACAGAAACAAATGGCAACGCGGCGCCTTTTCTCGGCCAGCTCAAAACCGATTCAGTCGCAGACTGCATTGGAGCGACGCCATTAGTCCGCCTGAACCGCCTTCCAAAATCACTTGGTATCAAAGCGCAGGTGTATGGAAAACTCGAATACTTTAACGCCGGCGGGTTAGTAAAGGACCGAATCGCGAGGCGCATGGTTTACAAAGCGGAAATGGACGGGAAGATCAAGCCTGGAGATACATTGATTGAGGCTTCGAGCGGCAATACGTGAGTTCTACGATGGTAGTTTGCCTAATTCGTGATACTAATGCTAAATCATTCGATAGTGGAATCGCGATTGCTATGATGGCGGCCGTCAAAGGCTACAAATGTATTATCACGCTGTCAGAGAAGATGTCGCTTGAAAAAGAGCAAATTTTGAAAGCTCTCGGGGCAACCGTTGTTCGTACTCCAGCTGGCGTGGCTATTGAATCCCCCGATTCTATCATCAGCGTGGCACGACGCCTTTAGACAGAGATTCCGAACTCATTCATCTTGAATCAATACACCAACCCTGAGAACCCGGCTGCATATGAATTCGGGACTGCAGAGGAGTTGTGGCATCAGACAGAAGGGCAGGTCGACGTGGTAATTAGCGGAGCTGGTACTGGAGGAACAGTTACAGGCATCGCTAGGGGTTTGAAGAAACATAGCAAGGATATCCTGATCGTGGCGGCAGATCCGCTTGGCTCAATCCTTGCTCAACCTGGTGATCTGAACGATGTGAAAGCGGAATATAAGGTTGAAGGCATCGGATACGACTTTGTGCTAGAGGTCTTGGATCAATCCAAACCAGATCTCTGGATCAAAACCCCTGATCGGGACTCTTTTCAGTATGCACGACGCCTTGTGCGTGAGGAAGGGCTTCTTTGTGGGGGTTCCTCTGGTGCAACAGTTGCCGCATTGGTTTAACTAATTAAGTCTCGGCCTGATCTTAATACGGAAGATAAGCTTTTCGTCCTTATACTGCCCGATAGTCTTCGAAACTATCTCACAAAGTTTGCGAATGACGACTGGATGGCAGAGCATGGTTATAGTGACTTTTGATAGCGGCCGCACTTGAAGGGCAGGATTCTTGGGGCAACTGGTCAGATGTGTTTATTTCTATCCTAGCAGAATCATCGAATTTAGTAAGAGACATTCAAAGCGTTACCAATTCAGTTCGAGCTTGTCGAATAAGGCATTAACGGAAAATATGGAAATGTTGGGAGAAAAGAACCATGTAACAATCGGTAATTTCGGGGCTCGAAAGGCTCCACTCAATAGTATTTGATGAGTTTGATGAGTATAATATTTCCCTACCGGGCGCGACTAGTACCTTCGTGGATTGGATATGATGCTCAAGAGTCATTGGACCTGCGAAACTCTGCAAGGCATTCAGGGCTTTGCCATGCCCAAGGCATCCACGGGTCCTTCTGCGATTCAAGAGTGGGAATACAAGAGCTAGATTGCCCTTGTGGTCCATCGCTACCCGCCATATTCGTTGTCCATGGGAGCGGAAAGGATCCCCCAGGCGACACCCCAGTTGCACCGGGATCTGTAGATGACAAAGGAGGACCTAAACCCATACCATCTTTAAACATTTGCAGCCAGTCAGGATTATCTGCTGCAGTTTGGTTCCAAGGGTCTTCATCGCCATAGACAAAGGACCGTGCTTCTCGCTGAATAGCATCATCAGTGATAGGAACTCCGATCGCCTGCCTCTCCTGTACGAAGCGGATCAAGCGTTCTGTTAACAGTTCAAACGGAGTGGGTTGGGGGTTTCCTTCTTGCAAACAGCGCTCATTCACATCGGCCTGGTGATGAGCAATATTGGTATCTGAGCATCGATTTGAAGCACTAAATGGAAGGATGCCAGTGGATTCAGCGCCAATGAGGTAAGGCGGCATGGCATTCTCAACGGCGAGGGCCACGGCAGGATCGAGACCGCGGCAGCCTTTCCAGTCCTTCATCAAGAAGCCCTCTCGAAAATGGCGTGCAAGGTGGCTATTTCTGTCTGCCCATTTGGTGAAGGTTGCTGCGCAAAAGCCACAGCGTGAATTTATATGTGTCACTGCTGAACTCCATGACTCCACAACGCTGATATTGTTATGTATTCCATGCATTAGGCGCAGATGCTGGAATAGATGATCTTTTCGAAAGAATGTGCGAAGAGGTAGTGGTTTCTCCTGGCATTCCCAGAATCGGTGGTCTCAAGTATGGGTCTCAGATGTGTTCTCTATGTTGCAAAAAACGCATCGCGGCGGAGAATCTCCATCATTATATGTCGGTCCAAAGGGCCCGCAGGTCCAACTTTCCAATGACAAATGCAGGCCCTTCTCATGCCGTACCCAGTCATGCTTTGATTTGAATGTATCTGTACAGAATGTGCACTGGTAAGGCCGTCTCTGCGGTTGCTTCATGGCACGTCCAATAGAGTCAGGAGACTTCTTGCGCTGGCGCCGGCGCCGGCGCCCTGCTGAGACCCCAGCATAAAATAGACCAAACGATCCTGAGTGGTTTGACGAAAAGCTGTGGGCAGATGAAGCTGAGCTTCCTGACCCACTTGACCTTGTAGAGTCGGATGCGGCGACTGAAGCCGTTGAGCGGTGAGACCGTCGATGCCGCTGCCGTTGCGACAAAGATGAATCTTGAGAACTTGGTCTAATTGGGAATGAATCTGAACTTTTCGCACTTGCGATAGACTCCACGATGTCGCTTAGTTGGGCAGCTTCTGTCTCTGGAGGGGAGTTTTTCCAGCGGTCCAATGGGCTTAATTCTAGCTCATTATTGGTCGCTGGATCTAGTAGATAAGGGAATAGTGAATATTGCAAGTCATCATCTGTCAAGCAAGATGAGGGTAGCTCAGAATCAGGCATGGTAGAAATGTATCAAATGTTGTCATTAGCCTCTTGCCATGGTAATAGGATAGACCTCGGAACCCACGTTGCTGACTCATGCACGCCTTTCGATTTACCGCATTAGGAAATGTTGGCCGGATGTCATTTGATTGGCCAATTATACCAGGCCTAACAACTGCTTGGTATCGACCAGCAAATAAAACACATGGTCTTCTCTCCAATGCATTATCTATTCCTGAAGAACTGCTCTTTGTTCCTCTGGCAAGTGGATTAGGAATATGGAACATATATTCTAGTTTCCAATATTTCCCTCCGCCGACCCGAACTAAGCTCTTGAACATGAATAAGCTAAAATGATTGCTTCATATAATTATACTCTACAATAACGTTCGGGCTAGTTGAGTTGGGGTCTTGTGATCATTATCCAATACATCAATGCGCGCTCCAGCTTCCACCAATAATTCAACCGATTTTCGATGCCCGGACCGAGCAGCGTAATGCAGGGCTGTCCAGCCATGAAACCCAGATATGTTAGGATCTGACCCCGTTTTCAAGTAGCAGGGTGATGATTTCTTCATTTCCGTATCGAGCTGCCAATTGTAACGCTATCCACCCGTGAGGTGTAGTCACATCAAGACTTCCTTCGCACCGCGCGAGTATCTCGACGCTGGCAACATAGTTATTGCGAGATGCAATGTGTAAAGGCAGTTCTCCTGCTTCATTTGGTTGCGTCAATGGGGCACCATTCTCTATCAGTCCTTGCATGAAATTTAATCGGCATGATGAAACGGCTCGATGCAGATGAAATTGTCGCTGTTCCAAAATGTCGCGGACAAGGAACTGGTAAATGATAGGCTCGCATAACTTCTGCAGCGTCTGAGATGTTGCTCGTAAATTGAGGAGGCTTTCTTTATCACAAAACTAGAATATACATCAGTCAACACTTGCCAACCGTGTTATAGAAAAGTCGGCGAACATACACTAATCACAATAAGGAGCAGTTCTAAGGGCAGATTCATTCAGCACCAGACTCCAGCTAAAGTTTCGCAAGAGTTCACCTCAGCAAGATTCCTTGCCAGACAGTGGTTTTTAGGATGGATTTTTAAATTCTAATATGTACATATGCGCCTTTGATGTTTCCAATTTAGGTATAATTATTTGGACCGGACCCTTGTGGTCCCGCCTTCGAGGTGTATAGATACCCACCTATGACAAATATCATACCAGCCCCGGATATATTTGCCAAACCCTTCTTGAAGCTAGAAAAATAATAATAATATAAAGGTGGGCTTTGAACAACAATAGGAGCAGCAATTAGGCATGGCATGCCTTGACTAGGCGCTAAGCTCACCTTTAGGGATTAGAATATTTTAGGTGTACGAGCACAGATACATATCTTTAGTTGTGACCAGCATATTGTTCACAAGGTTGTTTCCACCACTAGACCAAAATATGAATCCGTACCTAGTCTAGTTAGTCCATGCTCAACTCGCGAAGGGTTATTGTTGTGGTATCATCCCTGTTGTTTGTTACTACTGCTTGCTAGTCCAGAATTGGGTTTTTTATTTGCTAGTACTTTGCCAGTTTGTTTGCTAGTTCTAAAGATGGGTATAAATACCTTGTTACTCCATCGATTCCATGTACCATATAAGCCTAGCCTCCTTCATCATTTCTCTCTCCATATATACTCGAAAATTGCAATAAATTTATTACTGCCTCAAGCTGAAGAAGACATATTGTCCAAAATCCCCCAACCAATCACAGGCTTATTACAAGAAATTTGCCAACTCATAATACGAAGATAGTGCGGGAAGAACCTCGAAGTCGAGGAGAATGACAAAAGCTGCATGGATCCATAGGGAGAATGCCGGGGGGATTTACACCCAGTACTTAGGTAGATAGTTCGTTACCTGCTACTAGGCACTATATAACGTTTTGCTGGGAGAATATCCTATAGTAGTCTTTCAATATTTGTCTATACTACAACAAACAACATAATATATCTCCATTGTGAAGTGATCGCCTTTATAGTTACATTAGTAACCTCCCAACCTTGGTCGGAGGGATCAAAGTAAGCGATACTGGATCAGGCACATTATCTTGATTCCAGTAAGCAATTCCATGTCGAAGCCAAGCCGCATAAGTCCCAGGTGCAACATCAGACCCAGGATTATCCCGCCACAGCGATCCGAGTGTAACCTTGTTCACCCGCAAAATGAGACCATGAGCAAGCTTGAAGCCAAAGCTGCGCGATAGACATGCCACAACAATATCACGGGCCTTTTTCTGTTTCTCAGACTCGTCTTCTCCCTCCCCAGGTATTGGTAGTGACAACAAATCGAATGCCTCCTGTCCGCTCCAAGCAGTCAACTCATTAATGAGCTGCGACCCTTCCATAAACTCAATCGCATAAAAATGCTTCACACAATATGCAGGACCGTCCCAATTGTCTTCAGCATCAACAAGTCCCATCACTGCAGTAGCCACCTGGCCTTGAATGATGTAGTCGGTCAACAGACGACTAACCTCGGCAGGACCGATGACCGTGCCATCGTCTTCGGTGATTGTAGAATCAACGCTCATTAGAGGAACGCCGCGTAGAAGCGGGCTAGCATGCATTCCATCGGTGCTCGTCTTGCCACCATCAGCATCCCAAAGAGCGAGGAGCAAACGATGACAACGGTCAAAGAGCGCATTGTTTGGCAATGCAGCGAGGAAATAATTGCATAGACTGTAATGACCTTGTCCACTGGGTGTATAGGATAGAACCTCATATGGAGAGTCCGGGTTTCCGATTGTCTCACTCCATAGGGTATCAAGGTCACCAATCTGCATCATGCCTACGTCGGCATAGACTCCTCCATATCGCAGGAGCAGTGGCCAGCGAACAAGGTCTGAAGTGTGTTGTAGCGCGTAAGGTCCGGTGATGGTCTCCTCAGTAAAGGCTCGAGGGAAGAGTGTTGAGTCGGTGACATCCAAGAATTCGGCGATATTGCTTTTTGATCCGGCCAGCCGGTCTATCACTCGTACTGCCCACCCTTGTTTTGTGAATCGGCGATGCCATGCGCGGGCTGTGCGTTGTGTATATGGGTGCATGTTGGCGTAGCCTGAGTGCCAGAAAAACCATATATTTTTGACGCCATTGACCGGTTGCGGATGTAGTAGATCGAAGTCTATGTCGGCGTCGGGGCGGAGATCGAGAAGATTGGAGGGGATGGGGTGCATCCCGGATGGGATAAGGTGGTCCATTGCCGAAGTGGAAGTAGGGGTCGAGGTAATTGATGCTGTATTAGATTCAAACATGGTAAGAATATTTCTTCGGGGGTGATGTTGTCTTTTATAGATATGAAAAGTTTCCATAGAAACAGATTGGCCAATCACGATGTAGTGATAAGTTATGAGCCATTATGAGTCAAGTCGATTGAATTGACCTCGGCATCTACTGTGCCCACTTAGTACTATGCTCGGGCCGTCGTGTTATTCTTCAGGGTTTTATGCATAAATTTGGCTTATTTTGGATTGCAATCTCCATTCAATCTAGTAGAATTTGATGGAAGCCCCGGCTGTGGATATTCGCCAGTTGGCTAACACATTCAGGCATCCGTTGCATAACGAGCAACGACACTAATCTTGACACGAAATCATCAGAGAAATATTGAAAAAACACTAAATACGACTTCTTCGCCCATATTGGCGGGAACGGAAACTTCACGATGAATACTTCGTCCCAAACTCGCGACTTTCCGTTATAAGTCTGAGGGACAAGGTTTCGTTCCTCCGAAGTTCGGGCTAATTGTCTATTGCGATCTACGGAGTTCAATCAGTCTCAAGTTCAACACTATGCTGTTGCCTGTTCCTAGTTGAGATGCGAGAGTTTGTTGGGAACGAAGGAGTGTCACCAAAGCCAAGATGAATAATCATAAAATAATCTTGCCAACTATAAAAATTCAAGTCCAATGTCCTGATCAAGGTATATTTCAACAGCATTCAATACTATTTCGATTATGGCTCCTAAAATAACCTGTTATTTCGACGTTGGCAGTCCATTCAGTTGCATTGCGTTCCATGTCTTGAGGGTTAGTCGAATATTTCAATTAATTCCATGAATTGAAGATTAGCTAATGATTGTCCATAGACATCTCCTATCTTCGCGACATGTGAGATTGACTATGTCCCGATCTCTATAGGACAGCTATTTCAGTCATGCCAAAATATGCCGCCTATTGCAGTGAAGAGTAGGTACCTCTTCCCTATCTCCTCCCCCAACAACGAAGTCCTTCGCTGTATTTGAAATCTGCTAACCCCTCATTGAAGACAAGTTCCAATGGATCAACAAAGAACGTATCTACTGGGCTCGTCGTTTCCAGGTTCCCATGTCTGAGGCGATCCCGAAAGGATTTCCCGCAGCCACTTCCCACGTCCAGCTCGCTTTCTGCCTTTTAGCTAGTAAATTCCCCGAGAAGCTAATTCCCATCGTGGAAAAGATCTCTCGTGGGTTCTGGCAAGAGGGTAATCCAGAGGTGCTCACTGAACCTGGTTTCTCTGCCATTTTTGAGAGCGAGCTTGGCATCGAGAACGCCAAGCAGGTTTTGGATGAGGTATGTTCCCTTAGTGTGGATGATGAGATCTCTTCTTTCTAATAGTGCTTTCCAGTTGAATAATACTGAAGCGAAAGCTATTTTGCTTGAACGCACACAAGCAGCTTTCAATTCGGGTTCCTTCGGTTTACCTTGGTTTGATTGCGTTGACGATCAGGGAGCGAAGGAAAGCTTCTGGGGAGTTGACCATTTAGGACGTCTAGTGGACTTCCTGAAACTAGATGCCAGTCTAGACAAGGCTTTCCGAGTCATGCTCTGACATGTAGGACAATAAATTCAAAATTGGTTTTCGTCGCTATCCACAACTTCACAACGCGTCAGATCGGCGTCACGTCGACTTGCCAGCCACGATTTAATTCCAAATATATAGCCGAAATTTTGTTCGGGCAATTTAGAGACGTATACCATATCGGACTTCTATGTCGCATTCATTCCTACGATTTTAATTCACTTGAATTGTGTGATGAATCCACACACCTTGCCTTGGTATGTGAAACAGTCCATTTCTACCCCTAGGACCTTTTTCCGAGGAAGATTAGTCGATATGTCGGCATCTCGAAGATATTTACTCAATCTGATTATGCTATATATGCAGCCAATGCACCTAGTAGAGGGGTAAAGGTCTTTTCGTTATCTACTTGGTGACGCGATCTCGCTTTGGATGACAACATGTCGTTCAATTAAGGCTCATCCCAGCCAAGCATATTGGCATAACTCGTGTTACACAGTCTCGACGGTCTTCACGAGCAATATCTTGCAATGTATATTAATTCCACTAACAATTATTCAACAATATCTCAAGATCGTAATTTTTATATGTCCGTGCCCAGGGTTCCCCGTGGGGATTCTTGATATGGTGTTGTCTGCAACATGACAGTATCATGCATGGACCCCTTCGCTTAAAGAAAGTCTGGATTTACCCTTGGAACGCTAATTGAGCATATACTAGGCATTCCTCATTAGAGGTGCAAATTTCACCTTTTTAGTGTTGGATTCCGTTGGCTTTTCTCCGCAGCACGACTGCAGAACGGCAGCTAGCGTTGCCCTAATGTATTCTTCTAGCATTGCGCAATGCTCGGCGCAGCGCACGAGTTACAACATATATACTATATAAAAAGACGACTATGCAAGTCAAGAAAGTTATCAATCACACTTGAAATCGACAATGTCGGGCAAAAGCTCCTTGTCGCTTGAATCAAAACAGACATCTGTTACAATAGTTCAAGAAACGTCAGTCCCAACCAAGAACTACAATGGAGCTGGTGGTGTCCTGGCTGAGGGTGGCTCACTAGAGTTCTATGAGCCTATCGCGGAGTACGAAGGGAGACATCGATATGACCCACTCGCCGAGTGGACAGAGAAGGAAGAGAAGCTACTGGTCCGAAGGGTAATCAAGACCACCCCTGGATCCTCATACAGTTGATTAGCCTGCTAACACTCGACGATAATATAGCTCGACTATAGAATCTGTTCTTGGGTCTGTCTAATGTTCTTCGCCCTCCAGCTGGACCGGGGCAATATCGGACAAGCATTGTCTGATGGAATGCTCGATGACCTCGGGTTATCAACTAACAATTATAATTACGGCATGACGATATTCTATCTTTGCTTCTTGTGCGCAGAAGTGCCGTCGCAAATGATTTCGAAAAAGCTCGGCCCCGACGTATGGATTCCCATCCAGATGGTCCTTTGGAGTGTTGTCGGCATTTGCCAGGGTCTAGTCACCGGCGAACAGAGCTTCTATGCGACTCGGGCTCTGCTTGGTCTGATAGAAGGTGGCTTTATTCCTGATGCACTCCTTTACCTGTCCTACTTTTACACGAATAATGAGCTACCTATGCGCGTCGCTTTTTTCTACTGTATGTCCCACACTACCAGTATCATTGCGGCCTTCTTGGCATTTGGGATTCTTCGTATGCGCGACATACGTGGCTGGGAAGGCTGGAGGTGGCTATTTGTTCTTGAGGGGGCGTTGACTCTTGTTATTGGTGTTGTCTCTTGGTTTTACCTGCCTCCGAGTCCGACACAGACTGCAAGCTGGTTTCGAGGGAAAGATGGTTGGTTCTCAGAAAGGGAAGAGGTCATCATGGTCAATCGAGTCCTGCGAGATGATCCAGCAAAGGTGCGTAAAAGGAGGCTTTTGAAACTTACACATAGAAAAACTAACTGTGAACTTAATATAGGGTGGTATGCATAACCGTCAAGGCCTCACACTAAAACTTATGTGGGACGCCCTCATGGACTACGACCTTTGGCCAATGTACCTTATGAGCCTCACGCTACTTATTCCTACCACTCCTGTATCAGCATACATGACCCTCTTCCTGAGGTCACTTGGCTTTGATACATTCCAGGTCAACCTTTTGACCATCCCTGCAACCGCGTTATTCTTGGTCCAACTGGTCTTCTGGTCTTGGGTTTCCGAAAAGATTAATAACCGTATGGGAATTGTGCTATTTTATTCATTCTGGGTTTTCCCTCTTTTGATCGCACTAGAGCTTATGCCAGCAACTGCTAGTCCTTGGAGTTGGTACGCAGTCACAGTGCTAGTTATTGGCTTCCCCTATGTTCATTCCATCAACGGTTAGTACTGATATCCTCTATCAATCGCAGATTTGCTGACAAAGTTGTTCATATAGTCAGCTTAATATCCCGGAACTCCGGTTCTGTGCGCACCCGCACTGTGGGCAGTGCAGTATATAACATGATTACCCAAGCCGGTGCTATCATTTCTTCCAACGTACGTTTTCTAATCTTTTCAATGTATCTTTTGATATTGTGGTTTGGAATTATGACTAATATTTGTCGCTGTTAGATATACCGAACTGATGATCAACCCTACTACCGAAAAGGAAATAAGATCCTTCTTGCAATCGTAGCATGGAACGTTTTCATCACGATTTTCACCAAGTTCTACTATATACGGAGAAACAGAATACGCGAACAGCTTTGGAATGCTATGGACCATGAGCAGAAACATCATTATTTGAGTACAACGAAAGATGAAGGTAACAAGAGATTGGACTTCCGATTTGCCCATTAGCCGGGTTATCGGGCACATTGGATAGGTGGCTACGGTTTTACCTGTCAATTTGATCGAATTATTGCAATGAATATATTATGAAGTGAATGAAAAAGACTTTTTTATATTATGAAGTGCTAGGCTACATGAATATAGAATTTTATCTCTTAATGATATTCGTCGCACCTTCCAAAATTATTGATTTTGCCTCATTGGGCTAGCATTGTACGCAGAAAGGGAAGGAACACCGACCCTAGACAGAACAGTCATCTATACCCGGCTTTCTACTTTCTACTGACACCCTTACCTAAATCAGAAGACATCAGCCTCATATGCATGACATCGTGAAAACCCGGGTGTTGTCACCCTCAGCCCTCTCAGCCGATGCCGATCAAAGAAATTGACGTAGTGCGCCCGGTGACATCATGAGGTGCAAGTGGAAAGTCCACACCGACTGGTCGGCTTTAACCCCCATGCCCAGGTGGACATCTCACCTCCCCATCTCGGCATCAAAATGCGGGGTAAAGAGAAAGAGAAACTCGATTTTGTGTTAATTTTGCTAGGATGTCATTTTTCGATTCGATCTTGATGGTCGCATCCCAAAATGGTAAAATATCAGTCGATCGGACATGGATGCTTTGACCATAACTTTAAGTCGCTATATTATAGTTGCTTATATTTCGGTGTTAGAACACCCATGGATGTAGAGGTCTCATTTTAAGGGGTTTTCTTTGAGTTTTATTTCAAGTTCTATCGATTCCGTGGAATTTCAAACCTACAAGATCAGATCTTACTCTGGTTGGTATAACAATATAACCTTGGCCATGTGCCTGACCACGAGTGCCAGCACATGTGCCTCATGTGATCCCACAGCTTATTCTCTATTTTCCTGACCTATCATCTTGACCTATGTACAATCGGCTAGGGGTAAATTGTCTGAGGTATCATGTCTGGGCTGCATATTTACAAATCAATTTCTTGTGGCTTCTTCTCTATCTTGCTCGCCCTTGCATGTTCAGGTCTTTTATTTTCCTTCAAACTCTTATAGTAAACTCCGTAGGCAAGGTCGTATTACTAAACTTTAGAAGCTTAGACCTTGATCGACAACTATCATCCCAAGTCCGAAATCCCTTGCCGCATCTGGCCCAACTTGGTGATTTGATCCACATTCTATTCCGCAACCGAGCCAACCCTATGTTGTAGCCCCCACATAATATCAACCCCATACAAGATCTTCCGGCCTAATATTTGTCTAAGCGGACTTAATCCGTACAGCACAGCCGAATTGCGGCTTTAATGATAAATCTGGTACTTCGTGCATATGGATTTCATGGCAAATGTAATCATCCCCAATCTCAACAACCATACGGAGTATAGACTAAATCGAGGTGCACATGGCACAGGTCATCTTGCAGTTATCGAAGGATACCCAGTCTGTTTTTAAATCCGAATCTAGACTCGATCAAAACAATGCTCCGAGGACGAATCCATCAATATTCTGTATACTCTTGGCATTCCAGCGAGGGTTTTCAATAAAAAATCCCTTTCCAAGGTTCCTATTAAAGCCTCAGGTTCCTTTCGCTTGATCTTGCCCTATCCTTTTGTTTTTCCCTTTGTTTGTGTAGTCTAGAAATCTAGCCATTCTTAAGTTTGCAAGCCACGAAAACGCCTCCCGTAACCTTTAGCATTAACTACTCCATTACTCCGTAAATACTCTATGTGCATCACAGCCCGATAATTGGACTCCGCACAAAAGCCAACACAACCTCGCGCATTAGCGGGTCGCCCAAATCACTCTTCGCCGAGGCCCGATGCCACCTGATGCATGGCCGTATCAGGTTTGCGGCTGTTAGCCTACTGTCACTTCCTTTCAATCTCTGTTCGCAGTTATCCCCTCGGAGCCAAGCAGACGCCGAGCATGTGGTCTCACTTTCCTTCTCTTGGTACCCTAAATCCAATGCGGACTCTATCCCCCCTCCCTTCGATAATAGCGGTCAAATCTACATATAAGAAGGAGTTACCTCCCCTGCTCTAATAGTCTTTGATCTACATGATCAGCGACTTCATTCTTTCAGCTGTCTTCGACCCCATCATTCCAATATGTGGTCCTCTCTTATCAAATCACCCTCCACATGGGCCCTACTAACCCTACCCCTTCTTCCCGCCGTCCTGGGCACACCTCTGTTTGAGAAGCGAGCAAAGGGTGCCATCCTAGCCCTAAACACCAATTTCCCAGATCCAAGCTTCTTGAAAGCAGCCGATAATAGATGGTACGCATTCGGCACAAACGGAAACGGAAAACGAGTCCAAGTCGCTGTCTCCGACGATTTCAAATCATGGACTCTCCTCGACGTCGAAGCACTCCCCACATTATCAACATGGGAAACTGAAAACGACCACTGGGCTCCAGACGTCGTGATGAGAGTAAGTTGTCTTGGCTTCCGAAATAGGAAACCCAAACAAATCCATAACCCAATTAGGAAAAAAATCTAATCGTCTCCCAGGATGACGGAAAATACGTTATGTATTACTCCGGCGAAGCAAAATCAAACCTCAGACACCACTGTGTCGGCACAGCCATAGCAGACAACCCAACAGGACCATACGTCCCAAGCAACACGCCTTTATCATGTCGTCTCGATCGGGGCGGCTCAATCGACCCAGCAGGCTTCAAAGATAAAGACGGCAGTCGCTACGTCGTTTTCAAAGTCGACGGTAATAGCGTCGGCCACGGTGGTGATTGTAACAACGGCGTCGAGCCGCTTGTATCAACGCCTATCTTGCTGCAAAAGGTTGGCGCGGACGGCGTCACGCCTATCGGCGATGCGGTGCAGATTCTTGATCGGAATACTGCTGATGGTGATGGTCCGCTTGTCGAGGCGCCGAACCTGATTCTCCATGGTGATACGTACTTCTTGTTCTACTCCACTCATTGCTTTACCGACCCTGCTTATGATGTGCGTTGGGCTACGTCGAAGAGTATTACTGGGCCTTATACTAAGACCAATGTTCCGTTGATTAATGCGGCTAATACGGGGCTTATCTCGCCTGGTGGTGGCAATGTTTGCGGTTGTGGAGATCGGATTCTATTCCATGGGTTCTGTACTCAGGAGAGAACTAGTAGGTGTATGTATGTGGCTGATGTGATTCTGGATGGGAACAACGCATCGATTGCTTGAGGGTTTGGTTTTTTGAATTTACTTGTTTCTTTGTACTGCAGATTTGGTTTTGTGTCGGGCTTTCATCAAGTCAGGCCGCGTTTATATATATACCCCGGATTTTGAGGGATTACATTTCTATGATACCAATGGTATACTTTTGCGATTTCAAAATATAAATATTTGCATATTTGTAAAGGGCATTGTATCATGCTCTTCTTTAATTAGGAAATATATGGAGTAGTAGAAATCAGCACCAAAGCACAAACGTACTTGGCATAGCAAAGTTCAAATCAATTTTGTTGAAGTAATAAAGTAGAGTTGTATTATGTAGAGTTAAATTCCGTATATCATATCATCGTATCGTTCTAGGCATGCCCGCATGGTCCTATGCTTTATCCTCATCCTCTGTCTGTGTCTTTGCCTCTCCTTCTACCTCCCCATCTTTGGCACGCTTCTTATCCCGCGCCGTTTGCACCCACTCCGCTGCACCCTCAATGGCTACCTCGGGAGTCTCCTTGTAATTGAGGAGGTATCCCTGAATCTCCGCAGCTGTAAACTCGCCACTCGGAATAATAGCAGCAAACCGAGATGCCAAATCGGAGATGTTGGATCGGAGGGATACTTGAAGCTGCAGGTCTTTTTCCTTTCTCTTGTCCACTTCGCCGTTACTCTTAACGGCCTTGTGGACAATCTCGCCATTTGTCTTGGCGATGTTAGCAATGGTAGTTGGCGGCTTCACCGAGCCATTGCTACCATTCATGTGGATTGTTGGGGCGCTACGGGCCATGTCGTTGTCCATCGTCGCGTAGATTGAGGTAAAGAGCTCCTTGATATCTGCTTCGCTTGTGTAGCCGAAGACAATTTTCATGTCCACACGTCCAGGGCGGAGGAGAGCTGGATCAAGCTTGTCCACGTGATTAGTAGTCATAATGAGGATGCGGCCTTCACTGGCGGCAACACCATCAATCACATTCAGAAGCCCTGAAAGTGTGATTCCGCCTTTCTTGTCTTCCTCTTTGGCGGCTGCACTTTCCGCTTCGGCGGTGCCGGCCTTGGCGGTAGCATCGTCCCTGGGGGTATCTGAAGTAGGTGTAGGTGCAGAAGGTGCAGCAGCCCGGGTCTTTGTAATACCTGCTGAATCGACATCTTCAAGTAGGACAATGCATCGACGGGGTAGTTCCGCGAACAGTGATGACAAACTCTCCTCGTTCAAGGCCGTGGAATTCAGATCAAGTACATAGAGCTTCAATCCAAGGAGTCCGGCCGCTGCAAAGCACAGACTCGTCTTGCCGGTTCCTGGAGGACCGTGTAGAAGGTATCCACGTCGATACGGGATTCCACGGTTGGTATACCAGCGTCGCGTGCGAGGGTGTAGATATTCCTTAATATCATCCAGGAAATCATGTTTCTGTTCTTGGTCAAGAATAACAGTAGAAAGAGGACGCGGTTGTCGGGCCATACACCGATACCAGTTGAAAGACTGGCCGGCGTTAATCCGCGACCCGCGGTAGATTACCGTTCGGTTCTTGTCGCGCTCGACATATGCCTGCTGCGCCTCGGATAGCAGGCTTTTCAAAATCTCCGGGTTCCGACCGAGACACGATAGGAAGATCCGCTCGTTGTTCATTACATACCAGGTACCGCCGTCCCGGTTTACGCGCTCGAGCATGAGAGGACGGTTCTTGTACCAGAAGTAATGGCACCCTTCAGAAGGGGTAAATTGCATCTTCTTGTACTTGTCCCGGGTGGTGACCTTGGCCCAGTACGAATCGAATGATGCGTCTTTCTCGCCGTCGAGAGTATCGCCTTCGTCGTCTTCGTCTCTTGCGAGGTCCTCGTCGTCTGAGTCGCTGTCGCTCCAGTAACTGTTGGTTCTGATGCCTGCGACGAAGCGATTTGTGTTTTTCATATGCGGTTGACGTGAGATCCAGAACATTAAATAATGGAATGTCTCATCGTCCAGACGAATCTCAGCTCTTGATACGAACAACTCATTGAAGTGCGCCCAAATGATAAATAAAGTGTATCGAGCACTTGCGCCAAAGACGGCCAGTCCAACTAGAAGTTGCAGGTATGAGCTGACATCAAAATTGAGGTATGACATCAATATGCGCGACATGAAGCCATAGCCAGGGACTAGGACCTCCAACATGGCCGTGTCCGTCGTGGACAACGGCCCCGTTGTGGTGGGGATGGTTTGGTTGGAAATCATGATCTCCAGATCTGAAGATCTTAAAATGACTTCGATCGGATTTCTGGGGAATGGATAGGAGCAAAGTGAAAACCCCTAAGTTGCAAAACCAAGTGTAGTCGCACCCTTTATAGAAAGCCGAAGAGCCTCATGTGTTGGCCTGTCCCCACTGAGACACATGAACTTTTTCTACAGCTGAGCCTTGAGGTGTGTCTGACACGCCCGGATTCTGCGGGCATTGCCTTGGGGGTTTTGGTGGAATTGATTGGATGGGATGGATTTCGATTCAGCTGTTAGGCTGCCCAAGCGCGTCTGCCTGGGCCTGACTCATTATTCCTGCAGTTGCTGCGGTCACTTCTCGCCACATCGGGAACTTGAATTAGGTAAAAGATGTGAATGGCCGTTGGATCATGACGATCAAATGGTCTAGATTAGATAGGGGAAAGAAAAAAAAAAGAAATCTCTCCCTCGGGGAATCGAACCCCGGTCTCCCGCGCTTATCGGTTTTAATGACAAGCGGAAATCATCACCACTAGACCAAGGAAGATGTGATGGCTGAGTTACTGCTCGGCCACTTGGCTGGTTGATGTGAAGGATTCTACTCTTTGGCTATATAAGGTAAAACACGTAGTCTCATATATCACCTGAACCCTAAATTGAACACAATCCTCTTCAACATTCTCTTACTTGGTCTTCCCAAATGTATTTTAATAGCAACAGCGTGGTTAACTTTGCGGTTATTGCAAAATATATGGATATCTCGCCCCTACGTCTTTGTGGTTTGGATTAACACATCACTTATGTTTGTCAATTCTGACTGAGATCTTTGTTTGATAGATCAGCAGGAGGTATAAAGACCCTGTTTCTCTATGTGCTCAACAAAAATGTTCTTCTTTCTCTTCCCCCTCTTTGCCAGAACCCGGAGGCCTTTGCCCCTTCACTTCATCTCACCTTCATTTCGGCTTCATCTCAGCTTCACCCACCTCTACAAGCCACCAAGATATGTCAACTACGACATGTGCCATACATCCAGAAATCGCCTGCAACATCAGATGTAGCTGAAAATATATTCACTGATGAGAAGATGCATTTTTTGAGGCTTCTTAGCCAGACTATCTCAGTTTGCCAATGCTGGCTTTCGCGTGTCTTACCTCAGCAACAATGAAGCCTACCAATTCAAAGCACGATGGATCGTGTGCGGCAACTTTCCAGACAAGAAAGACGACTCGGTGTTCTATGCTCCGGTCGTTCGAAACACCTTGGTTGAGATCCTCTTCGCCCTTATAGCACAGCGTGGGTCTACGAGTGCCTAAGATTACTCAGAACTCTACACTCGAACCTTCAGACCATAAGAGCTGCTTTTATCAGCACCTACGTGCGATCAGAAAGCTACACTACGATCTACGACTACCCCGGAGAATGCATGTTGATTCCCTCCCAAATTTCCATGTGTGGCCCTTCTTGCTAATAACGTCAGAATGATATAGGCTATATAGCGGATATCCACGGTGAACTAAGACAACTACATCTATATAAAGCTAGTACGGTATAATCAGTGCTACCTTGAAGAACAACAACTTCTGCTGATCTCGACTTGTGACACTTTGAGGAGTCTCTACTCCGCGACTTCCAACCTTTGACAACCTGAAAGTCGGTTTACCTCGTCCAACGGAAGGCAAGAGAAAACACCAGGCATCGGCAGATTGTATCTGTCAAACCATCCATACTTGTCACACAGACTCACACAGTGCTCAAACTTGATTGATTTCCCCGTGGACCTGGAAGACGTCACAGGCTAGAGACATTATTATCACCACTCTGTTGGAGCCGCGCGATGACTAAACAAAATTGTCAATATCCCTCGAAACGCTGAATCACACCAGGCACAATCGATGGCATTAAAGATTGCGCTTTGAGCTGGATATTATGATACAAGAATGCCGACTATTCAATCGCGACCGAGACATGGCACGCTGACCAAAGTAATTGGGTCCAACCCAGCGTCAAACTCAGTGACGAGGGCGTCTAGCTCGCAACCACGTTTATACCGGCAGTTGAACGTGGACGCAAATACCGAATTGACTTTGACCAAACGACCATATCAAAGCAACGCGGACTCCTCAAGGCCGAGACAGCAGAAAGAATTGCTGGTGGGCCTTGGAGTCTGTTTTCAGCGCAAAACACAGCTCTACGGGGCCTTGCCAGTCCGCTTGCCGTCATAGCTGCTCAGTAAGCGGAGGGCAGAGTACGAGGCAAAGAGCACTGATCCTCTGCCTACGATGCAAATGGGTGGAAAAGTGGGATCAATTGCAGTGTGTAGAAATCTTACGAAGGTTCAACGGGCACACCCCAAGGCATCAATCAATTCTCGTTGTCTTGTTGACAATGAATCTCACTTTACGCGAGGTTGGACACTATTTTATGATATGGCTGGGCAATGGCCGTCAATCCGCAATTTTCATCCGACTTTGAAAAGTTGAGGATCATGAAGGTGTCCAAACAACTTCGCATCGCTACGACTTGGGCTACGAACACCACTTATGCGCTGCAAACAAGTTCGTACAATGAATGGTGCTCCATCCGGAGGACCTTCAAGTACCTGCCTGGTATGCCGTTGCACTACCATTGACAAGGACGGCAGTCTTCTCATACCACCGGTGATGGTCCGACTCTCTGATGCAAGCCTTTTCCTAATCATGGCTTGCGACAACCCCCTAATCGCCAGCGCAATGTGAAATGGCCGGCATACTTTTACACAGAAGGCGACATCTAACCAGATAGATGGCCCATGGGTCACCCAGTCCCCTTTAGCCACTTGGTTTGCTTGATGCAGGCAGTTATTACCACTCCGCTAAGCTAAGAGTATGGCAAGCCCTAACAGCTGATGCACGCCCTGGGACAACCTCTTTTCTACAATCGCCGTCGGAACCCGCTCGGGCGTTTGCTTGTTGCGTGGAGAAATCTGGACTCGATAGTCTAGTCTCTCTCCTTCTTTCTTTCTTTTCTCATGCTTAGAATTTCCGTTGAATGCACTATTCTTCCATCAAAGACTTGGCTGGCAACGATACCTCTGCGAAATGTTCAGGTCGTATCAAGCAGGAGAGTTGAGCATTTCCTCTTATTGACTCGTGGTCCGCGTAGGCCCAGGAAGTGTAACGCTGAAAGCTCTGGGGAAGATATTGATGATCCATTCATCTCCCCACGTCGGCTAGGTAGGCCGGTCGGCGTCGAGTGAGGTGAAATCCACCTGACCGACGGTGGCAACCGCCGCTCCCTGTAGAGTGGGCCGCTTAGCATACAAGTTAGGCTTACCCCTTACCTAGAAGGTCCATCCAGTGATTAGCGTACAACACCTGGAGCCAACGCCCACGCCGGACCCATTTGACAGGGAGTTACCAAACTCGCGTCCGACGGTCGACAAACGCTTCCCAGAGGACACTGATCGTCACGACGTAGCAGTTATACTCGATTCCAGAGTGCGGTACCTCGGTAGGCACAGGACTTCCCGCAAGGAATACCTCATCCAGTGAGAAGGCGAACCCAGAGAACAAGCTCAATGGGTAAAGGAGACCGACGCTATCGGTACGGAACAGAAAATCGCGGAGTTTGAAGCACGCCGCCAGGCTCAGCTTCGCGACGACTAAACCTTTTCTAACTTTTGCCCATAACGGACGCACCTCTCACTTATCTCTTACTTTACCCCATTGTACCCCACGACTTCTTTTACTTTCCAACTCTCATCCTCAAGTTTTAACCATGCCGACCAAGAGACCTACTCCCCATCGACCCTCCACAGCACGTCATGGAATTCCGGAATGATGACGACAGTATAGACTACGAGGTGCAACATCTCCAGGCGATGAACATCAATGCGGACATGCTACTAGATGTATCGCTGAAAGCTCTGGGGAAGATAATGATGATCCATTCATCTACCTCCTCCTTCCCCCTCTGTGAAGGATATTATACTCGCTGTCATAGATATCGTTATCGCTAGTACAGATATATTGAGGAGGCTGGAGGACGCCCCAAATGTTCTAGGGTTATTATTTTAGCCAAAAGAGCTACAAGACCTCTTCCAGTAGCTCTAGACTCTTCAGCGCTAATGGACTAACAAGTCTTCCAATATTAAATCTTTACTTAATCCTCCATTTCTTTCTTGATGTAGAATAGTGAGTAAAAATAGCAAGTTTCTTATCCTAGAGATTACTATATGTTAGATCTTCTAACGTTCTAAAAGCGTGATAGTATATAATAGATCTACCTATAAGACGTACAATAATACAAGTATCGTAGCCTAACTTAATATTTGCCCGAAGTCTTTACTCTACGTACTAATACAGCTAGGTCAAAAAGCAAGGGATCAAAAGGCTGGAGAAGCAAGCGGCGTTGGCATCCACCATTAAAAGGAAGGATATGCATGAAATTTTTCGCGAATGGCCTTAAAATGAATGATAGAGTACTCTATTAAGCTTAGTAATGTCTAGGACCCCTCACCTTTCGCCTACATAGGCGCCTCTTACGGCGACTGGTACGACTCGAAGTCCACAGAGGGGGCAATCTAGTTCTTTACCAGGGCCCCGATGTTATAGTATTGGAACCAAAATAAAGTGACAATCCCGTGGAAACAGATGTGCTAAGAGACGGCAGCACTGTTGAGTGGTCTTCAAATATTTCCACCTGCGTACAATTAAAGGGTCACATCCCAGAGCCTGACCTTTCCACTGTAATGTCCAGATGCCGCCAATTTACCATCGGGGGAGAATGCCATGGATTGGACCTCATCACAACTACCCTGAAGGGTTTTGCGTATAGAGCCCGCAGTGATATCCCAAATTTTCAATGTCTTACCATCAGAGCCAGATGCCACTAACTTGCCATCTGGTAAGAATGCCACGGAAATTACCCAGCGAGAATCGCCCTCGTCGGTTTTGTGTATAGCACCGGTGTCAAGATTCCAGAGCCGGACTGTCTGGTAATTAGCACCCGTGGTAGTATCCCAGAGCTTGACGGTCTCGTCATTAGATCCAGATGCCACGCATTTCCCATCAGGTGAGAATGCCACGCAGGTAATGTCCCTAGCGTGACCCTCTAGAGTCTTGCGTATATCACCCGTGGTAGCATCCCAGAGGTTGACTGTCCAGTCATTGGATCCAGATGCCGCTAATTTTCCATCGGGTGAGAATGCCACGCAGGTGACGGCACCAGAATGACCCCTACCCCTACTGTTTATAGGGCCAGCCATAGCACCCCAGACTTCAACTACCCGGCCACTAGCACCTGTGGTAATATACCACAGTTTGACTGTCCAGTCTGTAGATCCAGATAGCACCGTTTTGCCATCGGGCGAGAAAGCCACGCAGGTGACTTCCCTAGAATGAACCCCAATCATCTTCTGCTTAGAAGCCATGGCGACATTCTCAACAATGACCGTTTGGCCATGACATCCAAATGCCACCCATTTAGCATTGGGTGAGAATGCCACGGAAGTCACCCATGTAGGATAGCCCTTCAGTGTTTTGTGCATAGCGCCCGTGGTAGTATTCCAGATTTTGACTGCCCCATTGGCAGCTGCACAAACCACCAATTTACTATCCGGCGAGAATGCCGCGGAAGTCACCCAGATATGATGACCCTCAAGAATGCGAGAAAGTCTCATCATCCCGACAGGTGCAGTAGTCTTGTGTTGCACTAGCTTAGGCTTTGCAGTCTTGTTGTTAGAAGGCTGGAGAGGCGATGTCCGTAGTTTCTCTGTTTTGCTCGAAATGAAAGCCGTGAATGCCTCAAGAGACCTCACAGTGTCCCACGACGCAGGACTTTCTGACATTGAGTCAAGCGCTGATGTAGTATGTGCCTCAGCCAGTGCAGCCTTGTTGTTAAAAGGCTGGAGAGGTGGTGTCTCCAGTTTCTTTATTCTCTTCAAAGTGGGAGTCTCGAATTCCTTTGGAGACTTGGCAGTGTTCCATGACGCAGAGCTTTCCATCATTGGGTCAAACGCTGATGTATTATGTGCGTCTTTAGGCATAAGTGTAGGTTAATTCCGATTATTATAGGACAATGGCTCATCAATCCACCTGTGCTGTAAAGCATCCTTGGCAGACATTCGGCCTGCTGGGGTGGGATCCATAAGACGTAAGACAAATTCAACTCCGATTTGACTGACCTGGTTCTCGACGAGTCTACTGGAAGGAAAGACGGTAGGCGTTTGGACATAGTTGTAGAGCAATCCGGGATGCTTGAATGTGGCTTGCTTCGTCAAAATATGGAACATAACTTCTCCAGCAGCCCACATGTCAACGGCATACGGCGTACCGCGCTTAGTGAATTCATAGACCTCCGGAGCAATATATCCCGGTGTGCCCTTCATGGTTGTTGATTTTGCAACCTCATCTCCGATACGTTTGCTGATCCCAAAGTCTGCGATTTTTACCCACCAATCCCCTGGCGGACATGATCTTAAAAGGATATTCTATATATGACTAGATTTAGCAATCGGTTGGGGGTAGTTGGTTTTCATAATGCAACGGACTCACATTCGGTTTCAAATCGCGATGTGCAAAGCCATTATCGTGCATCAAATCAAGGCCCTCAAGAATTTGCGACATTATCCCCCGCGCCTCGAATTCCGGTAGCGGCTTGTGCTTGTCGCGGAGATAATCTTGTAGATCGCCTAGCTCAAGATATTCCATTGTAATAAATAAGCTGGTTTCGGTCTGGTACCACCCGAAAGACTTGACAAAGCATCGCTCGTACTGCTGATATGTTAGTGGCTTTCATTCAGTTGGCGAGCTGGAAAAAATAACCTTCGAGTGCGAGAATTTCGCAATAGCCTCGAGCTCACGGCTGTAGTCTATCTGGTGGCGGACCTCCATTTTCTTTGTTGCGCGGACTTGATAGCCATGATTATTCCCTTTTGTGCATCTCTCTAGCCACACCTCTCCAAACCCACCGCTTCCAATCTTCTTCTCCCGCTGCCAGTGTACTGTCTTCTTTATTGGCCGTCGTGAAAGGGATTCCTGTTCATAGTAGGTATGCACGGTCTCGTATTTGGAACGAAAATAAGTCTCAAGCTTAGAATCGAGGACCCAGTCTGGAACTTTCGACATTTCAAAAGAGGCGAGGATATAGTGGAGGAATGACGAGGTAGTTAAGGATTTTTGAATATGTAAAACAGTGTAATCATGAAGTAGGTGATGTTGGAAATCCCTCGAGTCTTGGGGAATCCCTGGAGGTGGGGTTTCTGCGGTAATCCTGGTGAGCGCCTAACACCTCAACTTCCTTAGTAATTTAGAAGACGATCGCATTTTGAGGTACAATTGAGTAAGCAATACTTATTAGTCCTCGTCGAATATCAGTCAAGGCTTAGGCTCTATAGGGCGTATTATATATATTGCTGCCGCGACAACCAGACGTTCCAATTGTTGTTATGATCTTTTGGCCCAATGGCTAAATCCTGTTGAGATTTCCATATCTCCTATTCAAGTTTGGCATTTATCAGTTATTAGACTCATATTTTTTACTTTCGTATCGCTGTCCCAGGGGATAGTGTTAATTGTCGACTTGAAATCTTCTCTTGTTCCTATGTCTTTCTCTTTATTTTTCCGTCCTGCATCTGATACGATGCTCTGGGCTTAGAGGCTAATTATATAACTTTATAAGTACCTTGCTTTGCCTGGAAGATGCAGCCTTTTGTCTGACAGCCAGTTTCCTTCTATCCTTGTACTATGTACTACCAATTTGTTCTAACCCTTTGATATCGAAAGATAGAAGCACGGAAAGTTAATTTGTTCGGGAGAAAAAAGCTGACCATCAATTCATATAATATAATATCTGATTGAACGCAGTCCAAGAACACGCATTGGCAGAAGAGGAAGAACACTTAGCATATATAGCTCTACTATCATTACTCGCAAAGGTTTCTATGATGTTTGCATGATAGTTCAACCCTAAAGACTGTGCCTATACCAATCAAAAGAGAATCCAATTTGCTCAGGCTCACCCGAAGAAAGCGCACGAAGAAGACCACGTTTCTCCAGGTCCTGACAAAATTACTTCTTCGAAAGAAATTCCTCTTCCATGCAATTTTGATCCACATCATGATTGTCGCCACTGGCTCGCCCGGCGATTGTTGCTTCGTCGTGGACACTCTGTAAGAATGACCTCCACCATACTCCAAGGCCATAGCATATCCCATGAATTATGCTACCCATGCCCATACGCCATCGTTCGTTAGAAGGAGTTTTGAGTGTGACCACTTCGCTACTTTCCTTCTTTCCGTTTTCGTTACTTTCCATCGCATCGGTTTCTTCGTTCAAAAGCTTTTTCGTGTGCGCGGCTAATTCTGAGACTGTGACATATTTGTTATGCCAGCATTTGTCGATGATGTTATCAATCAAGGGATTGCCATCCAATTTCGGAAATTCCATGTTCTGTAGTAGGTCCACGACCTTAGGACCATGGTCATAAGGATCCTCGGTAAGACAGCGATCTCCATAAACCTCAAAGCCGTAGTTTATCAAATAGTACAAGGAACCGAGCGCAAACTGTTCTGTTCGAGCGCTAAGAAAGCCAAAAGTTCTATATTCCCCTTGATCTGACTTATTATCATTGAGTATTCGGCCATACGGAGCCATACAAGCTTCGTAATTTGTGCTAATTTTCGCCGTACAATTAAAATCAGATAGCTTTAGTCGGTTACGATCAAGTAGAACATTTTCAGGTCGTAAATCACTATGAGCGAGTTTAACGGATTCCAAGAAAGCGACGGCTTGAGCGAGATCGTTTATCCATTCTTTTTGTAGGGGTAGAGGTTCTAATATCTCTACTGTAGTAACCACCATAATTTGCTGGTCCCGAGTATGATTTTTTTGTATTCTAGAAGAAAGCGACATATATAGGAAGTAAATTAGTAGACAACCTCTTAACTGCTAATACGGATCCTACCTCCCATATACTCCAGGAAGATGCCACTGCTGCAAAAGAGAAAACACTGCACAATAGAGGGATAAGGCGGATTTTGCGAGAATATTTGATAAATCTCGAGCTCTTTTTGAAATTGTTCCCTCTCGAATTCCCCAGATTTCGGGACTTTGACCACGATGCGAGGGTGGACCTCGTAAACAAAAGAGATGCCTCCTCCCCAGATCCAGTGGACATTAGGAAACTGGCTTTGGATATCCATGGTTAATGGTTGACATGAGATGAAGAAGTATTTTGAGTAGAAAGGGTAGGAAGCAACTTATATCTGTGATTGAAGGGGGAAGCACAGTGACATAATCTATTATAATTGGTTCAGTTTACTAGTAGACCAGTAGACCATTGCCTTTCCTACCTTACATTTTAGGCTAGAAAACCACTTGCATACAAGCGACTAAATTTATCAGGAAACTTCTTCCCATCTCCGGAGATTGATTCTAGATAGTAATAAAAGAGAAACTATAGCATTCCAAGCTCAACCCCTAATAATTCAAAATTTCACTATAAGATAATTCGATAACAAGCGCAAGGAAATATAGATAAGGTTCAAGAAGTTATGAGACTAATTCAAGATTGCAAATTCCAGATACCCATTAGGCCTTCTTCCAAACCCCATTGTTCTTCACATAAGTACCATTGGCGATACAGTCGGGGCATAGATCCCTTTTAGTTGTCTTACCGAGGTGCTCTATTTTCTAGATGATACCGCAAGTATTACAGCCATCAAGCTCCCTAACCCTCCCAGGAGAATCAACTCTATGTCTGCATAGATGCTCGATTGTCTCAATGAGCTTCTGACACATGATGCCTGGAAATTTCCTCCGTATCAGCTACAACAGTTTTGGCTAGCAATAATCATTGATACTCACTCGAAGATAAGATGTAATATCGGGTTTGCGATAAATTTCCGTCGTCTATGAATGTAGAGGGTATCAGAAGAATCTGAATATCGTGAATTTCGAGATTGGGGTGAAAGGAACATTGAAATTATCGGGGAATTTGGACGTATTTTTTCTTCACGGGGGGGCTTGAGCGCTTAGGAGATGCCTTTGGTCAAATGTTTACGTTTATCAGTAACTGAGCAAGAGGGCAACTTGATCCAACCATTCCGTGGACCATACCACCCGTGGCGGCGCACGGTAAATGCCCTCTTAGCGCCTGGCCCACAGTGGTCCAGCGGCTCCGTTGATCATGGACTAGGTCTAACTGCGGCTCTACGAGCCGTCATTTCCGATGCGGCCAAGAGGTGAATTTGAAAGACCTTCCAGTACTCGTGGGATTGGTTATGTGCGACTGTATGGTCTCACTGTTCAAGCAAATCCTAGACGACTGCCCTATGTGGGACAAGTCTATCATCACTGCAGCAGCAAATACCACGATGTCCTGTCCTCCTGAAGCGACGCAATGCCGTAGCTATCTCCTCATGACCAATTATATGATGGAAGTAAAACGGGCACACTTGACAAAATAGCCAATAGAAAAGCCTCTTGTGGCCAACAATCCTTGACATGGCAGTCGGATGCGTTGTGGCCGCATTTTGTTCTCCTCACTTTTCCACCTCTCTTCCACCCCTCTTCCATCTCTGAACACATTAATCACTTTACTATCTTTGGCAGTTATCCTAGTCCATATAATTCTCCGATAGTAACCCCAGAATCCTTTCCAATTAGCTTTCAAGGCGCTCGCTTTCGATATTCCCTTTAGATAACAACTGCCTTCGCCATACTTCGGCTTTATATAGTAGTTAAAAAAGCGATACACGTCATTAGGAGTAACCTCGCGCAGTGCCTCCACTAGGTCGTCCCATTTTAACAGCGCACCAGCCTAAGCAGCCTTCGCTCGGCAGTACCTACGCCTCATATCAGTAATCACCTCCTATTACATAGGAATAAATGCCTACTTGTCCTAGCGCTTTTCTATTCGTCGACCCCAAGCCTTAGTTCATTCTAAGTGCTTATAATCAAGCGGTACATTTACAATATCCTCGTCTATATTGTCATTAGGGTTGTCGCTAAAATCGGGCAAAACACTAGCGTCCGCTAGACGAGGGACGGGTCGTTTTAGACAGGTAGAAGGCCTACGACGATTATCAGGAAGAAGATAGGTAGGTTCTAGGATTATTAGCTCAGTTAAATTTAACGCTTCCCTAGAATCAGAGTCATCAGTCGCATCGATATCAGGCTCGAAAGATACCCCAGAAGTATCACTATCGGTACAACGTCACTCATACTGCGTCTGGGGAAACAAGTATGTGCGCCAAGCCGCTCCAGGCAGGTAGATAGATTACCGGGGTTGAAGAACGACTGTGAGGCACCCGCTGAAGAAGGACTAGCAAAGGATAGGTGAGAGGAGGGCTAGGTAGGACAGTGAGGGACTGTTAGCAGCTTTATAGTCATAGACCCCATTACCCCAGCGACCAATCAGCCTAGGATGGAGTGTGCCATTTTTGGCGACCTGTCAAAACGAAGGTATCATGGTAGCGCTCATAGAGCAGGCTCGGAGGTGGGTAGAAGTCGATAGAAAGCAGGAGCGGGGCTCGAGGGCAGGGGAAGGGGAGCCACGCGCCCAGGCACCGACATGACCGAACAAGAACGTGACGGCGCGCGTTACAAGGGGGGAGGAGCGCGTGGCTCTGGTACCGAAAGTGTGTGTGCGGAAGAACTGTGCCGAGGACGCCAGAAATGGCCGCCTCTGCACAAATGCTTTTTGTTTAGAGGGAATAAAAAGCATTTAGACATTATATGCGTAAATATGGGTATATGTATATATCGAAGCAAGGCCAAATGAACAAAATCAGGAAAAAGTATCAACTCTCAGGCTGCGGATGCTTGCCCTGAACAGCATCGGCAACACCGCTAGCCCAATCCTTCAGGTCATCGAACTTGTGCGAAATTTTCTCCCACCACGTCGACTCCTTTTCCCTGTCGCCTTCATGGTCTGGAGTAGGGGTTGCCTCAGCTGGTGGAGTGGTGGGTTTCGGTGCTGGCTGAGCTGATTGAGGGGGCTTGGACTGTGGGAGTGTTGGCTGTGGAGCTGACGGCTGTGGAGGTGCTGATTGCGGGGGCCGTGCTGTTGAAGTTGAAGCCGGGGGATCAGGAGGCGTGTCTAACACGGGTGCATTCTCATCCGAGTGAAGGCCGACTGGCTTCAGCGGGAGGCGTAGTGTGCCATTACCAGGAAGAGGATCGACGCCCAGCGAGTCACAGACAATGTTGTACACCTCGATATTTTCTATACAGATTTGTTAGGCCAGATCCTAGTCAGTGATTTGGAATAGATACTTACGGAAAACTTCCACCCGGCTGTTTGGTTTGTGAGGGAAGGCTGGGCCGCGTGCAATAAAGATCGCCCGCATCAATGGGTGCTCATGGTCATATCCGTGGATGCCCCGGGGATGGTATTCCTCCCCAGTTTTCATAGCTTCTTTAACGTCGAACTCTGACCGATTAACGATAGCCCACCCCGTCTTAGGGATAACCCATAACGGCGCAATGCGTTCGTTGTTCGAGAAGTGATACCGCTCGGGCATTGTCTCCCGCGTGTAAAATTCGAACGCATGCTCGTAATCCGGAGCTACCTTTTCCAATTGTTTCCGAAGGGTTTCCAAATCCTCGGGGCGCTTGGGACGCAGGCCATTGGATGGCCACCCGTCAATATGTTCAATCAGATCATAATCAATCAGATCATCCAGCTGAATAAGCCTCTCTGTAGAGGTAGTAGCCATACCATGGTCTGAGACGACCACGATGTTAACTACCTCGGTGAGGTTGCGTTTCTCAAGACCAGCCATGATGTTGGCGATCATGCTATCCGCTTCGGAAATCGTTTTTCGGATCTCAGTGCTATTAGGGCCAAACTTATGCCCATCCCGATCGACATCGGGAAGATAAGCCGCGATGAACTGCGGTCGCTCGGGTGCCATCTGGGACTCATTCTCGAGACCTGGGAGATCCAAAAACTCAAGGATCCGATCCACCTTGCGAGACCAGACTTCCGTCCCGTTGTATTTGTCTACAAAGCTCGGCTCCCTATCGCCAATGTGCGCCTCAGACCCTGGCCACATATGGATAGCGGTCTTCACACGCTGCTTTTCTGCCGTGACCCAGAGTGGTTCCGCCATCCACCACTTCGGCTGCATGCTGACAGCGGGATGGGTATAGTAGAATTCTTCCTCCATATTCGGGTCCCAAAATGTGTTCCCTACAATCCCATGACTCTCGGGGTAGAGTCCGGTCATGAGTGTGAAGTGGTTTGGGAAGGTGACGCTCGGGAAGCTGGGGGTCATGTATTGCGGTGAAACGCCATTGGCGACGAGAGAGTTGAGCGCAGGAGTTAGACCACGGTCAAGAAAGTCGGCTCGGAAACCGTCGAGCGAGATAACGATAGTGGTGGGCGCAAAGAGAGCTGTGCCGTTGGAGAGCAGAGGTGGAAGGTGCGCTCGTGTAGTCCGGAAGCCGCTCGAGGCTTTATACGCCCCAAGGACGAGAATAACGAAGAGAATGGCGACCAAAGCAATTATAAACAAGATTTTTCGCCATGAAGGTCGTGGAGGCTAAGCGGCGGACATGTCAGCAGGGGGTCATCGAAACCAGCCACGGTACGTCTTACCGGCTCATATGTGTATTCGTCTTTCCCGTCAAAATCCAACGATGGTCTGCTCAAAAGTGAAGCATTGTCATCACTAAATCCCTCTTCCATCTCATACATCAGCTCGCCGTCTTCGCTGACTCTCTCACGACGCGACCCCCTCCGTTGTCGTCGCTTTTTCGTCTTCCCGATCCTAACACTGCTACCATTCGGACTGAAAATCCTCCGCAGACCATGTCCACCACCACGGGTTAGGAGATTCTCTAGCTCCTCTTCCTCTTCTAGCACTGCCCGGTCGTGCTCCGCGATTTCCAAGGTACTGCGGTTTTGATCCAGGAGGGCATCATCGTCGGAATCCGAGTCCTGCTCGGAGGGCGACCGCAACGAAGATGCATCATTGTCGTAATTTCCCGGAGAAAGAAGGGAAGGACTAAAGTCTGGGCGGCGCATTGCTAGCCTGATGAAGACATGGAAAAGAGTTGAAATGGAGAAAGGAAGATCAAAGGATTGCCAAGACCTAATCATTTACGATAAGCGCGATCTATAAAACTTGGAGTTGTGTATTTGTTTATTTTGCTTATTGTGACAATTAACTATCATGAAATGTTCTTTGATCTTGGGGATTTAAGCTGATGAATTCGAATTGAAATCATTAGTTGTGTTGACGGGTATGTATATAGTTTGGGTAGTGTAGCTTAAAAGTGGTCTATAATATATATCAAGTGGCAATATATAAGAAGTGTCTTAAATGAGTATATTCGAAAAGCAACGATCGCCAAACTTTTATTGTGGACTAAACGAGCGAGGCCGTCCTTTGTGGTGGAATATATATCTTTCACAACTGAACAAGCCGCCCAAGAGTAGTACCTACACTGTCCTAACCACGAAGTATGTCTTGTTTTAGGGGAGCATCTACCAAAACAAACTTCATATCTTGAATACATTGTGCTATAACCCACACTTTGGGGGAATCTAACATATCATGGGCAGACTTGAGAACGTGTTTGCAGTCCGTTTTGTACAAAGACAGCGTTAGTTTGGGTTGCGAATTATCCTGTCGTCTCCTTTCATAAAAAGAAAATACCCTGTAGTGGCACTACTAGGGAGTTCACGGATATCCTCCAGATGCAAACATGTAAAATCTCTTACTGAAACAGAAGATACAACTTGAAACCAATTCAATATGGTGACATTTACCTCTCCGGCGGCATCAAGAGAAGTCACTCCTGATGTTACTCAATAACCGGGATCAACTTTCTCACTTTCCCTTTTCTGCGGACGACATTGATCTACATGAAAAACTGCCAACCCAGTTTAGGGGTGTATCGTCAGACCTGCAGGAACATACATTCTGCGGTTAGTGCGTGGCAGCTGCATTCCTTAGATTGATCGCGGAGCTTGAAGACTTGACATGAACACCGCTAAAGGTTTCTAGAAATAGTAACACGGGATTGTAACCGACAGATTTTGAGCACACTGGATAGGCATTCCCGATGCTAGGTGAGCTTTGATCTACACTTCCTAGATGCTAAATGCAGTTGCTAGGTGATCGACAAGGCGATCAGCCCTATGCAGCTTGGATGATTTTTGGTGCAGTTGACTAATCATTGGATAGTCTGACTGAAGAAACACAGCTGATTCCCGAGTATCGTTTTTTGTAATCAATTCTAGAGACCAACTATGCTCTACCTGGTACAATGTGCGACTTAATTTTCTTACCTCAAACTCCAACAATTAATTGGAGCATTACGGGAGGCATTTCACTACTCCACGGCCTCCAGGGTGCTCCACGCATCCATAGCGCTGGAGGCTCTCCACCCATTGTCCAAGACTCCATCCCTTCAGACAATGTATCTTCGCATAAACCCGAAAACAGATCACTCACAAAGAAAATCCACTTGACATCTATTGTACAGCTCTGAGGTGGACCCTTCTGGAATTCCACGCTGGTGGGGTGTTTGGCGTGGATGTCCGCTTGCGAGAGCATCACCTTCCTAATCGGGACAAAATATCACGTGAGGCTACCCAAGCGAGCCGGGTCTCCACTATTCGAACGAACAGCAAGTTCAGAAGATCATGACGATGTTGGCGTCGGGTTTTACCGACCCGAGTAGGGCTTTAAAGTGGAGTCTAGATCAGAGCAGGGTGACATTTACCCCGGATGCGGAAGTCGACCAAGTTCGTTTCCACTTTGCCAAGCGAACCTGAGCCCAGAGAGGAACATCGAGGGCAGGAACATCGAGGACAGGAACATCGAGAGGAACAATATTCTAATGGAAAATTTTTCTTCCAAGTTTTCTTTTCATGATACATGTCATCACCAATTAACCTTAATCAATAAATGACCGCATTTGGACTGCCTGCTAGATCTATAAGAATGCCCTCCTCTGCGCCTCGGATCCTTCCTCGATTTCCACCCCAATCGCATTGGCATTATCACTAGGTAAGTCAGGAGCTACCTTACTGGCACAAATCTCAAGACATACTAACTCAGTCCAGCTTCGTCACTCGTTAAGACAGCAATCTATCTGACTTAATCCAATCGCTTGTCGTAAAAATGCACTTCACCGCACCGTCCATTGCCTTGCTAGCTCTCGCAGCCGGCGTCCAGGCCGGTGGCGACAAGCAGATGCATGAACCCCCCGTCCGTGGCGGAAAGGGCATCGGCAAGCACCACACTTCCGGTGCTGCCACCGGTATCTCTACCGGTGTCTCTGGTCATGGTACTGGTATCGCTGGCACCGGTGTCCACACTGGAAGCCACCCCATTGTCACCGGCTACCATAACGCTACCAACTCTGGTAGCAAGAACTCCACTATCATCGGCACTGGAACCGCTCCCTGCTACAGCTGCCACGGTAGCTCCACCATCCCAGTCTACGTCCCTACCAAGACTCACGCTGCTGCTTCCTCCGGCGTTGGCGGTGGTGCTTCCCCCTCCGGCGGTGCTGGCGGCGCCCACGGTGGCTCTGGCTCCGGCTCCGGCAGCACCGGCTCTGGCTCTAGCTCTGGCGGCGCTGTCGGTGGCTCCGGCTCTGGCTCTAGCTCTGGCGGCGCTGTCGGTGGCTCTGGCGCTGGCTCTGAGTCTGGCTCCGGCTCCGGCTCTGGCTCCGGCTCCGGCTCTGGATCTGGATCTGGCTCTGGCTCTGGCTCTGGCTCTGGATCTGGATCTGGATCTGGCTCTGGCTCTGGCTCTGGCTCTGGCTCTGGCTCTGGCTCTGGCTCTGGCGCCTCCCCCTCCGGCGGTGCAGGCTCTGGCGTTGGCTCCGACTCCGATTACACCCCGTCCAGCCCCGGCTCCAAGGTCACCACACCCCAGGTTGGAGTTTTCGGCGCTATTGGCAGCATTGTCTACGGAGCCATTATGCTTCTCGCATAAACGTCCTTTACTTAACGTTTACAAAACTGTCTTTTAATGCTGGTGTTTTGTCGTGCTGGGTATCTCCTTTTGTTTCTTTCTGATATATCTGGGAACTGGCTGCTGCTAGAGACTTGAGTCAGAAAACAGGAGTACAGGCGTTGGAAAATATATCTAGGTGTGGGTTTAACGGGTTATGTGGTAATATATTCTTATTTAATGTGATTTCTAATGCAAATTTCTTTTTCGTTTCATGAATTTCTCGTGAATATGTATATCGAGATGATCAAGATTGGGTATATAGATACGACAACATCCTCGCAGTCTCGATATTTGTTCAACTAACATCAAGATCATGCCCCCGACAAGACAATCTACGTCCTATTTCCCCTATGTACTCCATAAATAAAACTTTAATTCAGCAAGAATGTAACCCAAGCCCTGCATTGACTAATAAAAACACAAAGGTTAAATCCCAACGCAATAACTCGTTCCTGCAGGGTCTGTTCTATAACCGTTTGCCTGCTTCGATATTAGGGTTTGACTAAAGATTAGCTAAATTAAGGTTTCAGATTGACTTTGATGCAACATGAATTACCTCGATCGTGAGCTATGAAATCTGAATAGGTCAATTGAATGATACTTTAAATATTGTAACCTCGTTGAATTTTATTTAGTTACTGAAAGATGTCAAATCTATAACTCTTTATGAGTCGAAAATGAAGCAAAACCACCCAGAAACATATGCAATGCAACATACAATAAAAGAAAAGAAAGAAAAGAAAACGCCCCACGTAATTCATTTACTCGAAATCCAATTCACCCATTGACATCCACACCCCCCACCACCGCCATCAACGCCGCCCGCTTCTTCAATGGTGGCATTCTTCGTCCCGAGACCCTTGAAAAGACCTGAGGCGGGATTAACAAGATCACCGCCCACAGCGCGGTCTTCGAGCTGGAGCTGTACGGACGTGATGTTGTAATGTCCGTCGTCTTCGATGGGGTAGCAGTAGACCATTTTCTTTTTCTCGGCGCCGCCGTGCCGGTCTATTGTTATTGTTACCGGGTATGGGAATGAGCCTGGACGGGAGAAGTCCGTTGCGGAAGATGATGTTGGTGTATATGTTGACGTTGGTGCGGAGGTGGTTGAGGTTGCGTTGTTAGGGGAGAGGAGATGACGACCGATTTTATCTGGTTGGGTCCAAATTTGGACGAGGAGACGGGTCTGGGACCATGTGCATCGGTATTTTGCGTCGGATTTTGAGGTCCCGCCATTTGTGTCTGCCGGGGAGGGTTTGGTTTGCGAGGTTAGGAAGATGGATTTGTCGAAGTAGCTGTAGAAACCGTAGTGCTCTGTTTCCAGGCCGCGGTTGTAGAGACGGATTGGTTGAGATGAGGGGAGGGGGTAGAGCATTGCTGCGGATGGGGTTCCGTCTGCGTTTTCTTCCGGTGCGGGGATTATGGATGAGATGTTGGGGTATGCGGTGCCGTTGGAGGGGGAGGAACGGCGGTAGATGCTTGCTGACGAGAGGGAGACCGGCGAGAGGAGGGACATGTAGAAGGGTGTTTCCTCGCCGGCGTAGGGGGCGGTATTGTTGTCTGTGTACTGGCCGAGGAAGTCCTGCTCTGCGTCTCTTGGGGCTGCAGGCGATGGATCGAAAAGGTCGTCGCTTCTGATACGTAGCTTTGAGCCGACAGCGGTGCTATTATCGTATGTGCCATTGCGGAAGCGGATAGAAACACGGAAATTGGGCTGGTTCGCGTTGTACGGCTTATTTGCATCTTGCTGGTCCTTTGGCAAAGCGCAGCTCCACATCGAAGAAGGTGTGATACATGTCGACTTTTCAAGCTGTGGCTCTGTCCCAGCGAGTGTTGCAATTCCAGTGGGCATGGGTGGGTAGCCTGTGAGGTTCAACCACCGCGATTGAACAGGAGTTTCGTCTCCTTTTCTTGTCAGCGTGACCGCCAGGATGGTGGCTAGGATCACGATAATGAAGAAGAAAATGCAGATCACGAAATACCATCTCCGTCGAGTACGACCCTCGCGTCCTGGACGTCCTGTTTTCTTGCTGAATGGACCCCGGCCACGCCAGAGACTGCAAACCCTTCGGCCAGTCGCTTCTTCCTTTTCTAATCTGCGGCGTCGGGCCTCATGTGGTCCTATCTCGCCGCTTGGGTTGACACTCGAAACTCCAGCAGTGGGATCGTTATCATACCGTGGTTGGATATCATAACGAGGCGGTAGAGCAGCGTCGCGAGGAAATTGCGAATAAGCAGGGGCTGGTGCCTGCATATCCGACATTGGAATGGAGCCAGGTCCACCAGCTGCACGTTGGAAACCTGGCGAGATAGGCTCTGAAGCTTGTACATGTCCTCGAGGAGCAAGTTCAGACCCTTGAGACAGTCCCCGTTCTGCTTGCGGCTCCCCAGATCCATGCTGCCGATCCTGAGCACCGGAATATTGATCCTGTTCTTCCTGTTGCTGAACCTCTGGTCCAGTGCGGTGAGCTTGTGGCACAGGCGGCACAGGGGGTGCGTTTGAATGAGGATGTGCGGTTAGACTAAACGGCCATCCAGATCCAGATTGCCGTCCTTGGATAACAAGTGGCCCTCGGGGCAGGTTTGCATGACCATCAGCCGGCTGTCGTGTCTGAGAGGCCTGTCTATGTAGCACCTGCGATCCCTGGGGCGTTGTTTCTGTAACAGGAAGTTCTTTCGGTTGTCCCTGTTGGACATACGCCCACTCGAACCCCGATATGTGTCCTTGTGTAGCTGGCTGTTGAGTCTGTGGTTGCTCTTGCGGCTGTCCCCGATTTCCCCAAGGCCATTCCGTCCTCGGCGTTAGTACTTGAGGGGCTTGTTGGGCCGGCGGCTCTAAGACTTCCCGCGAAGCTTCCTGCGCTTGCGGCTGTTGCATTATCGGCTCCATTGGCTGTTGCTGAGTAAATACAGGCACATATTGCACCACCGGCTGCACAGGCTGCACCGCAGGTTGAGGCTCAGGCTGGGTGTAATGGAAATTATTAGTTATATGCGGAGCAGGAGCAGGAGCAGGCTCTGGCATAGGAATAGGAGCTGGCGCAGGCGCAGGCGCAGGTGATTCCAAGACCTGTCTATCGACTGCCTCGGTGGGTGGTGCAGCAGGAATAGGAGGAAGAGGAGGTGAACCAGTGCGTTGAGACCGAGATTCAGAAACACCACCCCTAGCACCATGTGCCACCGAACCCCTCTCACTCTCATCAACGACAGACGTGTCCCAAGTATGAGAACTGAACTCCGACGATGGCGATAGTACCTGCACCTCCTTTGCACGAACAGCATACCCAGCCGGGAGCGTCCCCGCTGTTGTCTCCGGACGAGGCGAGTCCATATCAATAAGCAGACCAGTATTCTTAGTCGATGTTGCCGATGGAGCTATTGTTTGATTATCACGCGCCCCCTCAATGCCAGATTGTCCAGACTCCTCCAGTCCACCAACCGCCAAGCCCCGATTACCATCTGCAGTGGCTCCTGCGGGCATCGCGACAGGGTTTTGAGGCGTTATTGAGCAGATATGGTTGATGCACTCGAAGTACGGCGTCTTGCTGAATAACTCGTGCGCACAAGCTTGATAATATTCAGCTGCTTCGCCCTGGATTGTCTGGTTGTTGCCGAACATGAAGGACATGGTATTTTGTCTACTGGAGACATTCGAGACGTATGCGGGTGGCGGGGATTGATGGCGTTCGGGACCTTGGTCTTGATCTTGTTCAAATGAGCGAGATAGCTCAAATGCTTTTTCGCCCATCGGTGCTGCTGTCTCCGGTGTATCTGGAGAGAAGCAGGAGACCTCTTTCTCGCGCTGGATCCATTCTCTTGGCTGGATGCGGGTTCTGGTTGTAGTTGGAGACGGGGTGGATGGTGAGTCTTGAGGGAATGATGGGCTGAGTGGGGATTTTATGGACCGGTTCAGCAGAGGGGAGAGGATGTATGTCCACCAGCCTTGTGATTGGGGTCTGTCTTCGTCTGCTTGGGTGTTGACGCTGAGTCGACCTTGTTGATGTTCCTTTGGAGTTGAGCGTGCGGTGTCTGGTGTTCGGGGTGGACTATCATCTTCCCAGATTGAGGCCGTGGAGAGGCCGCGGGTGTTTCTTTGTACGCCCAGGGTGTTGTGATAAGCAGCCTCTGTGGCGGGAGCTTTGGTGGCATTTGTGTGCTGTGCGGGAATTGCTGGCACGGGTGGTACATCTGTTTCATGTTGCCAGAGGCGGGGTGTTGGTTGCGAGTAGACACTGGATGTTGCTCTTGGTCGGAGCAACTCGGTGCTCGAGTTCGAGGGTGTGTCCCATGGAGCTGGGGTGACGATAATTGATGGTGTGAGCGGCGTGCCTGCGCTGTCGGGGTCTTGTAATCTTTCAACTGACTCGTTGCGAGGCACAGTGAGTCCGATCATGACATGGCGGTCCGAGGGCGAGATTCCATGCTCGTTTCTATCGTGGAATGGATCTTCATCTCTGGGAGTAAGGAACGAGATTCCAGTCCCATTCTGGTTGTGGTTCTGACTCTGTACCGTCTCAGGTAACCTGTGAAAACCCCGCGAAACCCTCTTCTTGAAGATATCCTTTGACTTTTGAGCGGAGCGTTCCTTCTCTCGTACTTTGGAGAGGAGCTTGAGATCATTTAGATCAACGAATGGCGCAGCCGCATTTGGTGCCGGATTCGACTGTTTTCTCGGTGTTGGCACCGGTGCCAGCGTGAAATCCGTAACGAGGTTCAGCCCAAGTGGTTTGGCAACACTTTTACGTTTCTTGGTGACGCGGATATTTACTCTCGAGGCTTCGCGGTGGGAGATTATGGGCGAGCGGTTTCCATCTTTGGTGGACTTCGCCTCGAGCTTTTGTCGTGCTGCCTTGGATAGACGTGCAAAGGGTCGGTCTCTTTCTTCCTGATCTTCCGAAGAGCATGATGGACTGGAGATCTCCTCGCTGATCGGCGATGATAATGGGAAGTTTGGTACTGGGACCTGGAGGTCCTGTGGCTTTCGTTTCAGCATGTTTCAGTAGACTTGACTGTGTCGAGATGTTAGTCTGCAGAGATGAGAAGATGCAATGTCTTCGTACCATGTGTCATAAAATCATGAAAGAATGAAAAGGCAGGTAAGCGAAACAAAGATGTCTATTAATATTATAGCGAGTGAAACAATGGGAAAGGCAACAATACACAATAGCCCCAAATAGAATTGACAAAAGAAAGAATGAGAAAGAAAGAAAAAATGCCCGGAGATTAGGCTATCAAGCTCTATTTCTGCATTTCTCTCATCATCACAGTGCAGAATCCACGGAGTCCAGCCCGGTCACTGTACAGCGACAGCTCCAAGCTATAAACAACCCGACCAATAATTATCCTCGCTGGTGAATTTCTGCAGCGATCCCAGACATCCCGCTGCAACTAGCTCTGTGCTATTTCATCAAGGTCCGTCATTGGACCACTGGCAGAGCGATCACCAGGGTCGGACGAGTGAAAGGTGATGGATTGGATGCAAATGTCAGAGCGTCCGTCACTACGCGCCGGACCGGGGGCGGGCGCTTCGACAAGTTAATTAGTGGAGAGATAAAAATAGATCAATTCTATGATACTCGTTACTTATTTAAAGATGTTCTTTCTGAAACAAAATGTTTTGATGTTTAGATTATGTCTAAACTGTGTCTAAATTGTGTGTCTACTGTTGTAGTGTCTAGATGGTCTATGATCTATGGTCTATATAGAGATCCACTATAGAAATAGAAGACAGTAAACATGAATATCCATATTTCAGCTATTACAGCTATACCATATTCTTTCGTATTCCATATAGAGTGGCCAAAAAAAAAAAAAACAAAAAGCAAAGCAATTGCGGGTATGAATAACAAAATGAGAAACAGAGACCACTCCATAAGAAAACAAAATATAAAACCCCCCAACGGGGATCTTATCTATAGGGGGATAGTCAAAAACCAAGTCATGGGTTTTGCGTGAGTCATATCTCATACACTTCAGCTTTCCTCGTACCTCACTTCTCGCTACCGCCGCTCATATTCAATGCCCTGCATAGGTGCACTAGAACCATTCATAAGAGGCGGTAACGTCCGTGGCTGCTCCTGAGCGCCATTGCCAAATCCGCTGAAAACAGGGCCTTGGCCATTGACCTGGTTGGAGTTCATGTGATGTTCGAACATCGATGGTGGGCGGGAGGCGCCATTGGCTTGCTGGTTGAGCTGGGCGCGCATCTCATCCATCTCGGACTGCATGACGGCCCGGTCGCGTTGGGATTGCGCGACCGTTTTCTCCAGCATTGCGATATAATCAATTGCGCGGGTGAGGGTTTCCCATTTGCTGGACTTGTTGGTTTGACCGGGTGGTAGACGCAGCCGGAGCGCTTCGAAGCAGTCTTTCATTTCGCTACGCCGTTTGCGCTCGGCTAGTTTGTGCGTTACGCGCAGTTCGGGCGTGCGGCTGTACGGTGTGCTACCCGGCGGTCCGTCTTCTTCGCCGATCAACTCTCGCACTGCCTTGTGTTGAAGAGAGTGGTGGTGGTGTACATTTTGGGGTAGGTCTGGAAGATTTTGTTAGTGTTGCGCGTGCAGTGTTTTCGGACTGGGGTCCTCTTACCGTGTTGTCCTCGTGGCATACGTTCCGAATACATGCTATTCATCGACTCCGCCATACTACCCTTTCGGGAGAATGGGGGGTTCGACTCTCCCTTCGAGGAGACGGAGCTTGAACGCGCCATGTCCGGATCTGGGAAGGCGTATGCCATACCCGCCGTGGGTGCTTCGGCATTGTAAATTTCCGACCGAGGATTTGAAGAAATGGCCGGAGCTGTGCGACCGGCTGCGAAACTGCGCTGTTGGTCGGTTGCGCGAGGACCCAGTGGAGAGAGGGGCTGACTGCCTCCTGAGTAGCGGGGTCCTCGGTATGAATTCATGTCGGTCGGAATCCCGCGCTCTCTCTGTAGGGATGAGACGATCGAGGATTGAGAGGCATTCGTGCTGTGGTAGGGCGAGGCTGGGTTTATGGCTAGAGAACTGATTCCTTGGTTCATGCGACTGTCGACACTGCTGCGACGGGATTCAGTGGTCTCTGCCACACTCGCTCGTTGAGACGGGGCTTCGTAGTTCTGGTTGATGGAGGGTAGAGTGGAAGTTGGCTGGTTGAAGTTTGGAGAGGGCTGTTGAGTGCCCGCGGACGAAGGGGTCGTCGATTGGTCGTGGGGGAAAGGGGAGCGGTCGACAGCCGGGTGTCCACGGCTCGGTGAAGGTTGCGACGCGGATATGAAGCTGAGAGAGGGATAATTGTTGCCGGTGCCATTGGTCGTCGTGGAGTAGGTGGACGATCCTACATGGTCAGCACCGCGCCGCTCCCAATCCATACCAGGTGAGGGTTTCCTACTTGTGCTTTGCGGCATTGACCAAGTTCCCGAATCACGCTCAATCGTGTTTAGTGAGCCATTTCCGGGGGATTTCTCCGAGGGGGTTGCTGTAGGCATATTCGCGGTGAGGGTCGAGATAGAGGGGAGGGTTTGCGTTGAGCCTGCAGAGCTCTGAGGCCCTGAAACGGCCTCCCATGGTCGATGTGCGACAGAAGGGTCCATGGTGAAAGAGTCTGAATCAGGCGGGGGAATAAGAATTAAAAATCAACCCGGTCTTCTCTTCCACTATCGCATATTCCAAATCGAGGGTATAGCGGAGAAACGATTCACAGTGAAACCTGTGAAAGTTTTGTAGGTTGGCGCAAGATGAAAGAAAGGCTAGACTAGTTAGACATAACATGTAAAGACAGAGAGGTCAGCATACCGAAGGTATTATAAGGGAGAAGAGTAGAAGAGAAGAAGTTCCTAGAAAATTGGAGACTCGAAACCGCCTTCGAGTCTGAAACCCTTTTCCTTTTTTTTTTTTTTTTCTTATTCTTTTTATCCCTTTTTTTACTAAAGGAATCAAATTAAAATAGAAGTAAAATAGGAATAAAATAAGAAATAAAATAAAGAAAATCCAAAATAAAATATAACAAAATTGAATAAATTTCAGAAGAATGTAATGGTATTACTGCCAAGCCCCTACTGCAACTGTGCCACGAGGCTGACCCTGATCTAGACTATATTCTCTTCAATGATCTCTTCTCTCGAATAACTATTATAACTATTATATTCTACATATTCTACATATATATATCCTATACATATGTACACATATATATGCACATGTATATATATATATATATACATTATGTAAGAAAAAAAAAGATATTCCCCCTAGGTCAAGCAAGGAGAACACGTTCTTCACGTTTATTACAATACACACTTCACGTGGCTATACTCCCTTGCAGTGTATTGACTCTCCTTCTCTTTCCATCCAGTCAAGCTGCATTCACGACCGGGGCTAAACTGCACAATCCCGTTTGGGAGATTAAGGAATGTTGACGTTGGACACATGGCAGGATCGGCATACTTAATCCTTGTTCTCTTTTTACACATGGCATTTTTATCTTTACTCGCCGAAGGTATTATTTTTGTTCACCCTATAATCCTATAATCCTATAATGCTACAATCCTATACTCCGTAATGGTATCCTAATATCTAGTATATTACTCTAGCTAAAACATATGATCCACTTTTTCTCCCCCGTAACACCTCGGACACAGGCAGAAAATGTGTTACAGATCCACGCTTCCATGAGCTTGAGCTTCATATGCAACCACCCGTCCCTGCCGCCCAAATCATCACATGTTGACCTGTCAGAGGGGTTACATGAGGTCGCGCGGCTATTTTTTTCTCACGGGTAATATCCTGGTTCCGAATATCTCAGTGTGACTTAAGAGACTTGGCGACTTATTTACTTTGTTCTAGGTCTGGACTTTTCTTATTTTTATCAAGGACTATACAATATAAATGTGGTCTAATAACCTTGTCCCAGAATATGAGACATGGGGTATTTTAGCCGGGTACCTACGCCACAACGATCGCGAAACTGCATTGCCCAAAAGACTTTAGGTTGACGTATCGATTGACGTATCGAGTTAATTTCATCTCCGTTTGATCGGGTGTTCGTCCAGAAATAGATCTAGTCCGTTTGTAATGAAAACATATAAAATACAAAATAAAAATATAATTCCCTGCCCAAATCTAGCACCGCCACACTGTGGCTGGCGATCAATTTAGGCAGCATTCAATGGGAAAAAAAAATAAACATATGCATGTCAAGTACTACTGTCTATCATCTTCCTCTTCTAGCATGCCACATGGCACCATCGTCGCCTTGCAGAATGTCTCGAAGATCGCCACTTGATCTACGGTACATTCCTCGAACCTCTGACACGGTAGCACTTCTCCATACTTGACGATAGGAGACAACTAGGCAGCTTATCCGACACTCCAGGTTCAATCTCGACTAAACAGTTGGCCCCCGGAAATAAAAAAAGGTCAACGGGAATTCTGAGTACGACTCTATCTTTACAACGCTGTACACTCTCATCCTGACCTATCTCGATCAAGGGATAGAGGCAAGCTTAGAGTTCGCTATGTCAATAGTGCATGGCTCATGCAAGTGCCTCTCCTCTCATGGGCTCATGGCTGGCCCATGGCAATCCCCCATGCTCCCCCCATCCCAACTACCTGGCACTGCGTATCGCCCTATGACAATACCGTGGCCCTTGCCCATTCCTGCATCCACGCCTTTAAGAAGGGTCGTGGGACTGTGCCTTGCTGCCCTTTCCCAATAGTCTGTCTTGACACACGGGTCGTACCGTCTAGGGGGTGGGTACCTTTTTCCGTTTTGTTTTTCTTTTGCCTCTTATTCCAATTCCTCCTATTCCTCGCACGGCAATAACCCCTTTGTGCAAATAATCGTTTAAACCATCTGAAGGGTGTCTTGATCTTCGGAAAAGGTTACCATGCAACGTGATCCCGTGCCTCTCTCTGCACTACTGCCTATTTACTTGGCATATACAGAACAACGTACATTGTGCCAAGTACATTTCACATAACACATAACACATTTGCATATGTACGGTGCACTAGAGTCAACTCAAAATCCCCTGCCGACGATCCTCGCACCGGCTTCCGTTCCCCGAAGCTGGGGAGCGCACATGCAAAGCTTAGAGGTTACATGCGGACAAGGTTGGAAGAGATCATACCAGGATTTACATAGAATGTGAGCACAGATGTAATAAATTATCCTCCCAACTATCCACATGCTCCAGAAAACGTCCCGTCTTGTCCACACGTCACTTCCGGCGTGTCCCCCAACCGTCGTAACACAACTATTTCGTACCCTACTAAACCTACCCTACTGAAACAATATGATATGTTTTTAGTTTCCGTACTAAAATAACTTCCGTATTCCAATATTGCCACTCTGATCCGTATAAAATATCCCCCTCCTTGCACATGTCGCCATATTCCCCACTTCCAAGGTTGGTTCTTCCATATGACACCCGGAATCTCACCCCTGGCTACCGATACTCCTCACAACTGTCCGCCTTCCTAGACTCTTATTCTGAAGGGCGAGGTTCGTCGCTTCAACCTCGATATCATCCACACTTCGAGTGAGAATGATATATCCTTCATCATCCAGTGCAAAAAGAGCTTCCTTAAGCCATACGCGGCATGTAATGCTCTCGCGGAATCGAACTGAATCGACGAGTGGGATTTGGCCAAGTCGCTCGAGAAAATGCGCGTGGAGGATAGAATCTAATACCCCTATCTTAAGAGCTCCAAGAAGTGATGGGTCATATATGACGCTCTGGTCGGGTAGATGTTCGAAGCGCCAGATGGTTGGATCGATGTCATTTAGTAGATGGTAGATCGAGCCTGATGTTGGATTCTGGTGTAGGTAAAAGCGCCAGTGGAATGTGTAGCTCTTGTCGCCTCAGTCAGATAGGAGGATGTAGAGGCCGTTGACTTCGAAGGTGAGTTCTGGTATATCTATCTCGGACTGCAGGGTTTCCTCTGCTGGTGACATATTGGATGGATGTACGGAGTAGTGATAGTGGGATGAGGGGAAGATAGAGCATGGTTTACATGGGCTTTTCTGGCCTACTCAATTTCTCGTTCATTATCATCACGCTTCTTTTACATAGAGCGCTTACTCCGAGTAGGTCATTGGTTTGGTTAAATGTTTCGTGTTTGGCGGTTAATTGAGATACCAGGGTACGGCAGTTTCCAACAGTGACAGATTTTCTCATTCCAATACCTCTTTCTTCTCTAGCCCAGCTGTACTTTTGACCTAGCGCCGGCTTTTCATTATCTACTTGTTATTAACCCTATACGCAGCTTCAAGTACAGGTTCGGGTATAATAATATTGCGCCATACGCTTAATAAATTAAACTAAAATATAACCCTGTTAGTACCTTCGTATCCATATAACTAACCAGTTAAATATTGTAAATGGCTCCAATAGTACGTTAGGGTTTCAGGTCCACGTCGATCTATACATGATGGCCCCTCTTCGGACCACTTTTCCACTTTTCCACTTTCCCACTTTTCAACGGCCAGAACAGAAGTTCATTAGAAATCATCGTGAGAAGGATCGACGGGACGATCTAGTAAAATTACCCTGGCTCACAACTAGCCACTTTAGTGAATCCCTCCGGAAAAACGTCACTAATCTGGAATACCCTACTCGCCACATCTACTATAGGAAATGATCCACCGTCCGCCTTGTAAATTAAACCCCGACTCGGAAGACAACCGTAGAAGGTACATCCGCTACTCCGTACTCATTAAATCAGACAGAGTCCAGAACCACAATCCACACTACCTTATGCTAAATCAGAATCCTGCGAACCTAAGCAGCATGGCCTGGATCCTACATTTGCACGGAGAAGTCCGTACCTTCACCCATAGCTATGATTGGTAGATCATTCCACGATCTTCCTCCCTTTCATCGTGGCACATCCCTTACCTCCTACTTCTGTTCTCGGTTTACGTGCTGTCGCGTGTCTGTCAAAAGACCCTGAAGGGATGAACGTACATCTGTAGAGCCACGTCCCAACCGAGAATTCCAGAAATCAATTCCTGATTATCTCTTGCGTACTAAATTTCTGCATACATGCACTACCTACGTAAACTAAAATTTTGTACATATTTTGTCCTTTTGTAACCCACTTTCAAGACTAGTATCAATAGTGTTTCGGAAATAATCGTTAATCATCACTAATTAACCAATTATTTGGTCCTTGCTGTGTCTCAGATTTCGTCCGAGGTCCATTCGTCCCATGTGCTTGTTTCAGTTCGCGCTTACGGGATCGTCCCGCATGGCAATTGTCGATGATGTCAGTCGTAGAATTGAGGGTAGACCCTGAGACTGAAATTTCTATCTGTGTATTGCAGTCTGGTTGTATATTGAATGTTGAACTGAACGAATAGGTAAATATTATATTTGCGGAATTTTCCAAGGTTGTTCCAGCGACATAGTAAGATTTTAAAACGGGGTTCAATTGCCCTATTGGACGAGATTCCCGCTATTATCCCGAGGTAAGGATATCTATTGGGATTGAATGTCTCTAAGAAAAACATTTCGATAAGAACTAACCTCCGAATAATCTTAATGTGAATGATCTTGAAACATCAAGATATCTCATCAAGTCAATTCAAGTCGTATATGCGCCATATATATAATATCTACAATCAATTTTGTACCTATGCACTGCATAAGGATCATGACTATTCCCCTGCCTGTTCCCCCCCGTCCTGGGAATCATCGTCCTCTTTCTCACCTGAGTTGAAACCTTCCTCTCCTTCTCCTTCTTCTTCTTCTTCTTCATCATCCTCGTCAAACTCAACGCCAATCTCACCAGTGATATCCCACCGATCACCCTTGGCCGCAGCACTGACATACTTGACGAACTTGAGAGTGCCGCTATCCCGGAGCACAATGCTGAGCCGGTTCCAACCAGCCTGCGTGCTGAACAATATACCATCATCCTCATCAGCACCCGCAGACCGGTAGATAGCCGGATCGGCCTTGGCCTTCCGACCCAGGACTTGGCTAGCGTTCGTGGGATCCTCCTCTTCCTCATCCTCATCATCATCACCAGCCATGTAAATCTCGTATCCGCCCAGAGCAGGACCTTCCACAGCCTCGTCACTTTTCTCCTTCGGCTTGGCTGCCTCGGCAGATGAGCCATTGGCTTCTTCATCCTCATCCTCATCTTCCTCTTCTTGCTTCTCCCAACCCGGGCTCGGGGTAAGACAGAGGGTGAACTCAAGTCGAGGCTCCGCGCCCGCGTACGCACTAGCAAGAGTATAGTCCGCACCACGACGGAACCGTCTCGCAAGCAAATTGTGGCTTGTGAGGTGGTCCACACCAGTAACAAGCGCAAGCCACTTCCGGAAAGCCTGCGACGGGAACAACACGTTCAACAGCTCCTGAATCGGGTTCATCGGCTCATCGGAATCCTCGTCGTTATAAGCATGCTGGTACAGATATCGGTGCTTGTGAGGAGGACGAGCAACAGTCCACCCACGCTGCGCCTGGATCTCATCCGCAGAAGCAGGAAGGGGCTGTCGCTCTTGTTCCTCGATGTACGCACTCACGCGTGATCCAAACTTATCACTCAGGAACTGCTCTAGGCTGAGCGAGGACTCGGCTGAGAATGCGTCCGACATCTCCTCGGCGATATCGGGGGTCAGGTATGAAGGCGCAATGTACTGAAGCAGGAAGGCAAGATCGCTCTCTGTGAACTCGCCCTCGGTCTGCTCCTCCACTTTGGCCTTGCCCTTGCCCTCAACTTCGGGCTCCTCCCAGGACACCACCTGCGGTTGCGGCAGGTCGTAGATATCGCCTCGGCCCTGCAGCTGCGCGAGACTGCTGCGCTCCGCGAGCTTCTCTTCCAGTCCTTCCTCGTAGCCGTCTTCTCCTTCTTGAGGGATGTGGAACCAGCCGCTGATAGCCATGCGCACGCGCTTCTGTGTCTTGTCCTCGTCGTCGCGTGGGTGGTATACTTCCTCGACATCGTGGAAGCTCTCGCCCGGTTGAACGGTGAAGAAGCTCAGCTGGTTGAAGGCGGGAGGGATGGAGAGGCTGTAGTCTGGGCTGGGGATCTTGACATCCTCGCCATTAGAATCCTTCTTGGTGGTTGTTGGGAATAGGCGCAAGGCACCGCCCCACTCAGGTTTCCAGGGTGTGTCGGGGTCAGTCAAGTAGAGGATGTAGCTGAGGCGGCGGCTGCCGATGACATCGTCGTGGCACAGAAGGTGGCAACCCTCAGTGTAGACATTGATGGCCATGTCAGTCTTTTGCCCGCTCAATTTGCCGGAGCCAGTCACGGATGACAAGTACTCGCGGAACCGTGCTGAGTACATTGCGTCGCGTAGCTTTAGTAGTGACGGCAGTTTGGAGAGAGAGGAGTCATCCAGTCCATCGAGGTTGGCGAGATCGCCAGACTGGAAGATCTTGTAGATGTCTGTTTCCTTCTCGGTGAAGGAGACTTGGGTTTCAATCTCATCGCGGACCGAGCGGAGGAGAGAGGGCTCGATTAGAGGGTGAATGACGCCATGAAGGTAGCTGAATATTCAGACATATCAGAATTTTGCCATTGGACTATTGTCTTGTGTATACATACGGAGAAGACTTGGCGTATTCGCTGGTGTACTTCTGCTGCTCCGCAGTTTCTAAGAGGCCTTCGCGGAAGCAGGCAGCAGCCTCCTCGCTGGAGAGGGCCCGCTTCTTGGATTGGGGCATGGCATTGCCATCGAGGGAGGCCCTTGTATCTGTGTTGCGCTTCATTTTGGGGTTTGTAGAGGAATGGGCTTAACAGCGAGTGGTCTGATGTTTCATAGATTTTTCCGGGCGGTGAAGGCGCAGGATGAGGCGGTCAATTGTGTTGTTTCACCAGTAAGATGGAAGATCACAGTTCACTTCTAAGGTTATCTTAATCTACGGATCTATTGTTGTAGATCTTAGATTATGTACATATTGTCGTCCAAGTCTCAATCATTATTGCGTTCAAAAGCCTGTATTCTAGGGCTTCTATCCATATGAGTGTTGCCTAGCCGACGCCCTCGTCCTATCCGATGGCAAACAAATCCCTATAAGTCAGTCTTTTCTTTATATTTGAGATCTGAAATAGAAAAGAGTTCCTCATATATCTCTATTTTGATCTAAAGGCATCGCACATGTGATTGTCGCAAATCCAGGAACCGCTGTCGTCATAACCCGCATATCCGTTATCACCGACCTCGATTATCCCCCCACTTAGCCCCAACTTGATCCTTTTCAACTCTGTCGAATCTCATCATGCAGCAACGAGGGGATCGAACCCCAGAGCCGGGAACTCCACCTCGCCCGCCTTATTCCCCGGTGACACCCGTGTTTGCTCATCTCGCCCCAGTCCCTTCCAATGAGCCATCAATCGTACCGCCACCTGCATCCCCCTCTCCAACATCGCACCTCCCTTCACAGACATATGGCCACTATTCACACCCTACGCCTCCGCCTAATCCACCCGTTTTTCAGCCCCGACCGCCTCCTGTCCCTATCTCCGAGAGCGAGAATCCAGATGCCATCGCGCTGCGTTCCGCCATCTCAATCCTGCAAATGCAGAAACAGCAAAGCTTGCGCGATATCCAAGCATTAGATCGCATGAAACAGGCCGCTGCCGCTGATCCAGAGGGGTTTGCACACGAGCTGGCAGCAGGTCGGTTGAAAAGCGAGGATCATGGAGCTGTGATCCAGTTCTCCGAGGACGATGCGGGGGACGATGAAGATAGTGAAAATGATTCAAAGCGCACGAATGCAGATGGCTCGCCCGCTTCGAATTTCGGCAATATCCCTGTTCCGCAGAATATTGTCCGTATGCCCCCGATCAACTGGGCCAAATATCAGGTTGTCGGAGAACCGCTTGATCGCATGCACGAAGAGCAATTACGTCGACCGAGCTCTGGGGAACCAGGACGAGGGCGCGCGCCGGAACATGTCTTGGCGTCGCCGTATCGGCCGCTGGTAGATCAGTTAGAAGGACCGCTGAGGCTCGGCCGTCCTAGCAAGACGAAAAAGACCTGAGCCCACAAAGGGCGTTTGATTATTATGGGATTACGGAATTTTACGAAGTTATGTACTTTACAACTTATGAACAAAGCTGGATCTGTGTTTCCTTGACTATTTACTATAGTTTCTTGGGTGGACTGGCGCTGGGTTTGGCACTTCACTGCTAAAAAGACGACAGAAAAGAGATATAGCATGTCTACCGAATCGAGACTTCTTTTAGATTTAGCGCTGAGTCCTAACAAAAATGTCAATATACACATCCAGTAAACTCGCCACGAGTACCAGGTAAATATGGATCTAAATCCCTTATTCTCTACACGCATTCCAAGGTCCTTCTCTTCCAAGTCCACTCTTAACTAGTGATAGTCTCCTGGTACACTTCAGATAATACATTGTGCTACTCTCTCGGCTCACTACATCTTACCCGATTGATAGGCTTACTCCTGAAGCCAGTATACTCTTACACATTTTAAGGAAAAGGAACCTAGTTAGTAGTCCTAAAGAGTGGAGAGTAATATCGAAAAATATATTATTTCAATGCATCTTGTAGTTGACTTAGCGAATAAGAGCTGACTTCGATAGATCTGAACCTTAAAATTCTAATCTCCAACCCATTTCTACACCCCACTAACAAGAATAATGACCCAATCAAGCCAGTAAGCCTTATATTAAGGTAGAACATACAAAAAACAAAAAGGTATGATAAGAGTGGGATTCGAACCCACGCCTCTTGCGAGACCAGGAAACTATTGCTAGTTGTGGAGTTAAGGTATACCTTAACCTGGCGCCTTAGACCAACTCGGCCATCTTACCAATACGATGAAAGACGGCCGAAATTATGACTACATGAATGGAAACTAATGGTCATGGAAGATTGCCAAAACACGATGTGCCGAGGTTCTCTAGGGCTAGACCTGAAAGGCCCATTGATGGGGGCTCATGGCCCACCAGGGGCGCAAAGAGGGCCCAAATCCAACCCAACAGTGCGCTGGGCTGGGCTAGGTTGTGGGCTTTATAGGCCTTGCGGAGGTCTATCTAGGGCTATATTGTGAAATATCGTTAAGACAGAGACAGGGCAGGAGAGAACAAAATTTATTTCATCCTAAGCTTCTCCTTCAACTCTTGAGGTAAAACATACAGAGTCTCTTCTGGCAAAGAATCTCTGGCAGCATCGATATCCCCAACCTCAAGATGTTTAAAGATCTTCTTCATAGTAGCAGTCACATCAGTAATCGAAACAATCCACTCATCAAGATATCTCCCAACAGCCTCCCCACTCAACCCGATTTGAATACTCCGATAATTCAAAGAATTTAGTAGAATATCGCGCTCGGGATCCCACTGAACACGGACTGGACTGGCGCGCAGTTTCTTCCGCCATTCCTCTTTGCTTGGCTCCTTACCGGGAGTATAGTGACTCAAACAGGAATGACGCAATGCCCATTCGAACCCCTCGCGTGTAATCTCTATTGCTAGGATACGCTCTTGGTGGGCTTTTCTTGCCCAGCTTGAGCGGGACGCTATCCATCGGAAAGAGGGTTTGATCCATGTCATTCTATCGCGCGAAAATGGAGGGACGAATGTTTGAGGTTTGATTGCCGGATCCGCTATCTCAGGGGAATAGGCTTGGTACACTGTGATTGTACTTGGGGTTTGTTTGGCGCGGATGGCCCTGTAGGCATTTGAGGTCATTGCTGGATGTGTAGGTAGTGTTGTTGAGCAATTGTGGTTATTGGTGATAGCGATAGATAAAGTGCGGTGATATGAATCATGCGATGATGTATAGAGAGCTTGCATTAAGCATGGGAAATTGAACTGTTTAAAGAATTATATTTGCTTCTACCTCGTATTTGGTATTGACTAACAGATCCAAGCCGCCACACCAAACCTAATTGGGACTCCGCGAGGCTGAATGAATCCTATAGGGATCATCACAAATACGAGAATAGACCCAGTCATATATTTCGACTGAAAATTTAAAATTACTGAAGACAGCCTAATTTGGAAATTTGTTGTCGGGCGTGGCTTAGAAGCATTAAAATGACATAGTGCCAGGTCCAGGCTGGTGTGCAGCTACAAGTAGAAACTATGCATATAAAAGTTCCAATTAAAGAAACGCTGGCAAGCATTGTATAGATTTAAATGATTAAGGGCCTCTTACATGGAGCTCTGGTTTTTCGACTATCGCCTTTACTATCGAAATCCCAGGCTAAGTACTTTGCGCGGTACTTGCGATCATGTATAGCGAGGGATACAATAGCTGCGTCGTCTGCGAGTTTTCGAAGCATCGCTAGTCGTCATCCCAAACCGATTTGTGTGCCCACCGTTTCTGTTCCAACCCAATCAATCTGGCGTTACCCACTGACTCCATGTCCCCCTTGGTCAAGCCTCGCAGCATGAGTATGTGCTTGGCACAGTCAACTAAATCCGCCGATGCACAGCCGCGGGTCACACCGTAAGATCTGATGTGTCCCAGGAATCTTAGTTCCTTGAGAGAAGGTTGATATCGTTGAATGATTCCGCGATAGCGTTGATGTCGGCAGCATGATGGCTGCCTGCGCGATTAGCGAGGTGAGACCCTTAAAGGCATTTAGTGCTCGCCGTCCCTATGGTGCCAAAGACCCGCCTATTAGGGGCTAGAATAGCCTACCCGGTCAGAAGTAAGATAGTTATTGTTCGCTGCACGACTTTGGTGTATATAGCAGCCAGCACCGATACCCTATCGTGGAGCTGAATTGTGGAAGGGTCAATATATGCTGATCGTAGATCATTTTTATATCATACAAGTAGTTTGGTTTGCTCGATACCACCTAGGGATGGAGGTGACTTCTGTGTCGTTAGTGGAGGAAGTGTGAGTCTGACAGAGCTATGGTCTTTACCCTGCCACCGCCGAAGGCATTTTCCTCAACCCATTTAAAGAAGCACTGGCAAGTTTTATAAAGGGCTAAATAAACGAAGGGGTATTGCTTCTATCAGACCCATAGGCTCATACTTTATCTAAGGGACTCTTCGGAAAAGAGTTCGTCTCGGGATGGTATAATTAGGAATCTGAAGAAGTGTTCCAATGAAAAGATGAGATTCCCGAGGTCAGCCACCTCCCGAAGAAGAAGAAGAAGAAGAAGAAGAAAGACCATACTTGGCGAGGATGAGTCTTACTATCCTCGTCGAACGAGAAAAGGAAAACGAATTGTTATGGCTACTAGCGAAGGGGAGGAAGAGGAAGAAGAATTATTGCTGGTGAATTTAGCAAATAGCAGGGTATTTATACATGGCACAAAAAACAAGCTTGACAAACAACCTTCTGCGCACTGCCTGATACGCGGCAATCGCTATAAGTGCCTCTAGGTGTCTTCTATAGCACAGCTGTACCAAACGCCCGTGTATTCCAGCTGTGCTAGATCCTATGGATAATGCACTGATAGGCTTGTGTTGTCATTCGATGGCCTTGGTAAGTAAATCAGCTTCCGATTGCAATGTTGTAGCGATGGACAAAAACCGACCGGCCTTGGGGCGCCTCTTTTTATGGACCCGGAGGGGATTCGTGAGCTTTTCCCACTCCTTTTTTGGCCCAGCTAATCCAGGTCATCCTGGAACAAGCCTGTCTCCAGCGCGTGTTTGAACTTCTTCTCTCGGCGGTACGTGGGAGGTTGGCGAGTAGTCGAGATGAACTTGGGATTTACGACATCTCCGAAGTCGACTTTCACATTTCCTCCAAATAACTCCCGCACTCCTTCCAGAGGTTGACCCCCCATGTCGAATGGGCGCGATCCACTCTGTGATCGTCGGGTAGAGACTTCTCCAAGTCGTCAACATGGCTCGCAAGTAACTGGCGAGTTCGCTTGTCGTTGGGGAGCTCCGTGGCAGATCTGATTACGTTTCGCGTACCCAAAGATTATCTTCTTAGCCACGTCGCTAGAAATCTCGAGCTCCCCAAGACGCTGAAACATTCTAGCCAACAAGTCTGAGGCTTCCCCTCCCCTGAGCTCTCTGGCAACAGCGAAAACTCCGGATGGCCAAAGACCTAAGACAATACGGGAAGTAAGTTCGAGGCAATTCCAAATATGCCCCATGTAGTGGCCATCTTCCACGGCACTGTCATAGCATATTCTGCTCAAGGACTGGGAATCAGGTCTGCACCACCAGCCTGTCCAGCGGGAGGTTTGAGAGGTGCACCAACACAGTGTCGGCCAGATTCCACTAGTAGGAAATATGCATCCTTAGCCATGGAACTAAACGAACGTATCCGGAAGGGATGCTTACTATGCGTTGCCACCTGTGGCAATTGTTTGCTGGTAGTTAGGAATGATTTCCTGCGTAGGCGGTCATGTATCGACTTGGGATGAGCAGGTGGCACCGAGTAAGTCCATGGATCGGTTAACGTACTCCAGTTTCTTGCTAGCGTACCCAGATGGTTCGTTGGATACTTAGCGGCCTTGTCTGTGGTAGCATATCTGATAATTATATACGGTCAGAATATGGGCTAGAATCAGATGGGACGCGATGAGAATCGCCGTTGGGATCAACCTGATCCCGGGAAATACCAAGATTCCCACTATCGTTCAGCCAGAACTTCTCGGCTTGAGACAGAGTAGCCATCAGCTTAGAACTCTTTCCTGCGAGTCCGGCAGGAGCCTGTAGGAAACACACATGATTAGCATGAACCATGCCGAATCACCACCGAGGACAAGGAGACAACTCACTGGCGTGGATGCCTGCTTCTTGTTAGAGATTATTCGCAGGACATTTTGTCGATATTATTGATGATCTACCGGTTTTCCAGCGGAGATCCGTAGCCATTGGGTTCCCTCGGGGCGATATCCGCCTTCGATGTCGAGATCCTCTTAACGAGGCGATGTCGGGACTGCCAGTGGTAGAGCGGGACATGAGGATCCCTCTTTATCGGGATAGGTGGTAGGCCCACTTGACTATGTTAGGTTAGGTGGTTCAAGATGAAAGGAAGGAAAGGGAAATACTTACCAAGGGTGGTGTTGTTGGAAGCAGAGGAACATATAGTTTGGGAAGGTCCTCTGGCAGGGCTGAAATCATTTTGCTTGACGTCTCTGGAGAAGAGCTCAACAGTTTGAAAGAAATGACGGTGTCAAGCGATATCTGAGACACTCTGGAAAATATTGAGAAGTTGTGATGGACAACTCAGAGAACTCTGAAGAGCCGCGATATAAATATTGAACAGCAGTTGCCCAGGTGATGATGCCGCCCAAGTTAATCGTATTTTCAATTCGTAGGATGTCAATTGATATCTCTTAAATAGAAAGAGTGAAGGCTATTTAACTATACCGGCAGGAAAGGATCCCTAGGGTTCAGTACAATTTCACCGGGTAATCAGGGTCACTTCACTTCCTGGTTGCTATTGAATATGTAGATAGGCTGCAGTCAACTTGTATTCATTCATAAGAATTTCAGAATATCTCAGAGCTGGAAATGACAAGAAATGGGGTTGCTTGCCTGGTAGAATTTCTTATTAGCAACCCACTATGTGAAGCGCGAGTGATATTGGATTGCCTCTGTCAAGCCTCTCGGTGAGGAAAAATTATTCCAAGTTTCTTGACTTAGTGATCGAGATCTTTAAAGTATGGTGAAGCAATTGTGACAGAATAATTTGGGCTGTCGTGTATCTGGCAGCATCCGCAGTCGACATAAACAGCAATATCCAGGTGCGTGATCGTAGTTTGAGCCATAAGTCATAAAACCCTGGAAAGCCGCAATATGACTGCGCTTCATTTTGGTCATGCACGTATCGAAATATGAGCGTGGTCGAAATCAAACTAAGAAGGCCTATTATATGTGGGTTGATAGATCACCATAGTAGTCCTTTAATTCTAGATTTCTATCGTTGAGTTAGGGTTCAATTTTGTTGCTACAATCCTGGTGTGTTTGATAGTCCTAGAATTGTATAAGACCATCCAGTTAGTTATGTACTCTCTTCCCACCTTGGAGGATATAGCACCGAAAGGATAGGTCAAATCATTAGTCTAACGGTTGAACTAACAAGAGATATATGTATACACTTTAGTATAGTATCAACAAAGGAATCGGAAATCTCTACATTCTACCCTCTCAAAGCTTCGATTTCCCATTCTTCTCAAACTGTTCCACATCCTTCAACCCTCTTTTCTGGACAGCTTGGTTCTTATCTTCAACCTTCTCCCTCCACTGCAAGTTCCCAGAATGATCATCCAAGCCGTTCAAGACCCGAGCATACATCTCCTCTTTCATGGTACCATAGATACCTGTCGCAGCTTTAGTCTGGAGCTTGCGTGTCTGGATCAGCGCAAGCGTTTCCTCAGCTCCACCAACGGCATCAACAATACCGGCCTGGAGGGCATTGCGTCCACCGAAGCGATGAGCTTCTAGAACTACATTTCGGAAAGTGACTGGGGTCAGCTTCTCGCGGAAGATAGCCATCATGGGCGTCTGAAGAGGGACGCCAAATTCCAGCTCGTTGACACAGAGGAAACCACGGTCGGGGTTCATAATTCGATAGTCATGATACATAGCCAACATGAAACCGCCAGCAAAGGCATGACCATTTAGTAGACACACGGTTGGCATGGGGTATCTAGAGCGGTTATTAGCATTCTGCTTTTTTGGGATTATGCATGATTGGACTGCATCCTCAAACTGAGGAAGTGAAACAAAAACATACGTCAAAAGGCGTCGGAACAATCGCCATAGCCAGTTCTCAAGGAACCCTTCAGTTTGCGCGACAAGATCAAGATCAAGGCCATTGCTGTAGAACTTGGCAATTCCACTAGTAGTGACTACGACACCCTTGGGGTAACGATGCTCAATAATGTCCAGGGCGAGCAGCAAAGCATCGATAAAAATAGGTGTCAGCCGGTTGTCCGGGGGTGAAGTAAAGGTGAGAACATAGATGGTCTCATGCTCTTTGGCTGTGCTAGGGTTTGTGCAGGTGATTGAGCCCCCAGTAGAGCTGATCGGTACGGTGAAAAGAGTTGCCATGGTGGGAACGTTTTGGATAAGGAAGTTATTGAGGAAACGTGATATCTTATTCAAATATAATCGGCTCTCCCTCGGGTCACGGGTGGAATTGTTTTGAATACTAATCAGACCTCGGCGTCATCACATGCTGGCGATGATATCACCACGTGACCACACTTTTCAAATTGGTTGACATTGAAGAGCCAGCGCAACAATTGACAATTAAAGATTTTATACGAAGGAGAATAAAATATCATGCTGGCCCAAATACGAAGTTGTCAAGCTCCCGGTACGCCGTTTTAACATTGTCGTTGACAATGATCTTATCATTCGTCTGAGAGTTGGCATATTCAAATTCCACTTTAGCCCGTGCAAGTCTCCTTTGGATGTCCTCCTCCTTCTCGGTTCCCCGGCCTCTAAGGCGCGCCTCGAGAGCTTCAAAGCTAGGTGGTTTGATAAAAACGCACCACGCATCTATGCTGGGGTTTGCCTTCATCTGCTTCACACCCTCCATTTCGATATAGAGCACCACAACTAATCCTTTGCTGGTCTGGTCATTAATAGTTTGTTTGCTTGTGTCGTAATATTTTCCGCTAAACATGCGTGTTCCACGAGAGCATCTTGGGAGACAAGAGAGTAAAACTCCGAAGGAGAAACGAAGAAGTAAGCGACGCCTTCGAGTTCGCCGGGTCGCGGCTTTCATGTCGTATGAGATACAGTGAGGCCAAATCTATTAGGATGTGTGGCCAAAAGGTTACCGTTCAATGTCCCTTTGCCGACAGCTGAAGGTCCGGAGATGACGATACGTCAGAGATCTTGAGATGCTGCCAGAGATGTTAGTTTGGCACCTACCAAATCGTGGTTTAAACGTTCGAGACATACACGAGACCATGCTTAAACGACCACCATCCAGTGAAAACCATGACACAAATCTGGGTTCGACAAATATCAATCTCAGTTGTCGCTCCCAACTGTAACCCAAAGTGACATAATTTACGATTGTCATGTGAACGCATGTGTGAATATTCTGTGCATCTTTGCTCATTTCTGTGCCTACATAGAACCTCAGCAAGGTATTCGTGGGTAAGACGGGTGTTCCCTGAAATAGCATCCAAAAGACGTACTTTATTGGCGTCGTGTACCTTATCACAATCCTGTACTTTATCGGTATCCTGCGCTCTTTCGGCATCCTTCACTTTATCGGCGTCCTGTACTTGATCCGCATCCTGTACTTTATCGGCATCCTTCACTTTATTGGCGTCCTTGGGTTTCTTTGGTCTCCCAGAGCGAGGTTTTGAGACGCCATCGTGCCTTTCGTGTTCTTTTTTGATGGTATAGCGAATCGTAGAGAGAGAAACATTTGGATATCTCCGATGGATACGCTTATAACCCCATTTAGCGGCGGAATGGAGCTCGCAAATCCTCTCTCTGATAGCTGGGGTGAGCTCAGAGCGAGAAGGCATATCTGTATGCTACAGGATCAAAATGAAGCTTGGAAAAGGAGGTAATTGTAGGAATATATTCAAAAAGCATGTTGAACGCGAGATACACACGCTATGGAATGGAAGCGCGTATATACAACGGCGGTGTAATAAAAAGGGAAGGCGGTGTGTGGGTGGGCCTATATGGGGTGTTAAAACTTTATCGGCGTCACTATTCACCTATGTGTGGAGTAGGTGTTATGTGGTATGTTTACATATAGAAAGACAAGCAAGATGAAACGACATTGATAAAGAAATTGGTAAGGATCACTACAATGAAAACAGACAAGACGTCTTAAAACACTACTTCAGCAATATATTTGGTCAGTGTAGTGCCTACTACAACAATATATATTCCCGATTTGGGTAACTATATTCTCGCAATCTTGGAAGAATCGACATTTAAAATCTAGCTTGAATGTATCGAGAGGGCTAAAAAGACCACAAAGAATAGATCTATAGATACACTGCTGAGAGGTGTAGTGCACAACGTTCACATCACTCGAGCCCTATATACCTAGAGCCAGTGCCATCTTGATTAGTTGCTTGAAGCTCTTGTAACTTGTTTCGAGTCAGTCAGAGCCTAATACATTCACATTAATCACCTCAATTATTCATTAATCAAAAGATAGGGTTACATGTTCTGCTGAACTTGCTTCGCGGATGGACCGGAACAAGACACGAGGGATCGGCACATCTGGCTGCACCAGCTGCAAAGTGCAGAGAAACAAAAAGTTAGAATAAAATACAATAAGTGCACGACTCGATACGACCCGCTAATGGCTAGTATAATTGCCTGCTGTCTTGATGACTGCATCAACATGCAATGACGATCAACGCACATCCAGATCACGAACCTACATATCACTGCAGTACCGTAATGGTAGCCTAATGCCAAGATGAACAGGGAGTACGGCATTGAGCAGAATACGCGTTCTTCTGCAAGCTTCAACTAGATCCTCTTCATATTTATTTTTGAAATACGAGACAATACAACCATTTCAACTAGACCGGTGAGCCGTAGCAGTGGATGCAATGATTTGTTTATATCTTTTCGAGTGTTTATAACCATCTTTAATTCTTTTTACCACCTTATTTGCTAGAGATAGCTCTTGTTGAATTGATTCATTTAGTTGACCCTCACAATTTGCTAGTTGCAATTGCTTCTAAGATTTGCCGTCCCGTCATCTACTTGCCGATATCTTGCCCGAGAGCCAATAACCTCGGCAAACCGAATATCATCCTCTGCTCGACAAATGGAATCCAAAGCTGGTTTCAACATCGGTACTTCCTACCAGAAAAGCCGAAAAGTGGGGTTACAGGATAATAAATAATTTGGAATATTGACCCCGGATTTAACGCTCCTTAACATTGCTCGCATCAATGGCAGAATCCATACCCATTCTACAACAAGCTGCCGTTGTGCAAAACCCAGGAAAAGATGCAACGATTGTTCTAAAAAATGACGTGCCAGTCGGAAGTCCTGAACTAAATGAAGTTCTCGTCAAATTAACTTGCACCGGTCTATGGTAAGTGTATACTTTCGAAAATCAATTCAACCCTTGCAAAACTAACTAACCCAACTAAATAGTCGCTCAGAACTCCGTGCCATGTTAGGCTGGGGTGCATACAACTCCATCATCGGCCACGAAGGAGTTGGAACCATAGTGAAGACGGGACCCGAAGTCTCAGAATCTCTTCTGGGCAAACGCGTCGGCGTCAAATGGCTTTATAGTGCATGCAACGACTGCTTCGTCTGCAGACAAGGCGCCCCAAACTATTGTCCAAAGCAGCAAAATACAGGTCGCCATGTTCCAGGAACATTGCAGCAGTATGTCGTTGCCGATGCACGGTTCCTGACTTTGATCCCGGAGGGTCTGGCTGATGAAGTTGCGGCGCCATTACTGTGCGCTGGACTTACGATGGTTGGTGCTTTCGCAAAACTCGACAATGACATATATCCTGGTGACGTTGTTGTTATTCTGGGGTCTGGAGGGGGTTTGGGCCATATTGGTGTGCAAATTGCGAGGAGGATAAAACACTTGCGGGTTATTGCCGTTGATACCGGGGATGACAAGGAACTCCTAAGCATGAAGGGCGGAGCAGAAATATTTGTCGATTACAAGAAAGAAGATGTGATTGCTCGAGTGCTTAAGTTCACGGGAGGGGGCGCGCATGCGGTGATTGTTGTTCCTGGTACGGAGGAAGCATTGAAGATGGCACCGAACCTGGTGAGAAATATGGGTTTTGTTGTGAATGTTGGATTGCCGCCGAATGAGTTGGACATTCCTCTTTCGGCTACCCTCTGCACTGCTAGAGGTAAGATGGCTGCTGAATGTGGTCTGATCAAAGTCATACACTAACGGAACGACAGGTCTTACCTTTATAGGGTCGTCCGTGGGCACTGAAGCTCAATTGACCGACTTACTGCAAACAGCAGCAGCTGGCACGATAGAGCCATCAATCGAGGTGTCTGATTTCTCGGCTGTGCCCACTTTGATACAGAAGCTGAGCGAAGATGGTATTACAGGAAGAGCAGTGGTCAAATTGCCACAGTAACTAGACATTCCCCATCGTACAATTTTAACTGCTATTGGAATTTGCCGTCTCCCAACTTTCCTCGAACGGCCATAGAAAGTTGGCGGGACATATATACTATTAAATACTAAATCTTGGGCTGGTAGTCATGGTTGGACATTGACTGGGACATAATGGATAGACGGATAGACTCGTAGATGTTGCAAATTATTGTTATTCAATCAATCTGGCGTATCTATGATCTCCTTGCAAGATGCTGTGCTATAGCTGAACCGTTTTCGCAGCCCTCTCACTCTATGCCCTAGAGGAGAGACCCTCAAAATAATCAAAGTCTTTCAGTAGAGGAGAGATAATCGTGTCAAACACAGATTCGTCAAAGTGAGGATCCTCAAAACCGTCGCCTTTGCTTCGAGACCAGTACAAGCAAGCATTAACAACATCTCCATAATTTGTTCCACTCTCCCGGTATACTGATTGAAGAAGTCTCGTTGCGGTGTTGAAGTAAAAGACTTCCTCAGAGGAGTCCTGATCCTCAGGCCCATGGAGTGTGCATATAGCCCTTCCCAGTGATAACTCAATCAACGCCAGTGCGAGCGGAAAGAGAATATTGTTTGAGATCTGACGGCGACTTGATCCTTCGTATACTTCCGAGGTCGACCCATTGAGGTGTGTCTGAGGTGCGCCGAAGACTCTCTGTAAAAGGTATGGGTGTTCAAACAGGGGATTATTGGATCCAGGATATTGAATAAATAGAATGTCCTGCGTTCTCCATTTATTCTGGAGCCACGTCCCATGAAGCTGTAGAACGTTACAAGCGAGAAGAGTAGCAAGATAAAGCCTGTCGCGCCGACTCAATTCATTGGAGCTTTGAATTGGGGAACCTGGTAACGATGGGGAGCCAAGGAGGGTATCTTGCAAGGAACGAAGGTGTATTTCATCGCGGATGCTGTGGATTACACTCATATAGTATCGAGTATCTGTGGCGGTCTGTTCACCGATAATATATCCAATGGAATCAGAGTTGGTGTGCGGGTCTGCCATATCAACTTCATGAAAGGCTGAGCAAAGAGAGGAAACGGGAGTACCCCGTGGGCGAGGTGGTTTGTGAATGTCTTCCTCGCATTTTGTCTTCATATCAGCAAAACGAACCTTTGGTGTCCAGGCTGAAGGGTGAGGGTTTATGGTAACATGGGGAGATTCGACACTTTTGTCGGCCTCTACTTTAACCTCATGCCATCGACTCCGAATATTAGATGCTAATTTATTCTTGGAGGACGATAGAATCATGCGGAAAGTCGTGTCCATAGAGATATGGTAGTTATCCTTTGCCCCATGGAGAGGGGTTTTGTCAAGCTGAAGGCAAATAGAGTGTCCATCCTGACATGAACAATTCCAGCACTGTCCCTCTTTTATCATGATTCTATAAATGGAACTCGCATGTCTTCGCTTGTCTCGATGTTGATTGAGATTGATCTTCCGTCTGGTAGGGCCCTGTCGAGATTGTTCCCGGTGTTGGGATTGCTCAAAGAGAGTCTTCAGGATTTGATTTGTCTTGTCAATTTTATCCAGAATATCTTCGTAAATCGCCGTGGTGAATATCTTGCGAAATTTGAGGGCCTTCAAAGAAATTGTCGATGCAGCCTGTGGGATCGAATGTATGAGTTCCTGAACTAGTACGATGTATAATTTAACCTACAGTTGAATAATCCGTTGTCTTGAGTCCAAGTTTGTCGGACAAATCCTCTAGGAGACGACATAGTCCTTTCACTATACCAGTAAAAGCAACGTAGTCACGATCGAGCTTTTCAATCAATCGGCGTTGAAAATCTGCGTCTTTCCACCCCGGACCCCTCGGGTTCCTGATCAGCTCAGATCTTTGGTCGTGGTCATCAACGACACCCTCGAGAGACAGCTCTAAGGTGTTCAGCAATATGGCGTACTGGGCACTGAGTCCAGTAGAGTAATCCTCTAGCTGCCACTTATATTTTCGAAATTTTTTGATCTTTTCCAGTCCTCGTACATAATTATCAAGCTGGTTCACTACCAAGGGAAGAATGGCTAAAGACACACCAGTGGCCTCAATACCTGTGACCATCGTCGAGATATAAGAGTGAAATGAAGGTAATCCACGAGATGACAAGGAGAGAAGAATGGAAAGACCAGAAAAGTGAGAGTTTCTTTTTCAGCCCCAGGACTACCTACATATGTAGGTATTACCCCGCAGTTTCAGTGTATCTCTGCTCTCACTCGACTATTTATCTTGACTATTTTCAATGCGCAATGGCTACCACTATTTCGACGGTACTCAATCAGTGCCTGAAAGAGTTCACGGAATCAATCACTTCAGATGCACTTTTAAGATACGAAAATGAAGTCTCTCAACGGCGCTGGTCAGATGAATTGGGCCGACTACGAATCTGGGCTGGTAATATTGGCGCTCATCAAACTGGACAGTCCTCGCTGGACTATCGGCTCCGTGATGCTTCACATCTGAAGAGTGAGACAGTGAAGATTCTGCAGCGAATGTTACGGGTATTACGAAGTTTAACCGAAGTGATGAACGAAGAAGACGAAGACCAGATAGATATTGATGAAGAATTCCACGAGAGCGATACGGAAATGGAGGACGACAAAAATGCGATGACAGACGTTCAGGTTTTATACCAGAGTCTACGGAATATTATCAATCTCCTCTTCCGGATATCCATGGCCATTCGAAGACCGGCTGACCACGATCGTCTGCTGGGGATAAAGATCAAGAACGCTTCGTTCTTTGAGCCTTGGGCCCAACAACATGTTTCTCACAAGTTCCCCAACATCGATGCAGACATGGCTAGCCGCCTAAGCGCCGCTATGGCAAGACAAAAAGCTGTTTTGAAATATTTTGAGCGGCACAAAGCAAAGCTTGGCAAAGGACTACTGGTCACAGGTGAAACTGAGTCCAACTACCTTTCAGAAACAGTGGCCACGGAGATGCCCCTGGTTGAAGACATGGATCAGCTCCAATTTCTCGAAACAGGATTCATGTCGGGTATCTCCCAAACCTCATACGCTCCTAGCATATTTACAGCAAATGAATCCCTGTCTATACCCAATGCACCGAGGGAATCCGCGAATAATAACCCATTTGAATGTCCATACTGTTATCTTGTGATCACAATCAGGAACACAAAAGACTGGGCCCATCATATATTCCGAGACTTGATGCCATATGTCTGCTTATCGCCCGAGTGCAGTACCCCATCAAAGCTCTATGGTAGTCGTCGGCAGTGGTATCAACATATTTCTGAAGCACATCCTGCGTTCGCAAATTTGCAGACTGGTCTGGGTTGTCCTCTGTGTAATGTGGACATCCGGCCACCGCTGACATTCGAGCGGCACGTCGGACACCATATGGAGCAATTGGCCCTGTTCGTTCTCCCTCGTGTGGATTCAGCGGAACCGGATCAATCAGAAGCATCACTTGGATCTGGGTCGTTGGCAGTTGCAGGGGACACTAGCAATCCTAGTAGTGACTCGGAGGAAGTGGACTCTACGAATAATTCTCGGTACCTCCTACGAGATAGCGGGAACGTATTCGTCTCTCGTAGGGACTCGAGGAACAAGTCACAGGAAGGGAGCCCAGAACGACAACCTTTGCGGAGTTCTGACATAGCATCTACTCCCAATTATGATGCTTCATGGAGCGACCAGGCTTCGCTTCAGAGCATTGATAGTAGGCAAGGGACGGGAAGAAGTAAGAATCGTGTGACAAGGCGTCATCGCTATAGCCTCAGGAGTAATTCAGATCCGGACACGTTATCCGATGGCCACCTTCTCATTGGCCACTTATTGAATGGAGGCCGGAGTGCACACGATGTTCACAACAGACATCAAGTGACAGCAGAAGACCCTTACAGGCCACCACCTCGTACCGGAGACGGATCACCCCCAGCAGGCATACGCATTGGCTCCTCATATCCGTATCCCCGCCCTTTCGATCCACATCGTCGTCTTTCCGATCCGTATCTTCCCCCTTTGAATCCACATCGTCGTCTTTCCGATCCGTATCTTCCCCCTTTGGATCCGCATCGTCGCCTTTCCGATCCGTATCTCCCCCCCTTCGATCCGCATCGTCGCCCTTCCGATCCGTATCTTCCCCCTCTCTCTCCGACACTCGACAGGCAAGCCCTGCATAGTGCGCAGCGCAATTTCTCCCCAGCGATAGACACTGTAGACGGTTTTTCGTATACTATACAGGCTCTACCACCACCCTATTGGGATGGCCAGCTACTCCCCAGAGCCCAATCCTATTCCTGGGACTCTGCATGAAGTGGATCCAACCGGCCGGCATCCAGAAAAACCACTATGGCCGAAAATCGAGCGACGACTGGTCAGTCCGGCGGCGTTGGAGGCTGGAAATGAACGCTTTGAAGAGCACTCAGGATTCATAATAGTTAGGCGATAGATGAGCAAAGAAGAAATCGATGCTTACACTACAAAAATGAAAGAGATTCGAGGTATGTTTTTGATATCCCGCCTGCTTTCTGAACGATAAAAACTCACAGAACCACAGATGATCGTCACAGACAGGAGAAACGACGCCCACCCGTGGCTGATTCGCCTTCACCGAAACGCGGGATGTTTATTGTATCTGCTGCCAGTGCGGAGATGGTTCTCAGATCTACAATTTGTAACCTAGTTGTGTGGGGTGTGCTTATGGAGCTTGCACCAGTTACAAATATGAAGGTTGGCTAACACCAGAGGTGACCTCAAGTTAGGCTTGGGGCGCAACGAGACTGAGAATTCTTCTGAAAAGCTTAGCACAATAGGGCAGTTAATCGAACCTTGTATACGGAAAAGTCGTCACACCGCTAATTCTATAATCTGCTGCTACTTCGTCGTATCCTTCCTATATCCGATGAAGGAAATCAAATCCATAAAAACCTACATCTGAGATACCTGAGAAGACTCCCAAAATACCGATAAACGCACCATCAAAAGACTACAACAAAGACCATTCAAAGACCATTAAAAAGACATAACAAGGCAGGCCACCCAAGCGGCCAACTATTCTTGGTTAAATAAGTGGAAACTAGTGTATGGAATAGAATTAGTTATATAGACCTGAAACTAAAGATCATCAGCAATCCCGAGATCACAACATCCCCAACGACACTTCAGCCATGTCTCAATCAAAAATAAAAAAGCCAGCTCCAAGCCCCGAATTATCAGAAACAACACGAGCTGCAAGAATCAAAGCCCTCGAAAATGGCGACCCGGCCGCCAAAATCGCCAAAGATCTACGCGTCGCGCGATCCACTGTTTACCGCACGAAAACGCGTTTTGAAGAGCGCAAAGATCTGACCTCGAAGCCCAGATCAGGCCGTCCTTCTACGTTGAGTGAACAGACTACGCGTTACATTGCGCGCTTAGCGAGGAAATATGATCCACCTAGCTGTGCTGCTATCGCGGCTACAGTCGATGGGGCACTGTCGAGGTCAACAGTGAAGCGTGTTGCATGTCGTCAAAATGGTCACAGAAAGCCACAAGGGAAAGTTTCAACACATTCGACAGTGAAGAAATCCAGCAAGAAGGCAGCTGTTCGTGGAAAGGGCCCAGAACCTGCAAAATGATGCAGTGTCCCTTGTTTTGCATTATTATTCGGCTCAGAGTCTTCAACAGCGCCACCGCTAGTTCATGCATATCTACTTGCAAGATTACAATATTCAGCACCCCTCAATGCCCTGTGCAATGCTGTCCTCCAAGGATGTCCACCCTTCCTGTCCAAAGAAGTCCCGCAGGAGCTGTTCTGCTTCCTTGGCGGGGATAATTTCACTCAGATCACGTCCCTCGTCAAGAGGCGCAGCAGGGATCAAAGTGTTATCAGGTCGGAGCTTGCGAATAACCGCGATTATATCAGTGAGGCTCATAGGAGCAGCGAACCCGAAGAGTCGGCGGGAGACAGTATTCGGGTCGAGCAGAGCTGCTGCGTGCAGACGCGCAATGTCGATGACATCGCAGAAGTATTCTGTTTTTGTACATTAGCTATGATCACCAATGTTACTGCAGTGTCCACTTACGTGGAGGGAATCCTTCGAATGGAGCGGCATTCCCCTTAATCAGGCCGCGGACCCACCCCATTGTCGAGCCGGGGATATTTTCATGTAGGACTCTCCCGAGCTATTTCGAGTTAGTATCATCCGTTTTGGATTTCATCTAGGTGCAGAACTCACAGTAAACTCAGGCAATACAGTATTGAATTGGAAGCCTGGCTTGTTCTCCTCCACCCATTTCCATGCTGCCTTCTCTGCCTCGGTCTTGGAAGCTGCGTAACAAATCCAACCCATCATATGCTCTGGAGAATTCGGATCATAGGCTTGCTTGATAGCTTCGTGATTCCAAGAATCTAAACATATATCAGTCAATATATCCTACCCTTTTCCTCTCTATAAACTAATCACTCACCCTCACGAACAACAATACCCTCCTTATTCGGCTGGGGGAACAAAGCCGCGATCGCAGAAGAGGTCATGACAACCCGCTTGATATCACGATGTCTCGAACAGGCCTCCAACACATTATGAACAGCTCTCAACACCCAGGGCACGACCTCTTCTGGGTTGGAGCTGAAGCTGAGATCCGATGCCTACCCCCGATACATTAACACAAACCCCCGAATCCAACTGGAAATCACATACCACATGTGCCACACCGGATACACCATCCATCACCTCAGCCAGGGTATCCACGTTCTCAAAGTTAGCAAGAATAACAGATTCATATGCGTCCCGTCCGAACTTCTCCTGGAACATCTTATCGAGCCATGGCTTTTCTGAACGGACAGTTCCGCGCACCTTGAATCCTAGTTCAAGTAGACTGTGGATGACATTGCTTCCAACGTAGCCATTGGCGCCAGTTACGAGGATTCGCGAGCCCTGGGGCAGATAGTAGAGCTGTTTATCCATTGCGTAGGTATGTACAGAGTAGATAGAGAAGGTGTAGAGAGTAGATATCGGAGGGTTTACTGTGTGAAAATGGGAAAATCGCCGGAAGCGAGCGGGACTGTGGAGTCAAAAAATTCCACTTAATATAGAAATGGATTGGACATGTCTATTTGATTTGTGGGATTACAGTTCGAAGTAGTCTACAATCAGTCTGATCGTCACTTGGACAGGATGGACGGGACGGGCGATAGAGACCAACCTCGCGTAAAGAGTAGTCTCTGGACCCGACAGATTGGGTCAAGACGATCTTTGCGGACCAATGCGGTTTTGGCTGGAAGTGGACATCCGGCGTTTAGTACGAAACATATGCGTAGTACTTATGCAAGGATATTAAATGACTATACTCTAATCACTTAACATAAGAACATTCAAGTATTTCCAAACCTGGAACTTATACTTCTGACACTGACGTCATAGGTGGATACAGTAGCTGTCACCTGCGGGAGTTTATTTCTTCACTTCAAACCCATCACATCCAAATTATCCAAATAGAAATCTAACTTAACAACAATCCAACATGGAACCCCGATCCCAAATCAATGATCAACCCTCTCAACCACCAAAACAAGCTGCCTACGTGCAATCCTCGAATCCCGTCTCACACACGCCACAAGAGCAACGAGCAACCACCGAACCAGGTCGACACCACGGTGACACAGTTGGAGCAATCAAACGCACAGCCGAGTCCCAGCCGTCAAACGATGAAACTCGCGCTTGTCTAAGTGCACAGCAGCAGAAACACGAACAAGACATGCACAATGCTCCCGAGGTTGATCTAGAATATGGTGTAGAGCAGCAGCCCGCGGAGGGGTATATTGCGGATACTGTTCATCGGAAGGGGATGGGGATGCAGCGTGCACAGGCTGGGGCGCATGCTGGTCCTGTTGGGAGTGCGAGTGGGCCTGGTCATCCTGGGTTTGTGGAAGCAGATGATTTGGCGGCGAATTTGGGGGCGAAGAGGGTGGAACATGATCGGATTCTTGGGGATAGGATTGGGAAGAGCCCGGTTGAACCTGAGGGGGAGGTTGCGGAGAGGGAGGCTGTTAGAAGACGTAAGTTGGAGAGGGATGAGAAGTTGGATGTAGAGGGGGCGGTTAAACAGGCTACTGGGGATCCTGTGGTGGGTAAATAGGTAATGAAGGTGTGTCTGGATTTGATGGAATGATGTTTAAAACAACATTATGTGTGTGGTTTGGACGTAACTTTCATTATTTCGAGGTAGCTAAGCGCTGGTATCAACATGGAGACCGGACTCGCATTCGGTCAGACAAACTGGGTATGATTATTAATGGTAACGCCGAAAAGAATTCCCAATTTTCAACATATGTGAAGAGGGGAGATTAGATATCGTCCCCGGCGGGCATGCCCATAGACACTTTCTTCAGTTGCAGGTCCTTCTTCAGTTCTTGGATACGTCGGCCCATCTTGTTGCGCAGGATGTGATTCTGCACCTTCTCCCACTGTGCCGTTTCAGTGCGGATAAGAGCTTCTAGCTCGGCAACTTCCTCGCGCTGTTGTTGGAGCTGTTGTTGCTGCTCGATCTGATCGTCATCCAGCTCATCTTCTTCATCCTCGTCGGATATGTTGCTCTCATCGGCAGAGGTGTCTCCGCGTTCGGTAGGGCCTCCAGCTGGTGTGAAAGGCTGCATAGATGGAGTGTCGGCCTGCTCTGGTCCTGCCCCCGGTGCCTCATCGTCGCCGGCAGCCAATGCGGCTTCCATCTCAGCAGCAAGGGCGTCCTCGAAGTCATCCATCTCCTCTTCCGCTTCGCCGTATGCGTCCTGCTCATCGTCGTATTCATCCTCGTAGGCTCCGGATTGCACCAAGCCTTCGACGCGATTCAGAGATGCGCTGTCCACCAACTCAAATTTGGGAGGGAAAATCGAAGTTTCGTCCTTTGCCATGAGTTCTTCCACGGCCTTTTCAACTTGTTCAATTGTGCGCGTGCTGACGCGGTCGCGGAATCGTCGCTTGCGAACCCAGCGGAGAGGTGGTGCGAGACCATGTGGGTATTGAAGTGTCTTTTCATCGGGGCAGTCAACGTCCGGGGGAAGTGGATATTCCATAGCTTCCTGGTCACTGTTGACGCGTCCCAGCACCAAGAGCATTTGGCAGATATCTGCCGACTTGTACCAACCTCGTCGGTCCCAACTTTTCATGCCCTCGACGATGCAGGGTAGATCCACCAGAGCTGCTGCATATTGATGGTCCCGAACGCTCACAATGGCACGCCGGCCTTCACGTGTGAGAGCCTTGATCCCTAACTGATGCCCTTTGAATGATTTATCATTGATTATTTTCTTTAAAAGTTCGCAGTCTTCGCCTGGGAGCATTCGTAAGATGAATTGTTCTTCGATGGCAGGGTCATTTTCGGTATCCGAGGCTTCCGAGTCATAGCCTACGCCCACTGGTCGGTTGACAACGACCCCCTTGTTTTTGATGCGGATTGATTGTAAGGCAGGCTTCTTGGATGGGATCAGCTTTATCCGCTTGGGGACTTGGCTCGTCGCGGGTTCGGGCTCGGGCTCAAGGTCGGGCAGGGCACTGTCAGCCGGTCGCTTCTTTGATTTCTTCTTCTTGGGTTTCTCTTCAGTCTCGGGTTGTGATTTTCGTGCGATCTTGAGTGTGATCTTGCGCGGAGCTTGGGGAGTTTCGGAGACTGGCGCAGGCGCAGGCGCAGTCGCAGTCGCAGTCGCAGTCACAGGCGCAGGCGCAGGTGGAGGTGGAGGTGCAGGTACAGGTGTTGGTTCTTCGGGGGGGTCTGGCCGCCTTGAGAATTTGATTTTTAAAGGCATAATGGCAATAGTGGTAGTGCAAGGAGAGAGCGATGTGAAATGCGGAAGTGAAGTTGGCGGAGAACATTTACATAATACGCGGTTGAGAACAATAGAAATAGAAACAATAGGAATCATCATCTTTTTGTCATTCTTACCACGTTGCATATTATATATAGGTAGCTATAGGTACCTCCAGGGTTAGGTATATTTTCTATTTTTCTCAACTATTATCGCCATCATGTCCTATGAAGACTATCTTCCCTCAGCCCCAAAATATGAGTTCAAGGGAGTCCAGGATTATCAACGGATCATGGACCAGCAAGTAGATCAAAATGGAGAGTGTAGGGGTTCGGAGTATACAATTTTTACTATGGACGAACGTTCCTTCCATGTTTTCTTTTTGAATACCGAAGAATCACTACTTAAATGTTGGGAGAGTTATGATCCTTCTACCAATGAACTACTCGTCAGAATGCCGACCACAGTGCATGAGGTGGCAACCACTCAATTCCAATCCATATTACAATCTTGGATACAACAAGGTGATGGTAACGGCAACTATCCGGTCATGTGTACACTGGGAGCGTCAGTGAGAGGTACGACAGGCAAGACGAAACGTCCAGACTGCTCGTGGGTACCAGCACATACGGGCCTGTCCACCCATTACCCGAGCATCATAGTAGAAGTCGCATGGACCGAAACCCGAAAGAAATTAGAAAATGATATGCAGTGGTGGCTTACAAAGACGGACGGGCAGGTCAACGTTGTACTGTCCGTTACAGTGCAAAGACGCGGGAAGATCATCGTTGAAGAATGGGGCATCAAACGCAACAGTGTCGTCCCAGTACAAACCATGCAGATCGTACGAAAGCCTGCGTCAAACGACCAAAAGGTTGAGGGACATTTGTCCCTCAACTTCGAAGATATACACAGACGTCAGAAAACGCAGGGAAATACAGACTTTGTGTTAACCCCCGATGGTCTCGAAAGAATGGCCAAGGGAATTTGGATAGCTCAGGATCGCAAGCTTGACTCTGGGGTTTAACCTCCCACTTTTTGCCACTTTTTGCCGCTCTCGGCCATCACAACTCTCCCTCGTACTTTACTTTTTCCACTTCGTCTCACTCTTATCTTTCCACATTAACGCTTTCACCTTCATTCTCTGATAGAATGTCAGGCCCAAACCTTCATAACGCTCTCCTCCGTCCTCCGATAATCCAAATACTACGCGCCCAAGGCTTCCACTCAACACGCCCCTCAGTCTTGGAATCTATCCAGGATCTCACTGGACGGTATCTGATCATTCTCGCCTCATCAGCAGCTCAACATGCCGCAAATGCCCACCCATACGACCCAGTCCCGGGTCTCGAAGATATTTATCAAGCTCTGCTAGATGCGGGAGCTATACGACCACAATTGCGCGAATGGGAAGAGGATTGGCAGGGTGAAGAAGATATGCGTGGTATCGATGCTTTCCTCGGCTGGATCACTGGGCCTGTCCACCGTGAAATTCGACGTGTTGCTGGATTTCTGCCCAGCGAGGGTGACATGGTGGACCCTGACGCCGTCGAAAAGGAGGATTACTTGACTGCATTAAAGAAGAAACACAGCAAGACTGGCGAGGAGTCCCGCTACGCTGGAACTGTCCTGGGAAAACATGCCGAGGAACACCCTGTCATCATTGAGGGTGGTGCCCCCAGCATTCAAGACTGGACTGCACAGGTTCGTGCTCGAGTTTCCGAGCCGCCAGAAAGTGACAGTTCAGGTGTGAGCAGTGCACCAAGTCATCTCTCTGAGGACCAAGTTATGGAGGGGTGAATGGTTGTACACGGCCTTGCTTAGTCTTTGAAAGAGTCAAGCTTGAATCTTCATTCCACAAATGTGCCTGGACCTGAGCCGACATGTCACCCTTCTAGTCGCCCTTCTGGTCGGATCGTCTTTCATCTCTACTTCCCTATTTGAAACACAAACATCCTTACCACCTACTACGACACCCATACCCTGTCCTGTCCAGTTGTCGCGGGCGTGCCACCCTACTGGTCGCCCTTCCAGTCGCCCTTCCGGTCGGATCGTCTTTCATCTCTACTTCCCTATTTGAAAAGACAAACATCCCCGCCGTCTACTAGGACAGTCGTACCCTCTCCTCTCCAGTGGTCGACGACATTGTTCCGACTTGACTCGAGCCATGAGCATCGCCTCTACTTCCATCTCTAAAACACAGACAGTCCCACCACCTGCTAGGATAATCAAAGCCTGTCCTTCTAGTGGTCGTCGACATTGTCCCAACTTAACTCATTTCACGATCATCGCCTCCAGTTCGGTCTTCAAACGAGCCACACCTCTAAATAACTCGGCCACCAGAACTCTACCCACACGGGCCGCTAAATCTATTGGGACGGGTACGAACGCCTAGCGTGGAGCTGCAAGCGGCTTTAGTCTGTTTATGATGTGAAAATTGGTAGGACTTCGTTTAGTCCGGGATTGACGTGAATTTTCAATCTCTGTTTGCATCAGCATCTGAGCGGATCTCATATCCTGCGAGGTTCATGGTATGCCATTTTTCCGCCTGTGTTGGGAGCCACTAAAGATAGAAAGCACGTCATGATATTTACATGTCCATAGCTATTCCATTAGTAGCTCAAAGATGCTTCCAAGAAATATCAAACCCTCCAATAACACACAGACATGCAAAGTGACACATTATATTGATGTACATGACCAAAACCCTACACCCAAATGCACTACTCTGGTCAAGGAACCGGCTGGTAGCTGCTTTTGCTATGCAACTCGCTTTGTCTCCATCTCAACTTTGACTCCTTCAACGTCGTAAGCTCTGCGCTGTATTCCCCATCATGCAAGGCACGTTGTAGACGACCGCTCCGACGCTGCTTGAAACAATAAAATACAAATGCGCCAATGAGAAGAGCAGCAGCAACACCGGCGCCACAGTACACACCGACATGAGCGCCCTGGCCAAGATCATCCCATTTCTGGGATAGTGTCTTGGCTGGTACCTTGTTGATTTGTGTTATAGCGGTTGAGTTCCCACTGCATTTTCAAGTTAATCACACAATATTTGAATTCTGGCTTCTAGAAACCCACCTGACGACCTCAATACTTTCACGCGTGCCCGTATGTCCGGTGTACTTGTACTCCTTCCCACTGGAGAAGTCCTGAACGCGGAGCTTCGATACAGTCATAGTAAACGGAACATGAGACCAGTCAACCAACCCGCCACCCCAATCGAGATTCCCTTGCGACTGTCCCTTCACACCAACCGGCCAATTGCTAACCTTGACCTGACAAGGTGTTTGCGGGTAGTTTTTGCCATACACAGTCAACGCCTCGGAGTAATTCACTGTCCGCACCAAGTCCCCATCAATCCACCATTCAAGACGGTCTTTATCCCAGTACGAGGTATAGTTGTGGAACTGCGTATCGGCATTTGAAACAGCATGATATCCGCCCCGGTCACTCGTGGTCGTATTCCCCTTGCCGAAGAAATTAGATTGCACTCCGCTCGTGTTATATCCAACCCACTCCCAGTCAATCTCATCCAGGTCGTCGGATTGGAGGATAACACTGCTGATGATGCCGGCTCCTTTCGCCATCTTGACGTGTGCTTCCATCACACCGAAGAAAATGTAGAAGTTGGATACAAGGAGAGTCGACGCGTTCTCGGTTTTGATGGTGAAGTCTGCTCCGTCAGATGTATAGTCCAGTGTTCCTGTCTTCATGTCCCAGAGCTCGCTGTCAAGAGTTGAGTTGAAGAGCCATGTGTGCTCGGTTCCAAGCGCGGGATCAGCACTGCATGTCTCGTTGAGGGGGTTGCAGTCAGTTCCGGTGTATTCGGCATTGGTATTTGTGACACAGACTATAGTCGTAGTCAGGGCCAAAAGGAAGGATGGAAACCATGTTCTCATGATGTCCAAGTTCGGTATCAATGCCTCCGATCCTAGTACCCATGCAATATGACCATGTATATATCGCACTGTAGCCGAAGTATCACGATAACGGGAGGGGGTAGATATGGAAAATTCGAACTTTGAAATTTTGTCCTTAAAGGGGTATAAGAGCGTTTGTGGATGTTAGTTTAATGGCTGGAAGATTCCCCATGATTGCTCGCGACAGCAAGATTAGGGAGGTCAATAAGCGAGATAGTAAAACGCATTAACCATTCTGTAATTAGAACTCCATACTGGGTCAAGTCTAGCGCGAAAAAAAAAAGTGCGACGACTTGTCTAGTTGAGACTGAAGCTATGGAGACATATATTATGTCTGAGTCCGAGGGAAATCTTCTGCGAAGCTTGACTCGGCGCTATATACTAACTAACACCTTAGCGCAAATTAGATCCGCCTCATTGCGTTAGGCGCCTGTTAAAGGCCCACTGGCAGCGTAAGTCAGCGGGTCTTTTCATGGATGTCGATTGGGGTGTCACTTAGTTTATATCCACCAGCACCCGCTCTTACGAACAGGGGAACAATATCCGATCATTGGCTATGTCTCTTGAAAAAAGACAAAGGAAATTAAAAATAGCAGAAGGTAAAAAAAGGAAAAGGTGCAGTGGGATTTATGAGACATCCCTGGTGAGTATTTAAGAAAGTACCTTGCCTCATCGGCTTCCTGTTTTGCTCGTGTTCTCTTTTGATGAAGCTTATATTGAGCTTATTTGTGAAGTATTCTGTCAAGGTGAAAGTAACGCAAGATGTACTGTACTTTATCTGATTAAATTTACGCAACACAGGCCCAGCTTAGCGCTAATGGGGAACCAACTTAGATCGAGATCAACTTCTTTGACAAGGACTTCATTCGCCTTCATCTGGAGCTAAGTCTGTTGGAAGCATTCTATTGCTTGCTCGTTGGCTCTGGGATAGACAGGCAAGTGATGTCCTTGCCAAAGAAGTTGGTCTCGCTCTATATTGAGGCCCTCTTACGCTGGCTGTGAGAATTTACACCCTGTTTCTCAATCTTTCAATAGCTACGTTTAACAGCAACTTAGTCGATTGACCTGAATCCTTGGAATTTTTATGAGAGTATATACTAGATAGAAAAAAATATAATGGAGATGAATATATCGTAAGTGGTTAGTAGCTAGATAATGAATTCCACCCTCCCAACAACCATTTAAAGATACCAGTCAGTTGATTGTGCGGCGAGGAGTGTCTCCTTGAGGATACAAACGGCGGTGTATTCAATATCATCCTCCCTCATCCAGTCAAATATCCGACTACCGATCTGATAACTGGTCCAGTCACTCTCTAGGACGAGGATTACCTCTGGTAAACAAAGTCTGAGCGTCATGCAGAAACGCTGGAATTGGGCATACCCAAGCAGATGGTTGCGAGGCTTGCGCTCGTCGCAGGCTGCTTGGAATACCAGCTCGCGACAAAGATTTTCCAGGTTCTCAATCACCTCGCGGCGTCGCCATACCTTGTATGTTAGAATTTCAATCTGTGCTTCCACAATCTGGACTATGTTGGTATACTCCGCTTCAAGGCCGGGCCCGAATACAGGGTTCTGGGACATTGTATAAACCCGATGTTAGTAATGCAATTGTTTTCCTGGGCCAATTGTTGATTAGGAAAAGTGTGAATATTAGGAGAGGGATCGGCGTGTAAGTGTAGATATAGACTCCAAATATGTCCATGGGCGAGATCAAGGATATGTACCTTGCAAAGCTTTCAAAGATGACATTTGGCTAGAAAGAGGGATTCAAAGTGATTGAAGTTCATTGTTTTGAATGTTCCTTTGTTACTCTCATGTGCTCGAAGCTTTGATCCCTCCATGAATCAGGATTCCTTGTTGCTTTTGCCTGTGACAACATACCCGAAACCAATGAGACAGGAGACCCGACCTCTAAGAAGAATCAAGTCAGTAGTGAGGTAGAATAAAGGCTGATAAGACACTACCAAGCGAAAATATAAGAGTTTTGCTTCATTCCTTCATTCTCCATTCAAGTTTGTATTCACCTTGATAAGGTGCTCCTTATAGGCGATCACATAGAACAGATAAGCGGCCTTGTGATGTCTTTTCAGTAGTCTCTTTGGTGGTCTTCTCAGTTATCATTCTGTTTAAATGGGTCAGTTTTATATGTGGACGGCAAAAGAAAGGCGGAAAAAGGCGTTGTGCAGACGAGTTTTCTATGTATAACATTTGATATCGTGGATTCGGAAAATGGGCATGCATGGAGTTATTCCTCATGGGAATGAAATGTTCTGCTTCCAGAACCAAGGCCTAACAATAGAAAAGGGCAAATCTGACCTAGTGAGTTCATGCCGAAGGTAAAATTTACTTGTAGTATGAGGCTGGTATTTTGATTCACTTTCACTAAGCACTAGTCTTTCACAAATAACTTTCCATGATCGACTACTTCACACTATTCTCAGCCTTGATCAACGAGCGGCTCTGCGGTGGCCTCTCCCATAGAAAGGAATACTGCCCCATCTTCACTGCGGTGGATCTAGAGCAATAACCGGTCCTCCAGTTCGTCTTCCCATCCCAGGTTGTGCCCATCTCGAATGGTACATTGTAATCGGGCGGTGTTGGTAGGTCCGGCCATGTAAATCGGTGTGGTGCATTGAGATATCGTTTCATATCCCCGTCCTGTCTTCGTGTTGCTACCCATTGGCTCAAGAAGTTGCGGAATTTGGATACGTCAGAGTCCAGTTCGCGATTCACTGTCCATTCTGAGATATTTTGCACCATTTCTATGTGTCGATCCCAGTGGGGGATACCCGAGAAGGATGTATCGTTCGTGATAAGCTCGTAGAGTGTGAAGACGACACTACTAACGTCATCTCGACCTTCATATAACCGTCTCTTTCCAGAGGCAGCCCGATCGAAGTCGAAGAGAGCGATCTTATTTGTACAAGGGTCGATGAGTAGATTTCGAGGCGCGATATCTTGGTGCATGATCCCTAGTTCTAGGTTGAGAAAATCCACAACTTGAGTAAGCTGTTGTAGCCACTCGAAGCGAAAAAGGATCTTTGGATTGTCGAGGGTTCCACCAGGGATGTACTTCGTTGTGAACCCAATCACCCGTGACTACCCTATGGAATCACCCTTCTAATCGTACATTCTCAGTCTCTCGATGGCACTCCTGATTTCCCCCCAACAAGATGAGATACTACATACAACCTTTCGCACTAATCTCTTTGTCTCTTGGCTGACACTCTAAGGAAAAACTTTGACATCGTTTAATCTAAGTCTTGTAGGAACACTCAAATTTATATTTGAGATTTCTATACCTTCACACGAGAGAAGGCATTTTGAATATTCCTCGTGTAGGTCAATTCAATCTCTTGAGTGATGATGACACTTGCGGAAATAGAACAACTGGTCTCCATTCTTCTAAAAAGCGTCATGAAAGCAGACCAAGGGACCCGGGGTGCTGGCTCACATGAGGTAACGAGGAACTAAAAAAAGAACCAAACCTCAAGTTCTTTGATATACCATGGCTTAAATTTTAGCCTTACTTTCTTTGAGAATAGTACTCCGTACGCTCTTTGAAAACCCCTCTAATTTACTTTCGAGCTAGACTCTTTCTTATAGTTAGCATCGTTTGATACACTTGCTAGTTCAGCCAAGGGGACTGATGACCAAAGAATGTTTTCCAAATTCTTTCATGTAAATTCAGATGTCTCCTCGAGCCATTTCTTTGAGGTCAACTTTTACGTTGTTGTTTTCGAAGCGGGCTTTCCCTTCTATTTCTTTGTTTGGTCATGGTAGTATGTAGGATACAAATATCCCCAAAATTCTAGCAAACATATGTCAACTATTTGCCATTGCACGCGGCTTCTGTGCCTGGGAACCTCATACTGTTCCTATCATAATCTTCAAAATGAATCGTCCCCGGCGAGCTGCTGCTCAAAAGCCAGAGGGTCACTATGCTGGTACCTCTGCCGCACAAAAGACCTCGGCCACGCGAAAGACCTCTTCCACACGAAAGGCCTCTCCCACACGAAAGGTGACGAAGTCTGGTGCGACCCGGAAACAACGCAAGGGGAAGAATCAGTCTGGAGGAGATGAAATGGATATAGATCCTACTCCTGTTACCGCGGAGAACACACCTGGAGATCCTCCTGAACCATTGGATCCGGCCGCACTTGCATTGGATTTTAAAAAGTCCTATGAAGGGGCAATCCCACCACCGGTACGGCCAAAGCGGGGGAAGCGGTTCAAACAGCCTGCATCGAATCCAATCACGAACCTCAACGATGTGCCAAAAGGGTGGAGTTTGTATGACCCTGATCTTGATCCTGAGTACGTCTTTTCTGCCATACAAGCATATGTGGATACTAATATTTACTAGGGATTTGGATGCTCGGATTGCAAGATGCCATGAGCGGATTAGTGACAACATCATGGTCCATCAGTTCAAATTCGATTTGAAGGGTTTATTGCGAGAGAAGAAAAAGCGCGAGTAAGTATTCCCCGGAACTTTATCTTAATGGGGGTTTAACACAATCATTAGTGATATGATGGCCTTGGAGCCTCCTGGCCTGAGTTACCCTGTCGTCCAGCGCCTGCAAACCCTCAAGGGCATGTTAGCATGGCTTGACAGCGAAGGTGACCAGTTTGAACTGGCCGACAATGTGAGAAGTCTCATCGAAGCATACAGATCGGGGCAATTGAAGTGGAATCCACATCTTGTCACCTACTGGGCTAAAGGCGTTCAGCTCTGCCAGCCAAGACCTTTCAGGTGGAATGAATGTGATGTCATCAATGCTCAACGTGAAGGCCAAAAAGGGTTTTGGGTAGAAGGGGTACGTCTCCTCAGACTCTCGAGTTAACAAGAAACTGACATATATAGCTCCAAGGTGCAGGGCCCGCTCCCCAACAGTTACAATGGATGAGTGCGCAAGAAGATGGGCCGGATAGTGGGCCATTTGTGTGCCACGTGAGTTCAGATCCATATTGATGTCTCTTTCGCTGCTAAAATGATTCGAAGATGTACATCTGCGTGAAACCTCAACCTACACTCACTCAACTAAATGTTCAGTCCTTGAATCTGAGCTTTCTAGATGATACGGGGGCTAATATGATGCAAATAAATATGACTGATGTGGCGACACTCATGGATGTGAATGCCAATGGAAATGAACCCCAGCTTCCAACAGTGTTAGGTCTTGTATGCGTAGGCATTGCCGACGGATCAAGAACATATAGAATATGTATGCGACTTGATATTAACATGTGGGATGAGGCTACTTGGACTTGGCTAACTCCAAACTGGGATCCGATCCCAGTTCTTGTTTACAATGACATGACGAACCCACCAAGCCCACCGCTGGTCCGAATGAATGGTCCGTGGCCACGATTAAGGATGTATTCAGCATCAGCACCCGGTGGCAACAGTGAGACCTATTTTAGCGACCTTCACCCGTCGGCAATGATTGTGCCCACCGTAAGTATGCTTGACAGGAACAGAATATACCCAGCGGCACCGAATTTAATACCTGCGCCACCCTCTTGGAATGCCTGAGGGGTATTTTCCTGTGTTAGTTATATATTGTTGCATGTTCCATGTTTTGTATTTTGTCTTGTCCAGAATGTGTTTTTTTTATGTTTATAGTTGCAATGTGAAAGGATGTTGAAGATCTTGGCAGTGACATCAGTTCTTCCTTCTCCAACTCCCCCCATTCCACAATGGTTTACGCATTTACCCTCCCAACAACCTCGCCTCTCTCATTTCAATCATTTATCTACTCTAATACACACCCATCCCTCCCCCAATCAGCCTCAACAACCCGCCATGCTCTCCGCCTCGCATTAAAGGCCCACAAGCGACTACCCCGCGCCAGCCAGGATGCCCAACTACCGACAGTTCTGTCCGCCTTGAATGAATACATTCCCTACCTATTTGCAATCTCGAATGGACTAGGTCGCTCCGTTCCAACAGATGCATATTCCTTTGCTCCTCACGGTGACACGTCAGGCAGGCCGAATATCCCCACCGAGGTTGATATCACGATCCGTGCGGAGATGGAATCGACATGGAGATATACCCTGTCATCCTCAGGCGGATTGAATCTAGGGTCCGGAGGCAATAGCGCAAGCGGAAATGGTATTCGGACACGTGGGCGAGTGTCTGGTCGAGGCATCCACTTTGAACTGGCATTTACGCTCACAACTCTGGGCTATGTATTGAGTAGGATGGCGCGCGCAGAAGTTCTCGCTGTGTTATATGCATCATCTACCCCGTCTGCGGAGGTCCGCACTGCGGCTGTGCAGACTGCGACGCGATATCTACTACAGGCTAGCTCCGTGCACAATCTGCTAGCGTCTTCGCCGACTTTCACGGCAGCTACTGTGTCGACAGTACCAGAGCTGGAGGCTGCTACGCAGTCGGCTCTGTCATCTCTGGCCCTGGCTGAGGCTACGTTGCTGGCTGTCCTTAAGGATGATGCGTATGTTGCGACGTGTATTCAGTCGCGCAACCCGAATGATAAAGACTGGATGGTCCATGCACCTGAGATCCCAAAGGTACGCGCTCTGCTATTTGCAAGACTTTGTGTTCGTGCTGCAGAGTACTCCGAACAAGCGACTGCGGGCCTAGGTGCTGTTGGGTCTACGTCTGGTCGTGCAGGCCGTGTGGATGAGGATTTGGTCGGCTATACTAGAGTTTTGGCTCGTGTTGCTCGGGCACGGGCGTGTCGTTTCTTTGGTGTAGACGCTGAGCTATCGGGCAAAGTCGGTGAGGGTATTGCGTGGCTGCGAGCTGCACGAACTCTACTCGGGCTACGTGGAGCAGGGTCTTCACAGGAAGGTGCCGCTGGCACGGGAGGTTCTACAAAAGGCGGATTGTCCCGTTTAAAGCGAGAGTGGACAGAGAGGCGTGAGGAGCGTCGAGTCACTAAGGATGCTGGCGGTACTCGCAGCGAGAAAGGTCCATTGGATGCCGGGGATGATGCTGGTCGTGACGAAGAGGGACGAGTCCTCGCGATGCTTGACACGAAATGGGTCAAAATGAATGACACAGTAAGTCTAAACCCACCCTGCCGGGTCATGATATGGATAGAGTATTAACCTTACATAGATTAACACACAGCTCATTCCACCATCTGCACCATTGCTCACTAATCTACCTTCTGGCCGTGATATTCACTCCCCTCCAGCACCATACCAGCCCCCATCTTTAGATGAGGACCAACTCATGCGGATGCGTGCTCCCCCAGATGAGAGAGACGAAATTATATTTGGAAGTGACGATGAGAGCGAGGACGATGCAGGACAGCCGGATGGTCGTGTCCCTCCGGGGGCATTCCCGGACCGAAGCGCGACCGCCTCGAACGTTTATTATTAAATAACCCTGACATCTAAGTAGACCATTGCATATGAGGATATACACCAAATTTAGCATATAGTCGGCGGCCGAAGCACAGACACAGCTCGGTAAGGATACATCGCGCGTCTAAGGACCGAGTGTGGATCACCTGTTTACTACAACCTCTGCGAACGGAACTTGAACATCGTAATGAATCAGGAAGGGAGATCAAACAAAGTGATATTATGTACAGTACAAATGGAGAAGAGCAACAAGAGGGCGATCTCCAAACCCTCTTTTGCCATCTTTTCGTCCCCTCCGACGCAGACCCGATCTGGGTGGCTATAAGAACAAGTTTTGACACGATCAAATCCAAACCACGGCTCTTCCCGTCCAAAGCCGACCATTTCATCCCAGGATCAAAACTGTCCGGTCCCCGCGGTATAGAGATCGTCAAACCCAAGCCTCGAAACGCAATCGCATAGCTGAACATGCAAGAAAACAGCAAACGTCTATGCCGACTCGCCGCCGAAACGGTTCTTCTCCTGGCCGAGGTAACCCTTAATCTTGCTCTCCTTAAGGAGCTCGAAGTACTTCTCTGCAGCAGATATATACGTCAGCACAAAACGTCCAAATCACACACAATGATATAATCCACAATCCAAGCCGGTTATTTGGAATAACCAAATTTTCATTCGCTAGTATATGTAGCGTAGCGTAGACACGGAAAACCCACCTCGGAAAACACCACACTTCTCAAGGTGGTTCACGCCCTCGCGCGCATAGCACTTGCCCAATTCCTCTCCGACCAGACGCGCCATCATGCTGCGCACCCACTGCTCGCGGATAATGGCATCACGGGCATTGTGGACTGCGACGTTGTCCTCGAAGTCGACACCCTCGTAGGTCGGGGCGACGGTGGGCTTTTTGGCGAGGAAGGCGGCGGACTCGGCGGTTGGCATTTTGGACAGTTTGTGTGGATTGGAGTTTGGTGAAGGTGTGGTGAGGTGATTGCTTGATTGGGCGGAGGACAATGGCAGCAAGGGTTGGTGGGTGGGAGTCGGCTTTGAGAGGCTGCTTGATGCGGGTTGTCGGGGTTGATCTTGAAGGTTGGATTAGTGGGTTTGTGATTGGCTGGAATTAGGGCGGTCGGGAGTGGTGTGGTGCGGGAGACGGAGGAGACCTTTTGTGCAAATATGGATGGTCACGTGGATCTATACAATCCCAAAACGGTAAGTCGGGCAGTGAGGGAAATCTTGATAATTCGACATTGGATTCGATGTAGATTTGGGTAGCAGTCTTTATGAATGAAAAGAAACTTCCTTGCAAAACATAATATTTTCAATAGCTTTAGTAGTTCATACCAGCCGCCGTACACCCGATCAAGATAGTAAACCGCTACTAGCACAGTGATTTCACTAATACTGCTTTAATACACACATCACTGTACATCCTGATCAGCCTCAAAAGACATAGGTAGTTACGGAACCCAAGTATATGGAATTATAAAAGGGCTCGGTACAGTAAAGAATGATTTGCTCTTACAAAGAACCCAGACTTTCAAATTGTAAACTGGGAAGGAAATGCTGAGACTATAATTTTCATATAGAATTAACTGCTCTCCAAAAGCCGATGCTACTACTTCTTAACGTGTTGAGAGTCCAACCTTCGCGGGTTTTTTCATTTAAACTGTCACAATCATGGCACATGTGAAGAATATGTAGCATTTTGTTCCCTGATGATCTCCCTGAGTGCTGGGATACTTGCTTGTTAGCCTTCTTCCTGGGCGGGACGAAAGTGATACACCAGAAGGAGCAGAGATGCCAAATACGTAAAACCTTTGCACATATGTGGTTTGCCTCGAAGAGATAGTTAATCAGCCGCATAAAGTTTTAATCAACATCATAGGAAGACATTCCGCGGACCTGAGAATTATGAACGAAGCCATTTTCATTACTCAGGGCAGATGGGATGCATTCACAGACAGCTATTGATAGAAACATCAAGGCCAGCATCTCCGGTGAGCATGGCTCGTTGAAACTATGCTCGGTGATGATTAGATCTACTGGATGGAATAGATCATCAAGATGCACAATATATTGAATTATAGAGTGGTATAAGACCACTGAAGTGGAAAAGTGGAAAAGTGGAAAGGGTGCAACTATCCACACATGCCAGAATTGGTATGTGATCTATCATGTAATAGAGGGGGCATCAAACAGGGAACTGACTGCTGGCCTTGATGTTTCTACTTGAGTTCAATGTTTTGACTAGCACTCAAGAGGTAACCTGGACATCATTGCGTGTGGTTCTAAGAAAATGGCGCCGGCGCTTGCGGTTAAATCTACTCACCTGGGCAGGCTGTGAGCGAATCAGAATCAAGTCGATCCACCAGTGTCTCAAATAATATGGCTAAGTATACCGCGGGATATATACATAGTACCATTTCATGAGTATTTGCACCCCAATACTTGTATTTTTGGCCGCCCTAGCTATACCACCTTTCCATTACTAATGGTATAGACTCCACCCACGTCGCAGGATTTCTGGAAGAAAACAGAAGTACCGGGGTGCCAATACTTATGAAATATGACTGTATCATTCAAGACAGATGTGGAACCGATTATAAAGTGCTGATTGGTTGGCTGAGTCTAAAGAAGATATAATGGAAAAATCCTCCTAGCTGCGTAAAGAGAGAAAGAAGCGATCTACAGATGACTAGATTAGAGGTGCTGGGAACGGAGAGGTCACGTGGCCTCTGACAAGCCTGCGAGTCACTCCGTGATGGTTATGATGCTTCCAGTTGCCTTGAACTTCCCAACCGCTAGGGGTAATTTTTTCTTTGGCAAGGTGCTGTGCCGGCGTGCAGTTGCAAGATTTGTGGAAGGTGGCTCAGTTGCTACAACGTTAGCGATGTGTATAATTATTTCACATCCCACGCTCATGAAGCTCAAGTCAACAATTTATTTGGCTCTCGGTTTTCAAGTTCTTGTAAATTTCCCCAGCTGGATCAGTGAAATTACACGTCTGCCTGTCATTCTATGAGGCACTGTTGCACGTTCAATCATACAATCTTGAACATCTCGAGCTGCTCGCTGTAACGATGGTACTGAAAACTCCCACTTCCCTGCAAGAACTGAAATTCAATGTCCCCGTGCCCTATAAACTACACGTGGATCGGGACCTGCTCAGTTGGACCAAGAAGAAGCTGGCGCTAGCTCGATATCCAGAGGAGCAGACTGATTTTGCAGAAAGCAACTGGGCGCAAGGTGCCAAAGTCTCTCGAGTCAAGGAGCTGGCTGATTTCTGGAGAGATGAGTATCGGTGGGAAGATGAAGAGGTGTGTTGACACTATATCTCTGCTAGCAGACGGGTATGTACTAACGTGGAGGCACTAGGAACGCTTGAATGCGGCGTTTAATCATTTCATAGTGAAGGTGGATGTCCCCGGCTATGGTTCACTTGTACTACACTATGTCCACCATCGCTCCACGAACACAAGCGCGATGCCCCTCCTTTTCTCGCACGGTTGGCCTGGCTCCTTTGTTGAGGCAGCTCGAATTGTTCAACCTCTGACCCAACCTGAGAGTGCAGGTGATCCGTCCTTTCATTTCGTTGCCCCTTCCATCCCCGGGTTTGGCTTTTCGCCGGCACCGACCAAGTCAGGTGTTGGCCCCGAGGTGGTTGCGCGAGCCTACAAGATTCTCATGACCGATGTCCTGCACTATCCTCGATTCGTGACCCAGGGCGGCGACTTCGGATCTTTCATCACTCGATCAATCGCCATTCAATTTCCTCAGCTTGTGCGGGGCCAACATCTCAACATGTTCCCAGTTCCTCCTCCCACCTTCACGTCGGCTCCTCTAGCCTATCTCCGATGGTGCTTTGCTGCGGTAACATACTCAGACTTCGAGCGACAGGCATTGGCAGTGCGTGAGAATTTTGAAAAAGATCAAAGCGGCTATTTGGAGCTGCAAAAGACTCGCCCACAGACTCTAGGATTCGCATTGGGCGACTCGCCGATTGGCCTATTGGCGTGGTTTCTAGAGAAATTTCACGACTGGGGAGACGTCTACGAGGCATTCAGTGACACCGATATCATCACTTTGGTAATGATGCACTGGATTCAAGGTGCGACACCTGGGCTGCGTTTCTACCGAGAAGCGTTCGGTAGCAGCAAGCGCGAAGCAGAGAAAACATTTGAGACGTACCTGTCGGTACCCACGGGGGTCAGCATGTATACCAAAGAGCAACTACATGTGAGTCAACTACATGACGCGCCTCCCTTGGAACTGTTCCCCTTGGGTGGCACTAACAATACTTTTAAGTGTCCCCGGGACTGGGCTGCACAGGCAGCAAACATCCAGTACTGGAGAGAGTATGAGCATGGCGGGCATTTTTCATCCTTGGAACGACCAGACTTGTTTGTGAAGGATGTACGGACGTTCTTTTCGTCTACTACCGTACTGAAATCATTCCATGGGAACTAGGCTGGCAGGGCCGGCATGGCTTGGAGGCCCTCACACCGCATGATATGTTGTTTCTTTACTTGCGTTAGGTAGAGGCTATAGTGAGGGAAACGGAACGAAAGTCGAAATTCACGTTTAAAGGCGTGCACCTAGATCGGGCGAGGTCGTGATTTTGATCCTAAGGAATTGTCGATAGAGTGGATATTTTGAGCAATATTGTCAGCGAATACTAGGCTGTAGGAAGGTGGGCACCATTCCACCCCCTGTCACGAACGCGCGTATTATCTCGTGTCCTTTCCCTTTCAGTATATCCAACCGCTCTTATGCTTCGTCTGAAAGTCGTTTCATAAGCACTATGCTGGGGTCAAGTCAATTTGAGCATTACTAAGACCAAAGATCACCTTGTAGCGTCGTATAGACTGTAGACCAACTAACAGGAACGTATATGTGGCGTCGTATTACGCTGAGTGGATAGCTCCTTAGTGCTCACAAATCAGGTCGTTATTTTGCTGCGCTAACGAATCATGGTGATTCCAACACAATTGGCTCGGCTGGGATCCGTAGCCCCATACCGCTACTCAGCTCAACCGAAGCAAGTGTAACCGCCGTGACGAACATCTGATAGATTCTCCAGGACGAACTGACATAACTCGGTGTGATATATTTAGTGTGCCTCACGAATTTTCCTTTTTTTTTACACTTTTTTTCTTTGCCTACAAATTCCCTCTTTCTCTACCTCGCCGGCTCCATTGACAGATACCAGGATGTCTGAGAATACCGCCGTCGTTGTGCGTGTAGCCAATGGAAACCAGCCGACTCTATCGCAGGAGAATATTGCGATTCCTTCCCCGGGCGCAAATCAGGTGCTTGTTAAAGTATCTCATGTGGCGCAGAACCCGACCGATGGTGCCTCTTTCCCCTGCAGATATCCATTGCCCGATAGCCTGTTAACTTTGAATCGGTCGTCACAGTACAAGCCTTTGACAGCAATGCTTTTGGTGCTGGGGCTGTTCTAGGATGCGACTTTGTGGGAGAAGTTGTCGAGTTAGGAAGCCAGGTCACACGATTTGCCAAGGGTGATATTGTAGCTGGCTTGATCTGGGGAGGTGAGTACTCAAAATCAAGGTTTCCCAGCCTCTTTGATTTGAAGCTTGAGATTGGGGTTGATTTCATGCTCACGGCTCGGTGGATCATAGGCGAAATCCCCGGTTTGGGCGCATATAGTCATTACTGCGTGGCCGATGAGAAGATATCGTTCAGTCCACCTCGTTCGATCTTGCGTGAGCAGGCGAGCACTGTTCCATTAGCCGCCGCCACTGCTTGGCTTGCCCTATTTTCTAAAACCTGCCTGGGTATCGAAAGGGTCGGTGCAAAGGGCACCAGTATTCTTGTGTGGGGCGGTAGCTGTAAGATTGCTTTCCCTTGGATCTCCGACTGGAATATTTCGCTCACTGTCTGTAGCGAGCGTGGGCCAGTATGCTATTCAACTCGCTTCCAGGTATTGCTTAAACGTTGTGACAACCTGCAGCTCGAAGCATTTTGAGTTGGCTCGTTCACTCGGCGCTAAACATGTTTTTGACTACAAAGATCAAGATATCATACAAAAGATCCAGGCATCTGAGCCAGGAATTTTACATGTTTTTGACACCATCGGGAGCCCAACCTCATCTACAATTGCCTCTCGTGTTTTCAAAAACGGGGCCGGGCACCTGTGCACTGTACGCCCTGGCAAGGCCAACACAGAAAATGTCGCTCCTGGAACAAATGTTACAGACGTGCTGGTATGGACTGCCTTCTTAAAAGATCACAGCTACGGTGATTTCAAATGGCCTGTAGGTACCCTCCTTACTAACATACGCATCTCTCAAGAGAACGCTATGTCTCCCTTTTTGTAATAACTCGATACGGTTCTCATTATAGTACTACAGGCTTCAAAGGATGATCATGAGCTTGCCAGTGAGCTTTTTGAGAAGCTCCCTGTGTGGTTAGATGATAAAACCCTCCGACCCAACCAGCCACAGTCTCGAAGGGGGCTGAACAGCGTGCCTGAAGGGTTTCAGGAACACAGAGATGGGAAGGTCTCAGCATTTAAGATTGTCTATGAAATCTGAGCTGCGAAAGGCACAATTCACCGTATTACTCCGGGATGGTGTTGATCCAAATTTAATTGGCGTAAAAAGCAACAGGTGGGAGGAGCCATAGGGCAAAAGACAAATAAACTCAGTTCTGAATCGCGAAGTCTCTTAGGCATCCACAATATTGAAAGAACTCACATTCCATAAGAGGGCCTGTGCTTCCGCTACAGCCTATTGTTGAACAATAGCAGTATAATGTGAGAACCCCCAAGAGATGTTCGGGTTTGAATAGTTGCAAGTATCGCCTTCATGTGATATGGAAGTGCCCATGAATCCGTGGCTGGCTCTAGTTGACACTGCTGGTGAAAGATCCATTCTTGAGCACTCGTTGCAGTTCTCCAGTCTTCTTATTCGTAGTTTCGCGTGCGGTTTCGTATATCGTTTGGTTTCTCGGCGGTTAATGTGAGAAAATTCTCCTCTCTAACAGCGGCGTCCCATTCTAGTGGCAGGCTGAGGATGCCCCAATAGACACCAATCTCCACCGAACAGACTTCAAGTTCACTTGAACGTACTTCGCTACCTAAATTCAATAAGTGTCAAGCCAAATAAGGAAGTATACATTGCTCTTTGTCATGGAAAGAGATACTAAGAGATGAATGAAGCTGGTGCGACAAAGGAGTCACGCTGTCCCAACTTCCACACAGCGAACAAATGCATGCACCGACTGGAGGGATACTTTTCAAATATAGTTATTCAACGGCAGCAAGGTAGCTGTGCCACCATTACGCAAATCCCCAAAGTCTCCTCAGGTCCAACGCCCGGTCCGAGGTTTTCCAACCAGTCTCACGCTCGATCCGAGCCAGTTGTCTCAGAAGCGCGATTTTCTCTGAGCTATATTCATCTATGTCATCCATCTCCATTGGAGGTATGTGCTGGGTCACTGGTAATCTGGAAGGGGCACCGGCCCACAGCGTCTGTCTTGGTGCGTCGCGGAAACAGATCCCCATCCGGTCCGCAAAGACAGTACCGGCGATGTAGAGGGGTTGTAGTTGATTTACCCAGTTCGAACTATCTCAGTCAGAATCTAATTAGCTCTCTTCTGCCTGTCACAGTAGTGGAAGTACATACTGGGAAATATTCGAAACTGAGATTCCGCCTAGTTCTCGAGCATGCCAAATAGGCTCCTACCATTGGAATTAAAGCGTCAGCTTTACATTATCTTCACATTTGCGTAGGCAAATCACATTTCCATCCTCAAACCGTCAACATCACAGAGGGAGAGAAAAGCTCGAGACTGAAACTCACCCATTCAACGCCTAATGCATTACCCTTCGCTCCGAGGCAGCCAGTTTGTAGAAGTAAGATACAGCCGGCATGATAGAAAGTATTTCCACAATCTGCCCCATCATTAGCACGCTTGTATTCAAGAAAGGGGCAAGAGACCGGACATACTAGCGGATGGCCAGGATAATACCACAGTGGGAAACGGATTCGACCCCTTCGAGGTTTCTCTAAGCAGAGGACAAACTTCTTTAGGCCGCAAGCGTCGCCACTCTTGTAGTGCGTCCCACAGCTTTTCAACAGCTGCATAGTGGACAGGATTACCATCCTTTTCATGAAGCCTGGCGTCTGCCAACAGGTTCACAATTTGAGCAAATATAAGTATCGCGAGATTGCAATAGTCATCAACATTGCCTTTTGCAGCTACTACCGGGATAGACCTCTCATCAAGCCAAGAGTCGGTAGGGATGAGAGTTGTTTTGCCGCTAATATATGCAGCCCAGACATCTATATATAGGAGGGCCACGTCAGATAAGCACCTCAAGGTTCGGGCTTTGTTTAGTCTTTAGCTCTGCTACGTACCAATACGGGCAAAGGCCCAGAAACTGGATTTAACGATACCACTGCATGAGCCATTCCATTTCCGATTGTGTAATAGACTGGCGCAACCCTACCCATAGGATGGCATTGAGTTAGCTGAGAAGTGATGCCCCAGGAGCCATAGATACAAACCTTCAAGTGACGCCGCCATTCCCATACACATGACGCCATCATCTCATAGACGCAAAGAAGAGTGCAAGTCGCCAACACCGGGGCGCCTGCTTTATCTGGGTCTTGACGGAGTAAGAGCTGAATGGTGTACTGATAGAGCTCCAGAGTCACCGATCGCCGCTGATCCTGGACAGCATCGCGCTGCCGAGACGCTAGGGCAATAGCTGATGCGAGGAAGGGCTTTGAATCTAGCATCTGATAAATGCTTTTCGAGGTAAAATGCCTCTCTGAATCGGTGGTCTCGCACCAAGTTCCAGTCTCACTTAGATACAACGACACCAAGCGAGCACACTCTACGTCTGTCACGGGTTTCGAGGGCTCCGGTAGTGGTGACACGTTCCGGGAGACAGCCTGGCCCAACGAGAATGGTAAAACATATGAGGCAGGGCTAACCGCGAACTGCACCGCTGATACCTGATCATTGTGTGACAGCTCGCTTACCTCGTGAATTCCACTTACAGTCCCTGTTTGAGGGTTTGACAGGACGCTTTCATTGGTGGCCTCGTTATCAGGAGTCCTGTCGAGAGTGGTGTCCGTCTGGATAGTGTCATGTGAGATGAGACTAAGTGGGAAACGCACGTTGCCTGAAGAACACAGGGTCGTGTCTATCGCATTTAATGTCGGCTCTTCATCCAATACGACTTCTGAATCGGTTGATGAAGATGCATCGTGACAGTCTTGATAGAACTTGACTACTTCCTCTGTGTCATCTATAATCTAGACAGGAATTATTGGTTAGAGCTCTTTCTTCCAAAAGCATGTGGGCCAATAAGCTACTCATCTCGACTGCTTACGCGCACACAGATGAAGCCACGAGAGAATGCGCCCATATAATGACTAGTGGTAGCAGCAGCAACGCTGCGGTGGCCAAGGAGAGATAGCACAATTGAGCGCAGGAGAATTGCGAGATACTCACAATTGACGTGGAAGGCTCCAGGGGTGAAGTCAGACGATCGCCGCGTGCTTCGTCGATCCTAGTTCGCCGCCCTCTCTCAATAGATAGTAGGGTCGCTCTATCGGGAGTGGACAGCCGGAGGCTACGAGAGGGATGGAAGGAAGCCTTTAGGCCCCACTGGCAAATATAACCACGCGTCTCACAGCCTCGACATGTAGGGCGCCTTTCGTCACCTGACTTATGTTAGCTAGTTTATTGGCTTAACTGCGAACAACCCAAAGTCTCCCGATACATTTTCTGCGGCGGCTACGACAAGGCAGGCTGTTAATAGTATCAGTTTGCCACTGTGAACTTTCGTTTTGGAGAGGAACATTACCATCCAGACCGTGTCCTAGTACGTGCGGAGCGCATCAGATGTCTGCCAAGTTCTCATTCGGGCTTATCTCAGTAATTCGACAATACAACCCCCCTAAAGTGCAGGGAGATGTTCAATTGCAGGAAGAGCGGTTGGGGTTGCTATTATACCACTTGGCCGGTGACAGCCGGGGCCCATTTACCGTATTACATAACCGAAACCGGGCCAACGTCCACGGGTCCCCCAGGCAAGTGCAAGCGCAGCCGCCACAGGATAATGAGCGAAGATTGTCACCCCGGAGTTATACTGCTATACTCCTCCATCGCGAGAGGACAGCCGGGGAGAGGACAGAATAAATGATAAAAACAATGGAAAGCATTATTATGAAACATAAATACTTCTCTCCATCCCCATGTCATTTGGCATTCGCTCGCCCCAGAAATCATCGTCCGACGTGCCATTCTTTCCTAAACCCTACAGTACTAGAACACCGACAGCAATAACATCGATACGTGCACTATGAACTCCTCCAAGGAAGTTATCATCATTGGTGGAGGCATCTCCGGTCTCGGTATGGCAGTACAATTGAAGCGGATGCTTGGCCATGACAGTTTTACCATCTATGAGAAATCCGATAACATCGGGGGAACCTGGTGGCACAATCGGTATCCCGGGTGTGCTTGTGATATTCCCAGTCATTTCTACTCTTTTAGCTTTGCTTTGAAGCCGGATTGGACGACCATGTATCCAGGACGTGATGAGTTGCATGGATGTAAGTTCAAGATGTCAAAAGCTTTCTCTTCCGAGAGTCCCATCCTATTTTGACGGCGTGTGACTGATGGAGATCGAAGATTTCATGTCTGTCGCTGAGAAGTACGACATTATCCCTCACTGCCGATTCAACGCCATGTGTCTTGGCCTGGTCTGGGACACCACTCGTTCTTTGTGGGTGTGTACATTTCAGGACACAATCAGTGGAGAGATTTACATAAGAGAAGCTCCCGTGGTAGTCAGTGCAGTTGGCACACTGGATCGTCCTTTCATTCCTGAAATCGAGGGATCAGAAACGTTCACGGGCAAAACCTTCCACAGTGCGCGTTGGGACGACACTTGTAAACCTCAAGGAAAACAGATTGTCGTCCTTGGTAATGGCGCATCAGCCACCCAGTTTGTTCCCGAGTTGGTGAGGGAGGTTGGCCCAAAAGGAAGTGTCACTCAGTTTGTTCGAAGTGCCCATTGGTGGACGAAAAGAGTAATACAACCCCTGTCCTTTCGTCACTTCCCATGTCGTCCTTACATTGTACGCTAAACTTTGAGTAGGGAAACCCGAAGTACTCTGAAATCTTTAAGATGATGATGAAATATGTGCCATCTGCAGCTCGTGCATACCGCTTGCTCTTGGCGTGGGAACTGGAGAGCGTGTTTTTCTCATTCCAAATGAATGAGAGAGGTAGGGCTATGCGTCAGCAAACTCGAGACGCCACCCATTCCTATATCGAGAACGATGCTCCCTCGAAATATCGTGAGATTTTAAGACCCGACTATGAGCCTGGCTGCAAACGCCGAGTCAACACTTCAACATACCTCGCTTCGCTGCATTCGCCACAGATGTGCCTGACCAAGGATCGTGTCGTCAAGATCGGTCCAGACCACGTGGTTACCGAAGCAGGAGACCGATACCCTGCAGATACCATTATTTACGCCACCGGGTTCCTCACTCAGAAGTGGCTCCATCCTATCGAGGTCAAAGGCATCGGGGGAAGGGACTTGCATCAGGTATGGGAGCTGTCTGGCGGTGCCGAGGCCTACAAAGGCACCGTAGTCACTGGTTTCCCGAACTTCTTCATTTTATATGGGCCCAATGCTGCTACTGGTCAGCATTCTGTCATCTTCCACTCGGAATGTCAGATCAACTACTCGTGTCGCCTCCTCCGGATGGTCTTGGGTGGGCAGGCTGACTCTATCATTGTCAAGCCGATGGCACAGAAGCGCGACCTCACCTGGGTGCACAAAAAGCTTCAGGGACTTGTATTTAACAGCGGCTGCCAGAGCTGGTGGATGGACCCTGTCACGAAGAAGAACACGTTCATCTACCCCGACCCCATGTATAAGTACTGGGCGCGCACGATCTTCCCACGCTGGTCAGACTTCGAAGTTAAAGCAAGCCAGCCAAAACACAGTTTCGACGTGACAATTATTGGAATTGCGCTATCTTTGTGTGCATTGACGTGGTCCTTTACCTCGCTCGGCGGTACCGCTAAGTTGTTTGAGGGAGCAAGTTGGCTGGCGGCCAGAAAGTGGTTTACGAATTACCTGTGAGCTTGAGAAAGTCAGTAGCTTTCAAGGGGCTTTAGTTTTGTAAGAACTTTACTTCTTGCTGTTTTTTGCAGAAGCAATATCAAATACTTCAATAGAAGCGGAATTCGCATCTTGTTCGTTTCAATCTAAGTCTTTCATTGTTCGCTTCAAGATCATGTCTAGACCTACGCAATGGGCCGAGTTGGGCCCGGAGCTCAGGCCCAACCCTCAAAGCCCAACAAAGCCCACGACCCATTAGTGGGGGCCTTATGGGGCCCCAATACAGCCTATCGGTATCCGCCTCTGTAATCGCTATATTATAACCTTTTCTACTGATTATATCGAGTTTAGAATCAGAATATTGAATAATAGTATATATATTAGTATATATTTCATTTTAAAAAGGGTCCGATAAGTAAAGGACGAGATATCGCGGAAAGTATGACTTTTGATATTCTGATATTAGATATATATTTTAGACGTGTACAAGAGTACCACTTACTTTCTAGTGAGCCTCTGTAATTTTTGGAATTTCATTATAAACACGCTTTTTCGCAATTTTTAAAGGGAAATATTAAGTACTAACTAATAGTAAGCTGTAAATATTAAATAAATAGAATATTACCTTAGGGATAATGCCTAGAAACATAGGTGAAAGGAAGCGTACTTAAAAAGATAGAAAAGGGAGGGTTCAACTTTACTTGGCACCACATGTTTGTCTTGCTCAGGGCCCATTGGGCGTCCTCTTAAAGCCCAATTGGCCTTCTATCCTAGGCCCATAGCCCACCGGTATGCCTAAGGACCGGGCCCAAAGCCCAGCCTACATAGTATTTGCCGGTTGGAATGGTTGCATGACATACTAGGACAAAGGATCAGTGCCATGAGGGCCTGACCTTTAGCGCGGTGCCATAAGTGAAATAGCTGTGCCAATAGTGCTTTACTTAAGATAATGCGAAACGAGTAACGCATACAAAAGAAACCATTTGTACAAAGATACAATGCAAGGAATGACTGCGACAAAATGCAGTTGCGACAGAAAAGTATAATAAACATGCATAGCATAAAACAGTATTGGATCAATCCTGCTTATCCTTCCCCGTCACTTGGTCGTATACATCACTTAAAGCGTCTCTGAATCGCTCCCAGACCGACCGGGCGAGCCAATTGCTTAGCTCGCGGTAATAGTAAATTTCAGACCAGCAATCGCGACCATACATGCAACCGGCCATGTTCACGACGAGGTCGTGTGCGTTCTCCTGATAGTGAACGACTGGATTCTCTCCATCACCGCATGCGCCGGGAGGGAAGGCATTGATGCTGCGTTGTGGTAAAAAGCCCACACCACTGCGAACCCATGGTTGACTCTGGTAGACATACTCCAGGGCATCCTGTTCCTTATGCTCCCACTCCATATGCATCTGCTCGTACATGACGGGATCCCACCAGATATCGAGCAGCCGGTCGGTCCAAACAGATCGTCGCATGAAGAAAGATCCGAGATTAAACCCGGCGCAGTCTTGAGTTAGCAGCATATTCAAAGAATCGGCTTTGCCGTCGCCCTCAAGGGCACGACCTAGGTCATCGAGCCAGAATTCGGGGAGTGGGTGGGTGATGTTGAGAGGGTTATAGGCGCTGATATCGCGGTAGACGTGAGACTTGAGGTCATTGAATAGATGGTGTTGTAGAGATGTGTCGTATTCCATCACCCATGTATTCAAGTCGAGCCACCAGAACCACTCTGCGTCGGGATATTTGCGCATGGCCTCGCGGATCACGTCACCCTTCTCCCAGCTCTCGCGCCATTCATGTGAATATCTCTTCTTGGCCAGCAAATTGGCCAGTTCGAGGTCGTAGCCCCATTTCTTCGCGTATCTTTTCTTGTTCCATATGCTATTGCGTTCAATGGCCCATTCACGTGCACCCTTCCACTCCATCACACCACCCTCCACGTTCGATCCGAGTATGATAACGAACCTGCTTCCGCCGCCTATTGGTGATCTTCGGTATGTCTGGACAATAGCTGGAATACTGTTAGGACAGTTCATGGTGATAATCATCGTAGCAGCAATCACTTACTCGCCCAGAAAAATAGATACCCAATCCACACTAACAAGAGCGCAAGCAGCAGCCGGAACCGACCCCGACGTATTGGTATCCGTAAAGGGCCTAACAGGCCGCGTCCACTACTCGGGCGCTTCCAGTCACGTTCATAATCATCTTTATCAACGTATTCGCGTGGGGAAAGCTGTCGAAAGCTAGAAAATCGCGTGGAGATCTTGTGCCGTTGTCGAGAGAAGAAGCCGCTATTGCGTGTTGCGAATGATGGATACCCTCGCACCTGTTCGCTTTTTGCTTTGGCTGCAGCCCACGAAACACCGCCCGGTGTGCCTGGTGATAATGAACCGGGTGATGGACCGCCCGGGGATGTTGTGCCGCTAGCCGGAGCAAGTCCCGGACTGGACCACCCTCCGCCCGGGCGGGGAGAGGGTGATCGCGATAAGGTCATCGCGGAGATTGGCGCTAAACAGGGGATTGATAGAGAGTAATTGTTGTGAAACGTTGAGAATGTTGACTGGGGGGAAAGCTCGAGCGAAGGGGGAATTGTATTGGTGAGGTCAGAGTGACAAAAATAAGGAACGGGAAGTTAGGAGGAGAAGTAGTTAAGACAGAACATTAACATGTGGACATATGTCGATGTGACCTGAGATTCAGGAACTTGAGGCCGAATGCGGCCTGCTGGTACTACCCGTATACTACTAGCCGTGGACTTTGGAGAAGGTGCGATTTAACTTTCCATCCTTAGATTCTTCCCAGGGTTGAGTTGGATTTTAATTTGGTATCAGCCTCAACTATAAAGAACCTTGATTTATTAGTAAATATACTGTTGGCATCTAGTACTTTGGCTTAATTTAAGCTATAAACTACTCTGAATCAAGCATAGATCAATCTCAGTGGGAGATCGGATCCACATCTGTACACCTACCTACTCTACTGTTTGCGGACAAAGACCATTATGAAAACACACAAAGTAATAATATTAATTTCCATCGGACCACACAATTCCTATCTATGTTCAAAGCGGAAAGAGTAATAACGCCGAATCTCAATCTAATCCCGATTCCTTGATTTGACGCCGAATCGGCATTCGGTTCGTCGCCCCGCCCGCCTTGGCCATGAGGGCCTGTCGTACCATGAATCCGGCTTCGTGTCCCGGCCGAGGTTGTGCGCTCTCTCCATGAGTGAAGTCACATTGCAGCTTGAGGAACTTGGTTCGGTCTTTGTTTTGGTAGACTGTGATGATGTCGCCGGTGTAGAGCTTCCCAAATTGCAAAGCCTCGGGACCATCCTCGGTCATAGAGCCACGGCATAACAGTGTGTCGTTAACCCAAATACCAAGACGTGCCTTCGTGGAGAGAATAGCCATAACCCCTGGGATATCCAGCCAGCTTTCACCTGATGCAATTCTCGCCTCGATTCCTGGGGTCCAGAATGTGACCTCTAGGGCATAGGCGGGGATTCTTGTGTCCATGGGGTCGGCATGCTTGACGGTCGCAGACGGCCCACGACCCCATGAGGTGAGTCTGTCTTCAAGGTAGATTGTCAAGTCGAATATCGAACCAGGGAGGCTCTTCAGTTTTCCATATCTCTTTGGGGGCTTAGCGAACGTGGTACCAGAGAGCGTTGATGGAAGGGAGGGTGGATTCGGTCGGTGAACAATCGGTTCTGATGAGTCTGATTCCTCGGCACGGAACTGCTCCAAGATAGCTTGGCCTGTTTGTGCATCAAGGGTAGTAGCAAATTCGAGGTCATATTCCGATTTGGAGGGGCGAGAGGGGTCGTTGGGTGCGGTGTCGCGGCGACTATTGTGGGCGCTATTATCGCTAGATGCCTCGCTGGCTGTGTCGGGGATTGCAAGAGCAAGGTCAATCCGACGCGTGAATTTTGCTTTCGGGGTTGGCTCTTGGGGACTCGAGACAGCTTCCTTGGGACTTGAAGTCGGGGGAACAGAATCGACGTTAAGATTACTAGCTGGCAATCCGCTTTTGATGTGTCCATGAGTGGTCTCCCGCGAGGAGGATCTAGTAATCGGCCCACCCTTCAGTTGCGGAGTGGGGTTCAAGGAATTCATGTTGAGTTGACCGACGAGTTTCTCGGCGCCCATCAAACTAGGCGCGGTTCCACCGAATGGCACCGCCGGGAGGGAAATAATCGAGTCGTTGGGATCGTCGCTCATCATCGACTCACCGGAAGAGAGAAAGTCAACTTGAAAATTGTTAGCGTCGTAGGCATCCATATTGCCAAGTGCGTGAGAGCTCCGCAAAGCCGAGGGGCAAACTTCGCCAAACAAACGTTTGGCATGATTATCCACTACCGCTTGCCCATCTTGGAAACTCTCAATATTTGGAAGGCTAGGGTAGGGTACATGGGTGGGAATGTACTCGATACGGGGCCGTTTGGAGATTGCTTCACTGCTAGTACCATCTTCACCGTCGGCTTCGGGGACGTACCCCAGACCATCGGCGATAGACAATTGTGAAGCGTCTAGCTCGTCCTCAGGATCTTCGCCAATGACTGAAAGCCCGTCGTGGTGGTCAGAGAGCAAGTCATCATCATCCTCGTACTCATCCACATCAGGGACCTCGGCGATCCAAGGGTGCTGGAAACACTCCTTCTCTGTCGGACGAGAGAAAGGGTCCCGGTTGAGAAGCTGGGCGACAAAGTCGATCCCAGACTCAGAGACACCTGCGCGACGTAGTGCTTCGAAATCAGCGTCACTTGTCATGATGGTACGAAGCATCTGGACACCTCGATCTTCTGCACGTCCGGAATACGGTGGAACGCCGGACAAGATATGGAAAAGAACTGCGCCTAGCGACCACATGTCAACAGATTGGCTGTACGGGGATGTTTTGGGAGGTCTTTCAATATTAGCAGAGGTCTCTCGCGTGAAAAAGGAAACTAGCCACTTACGGGTCTCCAAGGCGACGCCTTTTTCGAACCTCCCCACGACGATATTGATCATAGTCCGGGTACACCTCAGGCGCACAGTACAGAAGTGTTCCGCAAAATGTCTTGAGAAAGGTTTCTTGCTCTACCACTTTGGATAATCCAAAGTCAGATAATTTTACCCTAAGCGGGTCGAGAGAGGCAATCAGGATGTTGTCCGGTTTGATATCTCGATGGGTTATGCGACGCTTATGCAAATAGTGAAGCGCTCGTAGTACTTGTCGGGCGATCGTTCTCACCATATCCTCGGCAATTCTCCCCTGGGTCTGCAGCAATGTCGATAGCTCGCCACATGGAACATACTCCATGATGATATAGATCCATCGATCATGCTCGTGGTGATCGATGTATTGAACAATATTCGGCTATAACTGGTTAGTTGTATCACGAACAAGGAAACTGCAAAATATTGCTTACATGTGTGAGATCTCTCATGATTTTCATCTCATTGTCAACCTTTTGATCAAGAATACCGTTTTTCATGAAGCGGCGCTTGTCGAGTTCCTTTGCGGCATAGATGGCGCCATGTTGCTTGGTTGCAATCTTGTACACAGTAGCGAAAGCACCCTTTCCAATCTGACCAGTTACATTGTACTCAGCACCACCGGTCCAATGCATGCCATAGGCGTTGGTGGATGACCACGCTAAAGCAGACGTACTGGGACCCTGTCGTTCTTTATGCGCCGGGGAATGTGCACGAACTCGCTCAAAATAGTGAAACAAGTTCTGGTGGTATTGGACGGCGAATCCTTCTCGTGACGGAATTCGAACAACGAAACGGATCTCGTCGGAGTTTTTGAATCCAGCGGAGACTTGAATAATAGATCCATTCGTAAGCATTCGAGAATTCTCCTCCTGAGATTTTCGTAGGCGGCAATTGTCCACGATGGTACCATTTGTTGACGTATCTTGGAGCATGAGAATGCCGTCCTCGGTTAAGTATATGCGAAAGTGGTTGTTCGACACTTGTTTAGCGCGATCATCAACACTGAGAAGGACGTCACAACGAGACCGATTGCGACCGAAGCAGAAGCCGAGTCCCAGATTGTGAACTTTAGACGAGAGTCTCAATGCCAAGTCTAATGCTGCTGTGTGAGAGGATTCACTCTCCAGTATGTCCCTTTGGAGGATATGCTGGGCACCTATCCCCCCAGTGGCAGCAACCGCATCATGAGCACTATGCGAATTCGGATGAAGGATACAAATGATGTCGGCCAGGTCTTGATCTTGGATGCCAGAGTTATGCATTCCCATTCGGCGAGGATCAGCGCATGGCTGGGTGGATTCCTGGGTGGCCTCCATTATGAGGATGAGTGAAAGTGCAAATGAGGGTGCTAGGAGAATGAATAAGAAATGAACTACAGGTACAGATCCGATAGGGCAGGGTATATGTGCTGCGAGGCCAGCAAAGGGAATGTGCATAAAAATGTCATTAATGTCGTAGACTTGAGATATAATATGTCAGTGAGGTTGCACCAAAAAGGGAAGGGCCAGGGAGGGTTTGTATAAGTACCTCGAGAGAAATAAGGCTTGGGCGCAAGGAACCACACACCCGGGCGAAACTGGGCAACCTTGACGATGATATGATTCAGGACCAATGAGTCATTCACCAGGGTGCATATGTCGCCTGGCAAGCGGATTGATCACAAGTGTTTTGCTGGGTGATCACAAGGAGTGAACAGGCAACGGGTGGGTGATGTGTAAATGTATGCCTTGTTGAGTGGGGTGTCCCTCTCCAGCTATCCTCAAAGCCAGTGTTGATCAACACAGATTATGAGGTTGCCCGTGGAATGGATGTCAGATTATCCAGCTCTGGTCCCAACGCCATAAGAATACAGAGCTTGATTGTTGGTTTCAAGATGTCAACCGGTGGAGGATACCGGACTTTGTCAAGATCTCGTGCGATGAGGAGCTACCCAATCGTGCTTCTAGATTCACAACGATCGAATTAAGCAAGGGAATGTGATTCAGCGATTTCGAAACGACCGGGAGGTATGTCTGTGAAATTGCATTCCAGCAAGTTAGCAAACGTCTTTCGGAAGCTTGAAGAGGCCTTTGTTTAGCCTGGACTCGAGATCTAGGCTGAACTTACACAGCTTGGAAAATGCCCTATCAACCTGTCCACGGCGGGTAAAACTGAGAGGGCGGACAGATAAAAATGGGGATGCCGGGACAGAGCAAAATGGGGCTCCTTTGAAGGTCGTCGTCCAAGGAACAAGACCAAGAAGCAGCCGCAACAATCGAGATTTGGTTCCTGAGGCAATAACGCGTTCCTGAGGCGCGGAGGCTCCTTACTCATCAGGCAGCAGGCGCGTTGATTGGCCACACGGGAAATAGCGGGAACCAACCGTGGAATTAGTGCCAAGTTCAATCTATGAGGAAAATACTCCACACACACACATTGTACATAAGACATAATGTATAGATCGTGAAGTCTTCATATCTATATTAAATTCGGTTATTATTTACTTAAATCTATTTAGTTCCATATGGCTTGCTAGTATCTTCACTTCGTTTGAAATCACCCTTCAGCGCAGTATCAAACACTTGTTCCAGCCGTGCAATCGCTTCGTCAGATACCTCTGTGACAGGTCAGAATTCGAGTCATGCATCAGACATGAGGCAGATTGAGGAAGCACTTACGGTAATGGACCACCACGCGGCCACCCATCAATTTTAACCCTTTTTGCTGTCCAATCTCTGCCAGGTCATTTGGCCCCACTCCGGACGCCTCGAGGTCCAACCAAACCATATTAGTATGCAGGGGGTACTGCAGCTTGCCACCACGGCTAGTCCACAGATTGGCTACATGCTTCGCCTTCTCATGCGTTGCTGCAAGCTTTCCAGTCTGGCCTTTAGGGTCCGTGCCGAAAGTTTCAGTGAGTGCAACGCGAGCGGCAGCAGCAATCACACCCGTCTGTCGCGCACCGCCACCAATAGATTTCCGGAACCAGCGCGCTTTATTGATAAACTCTTGGGAGCCGACAATAATACTTCCAATGGGTGCCCCAAGCCCCTTTGAAAAGCAAAGACTAACGCTATCAAAGAGGCTCGTATATTCGGGCAAGCTCCCAGCACCGGCCACAACGGCCTCCCACAACCGGGCACCATCTAGGTGAACTTTGATGTCATGAGCGTGAGCCCATTCCACAATCCGCTTCACCTCAGCGAGCGGCATAATCATTCCATCGAGGGTATTCTCCAAACTGATCAACTTGGTTGGGCAATAATGAATATTGTCACTAAGAACTGCATGCTTTTTGATATCTTCCAAAGTCAAATACACCCCATTTTGTGGGATAACAGGGCTGACAGTAGCACCAGTCCAGGCACTCACACCACCTGCCTCATAACAAATGATGTGAGATCTATGATCACACAACACTGAATGAGGTGGCTGCGCGAGATGCGAGCGAATGGCCACCTGATTTCCCATTGTACCGGAAAGGACCAACAAACTCGCTTCATGCTTGGCGATCTCGGCAACATAGCTCTGCAGGTCATTGGTCACCGGATCCTCATTGAAAACATCGTCCAGAAGAGTTGTTTGGCAAATCGCTTCGAGCATCGATGGCGTAGGCTTCGTCATTGTATCGCCTGAGTCAGATCAGCCTCAAATCCATCTTATCTTTCCCGATTGATTCATACTTCGGAGGTCGAACTCGGCAGCTCCAGCCCCATGCCAGGCGGTAGGCTTCTTGTTGTTGCCAATGGCTGCCGAGCCATGAGCCATGGCATCAGTTGAGAGTTGGGACATAGCAATGAGAGGGAAATTTTTCCGTCCTTGCAGTTGTGTAAATCGACACGCCGAGGAAGAGCGACGGAACAAACAGAAAGAGCGATTCATGAGTTTTGTGACCTTGAGCACAGATCCATTCAGGGAAATGGGGAAAGAGGGGAGATGACACGTGATTCGGAGACACTGCGATTGTTATCCCGAGGGGTTTGCAGGGTTTGCATCCCCTCGGCAGCCTCAGGCCTCACTCCGTGAGGAGTGCCTAAGGGTAGGCGAGCTAGTAAGTCTGGCCGTACATAGGAATACGGGGTTTCTATTAGTTAAGAAGCGAGGGACTGTATAGGATTATACAATCTATCTATATATAACTATAGCGTAGCTAATACTATCTAATAGAAACTATACAATCCTTTCAGAATCTTATCTAGTAGTATATTATATTAATAGCCTCGCTTTCTATAGCGAGCTAGCGAGCTTACTTACTAGTAGGAACCTAACCCCGCTATAGGCTCTACTAGATCTAAGAGATACTTTAGAAGTACCTCTAGGAAGCTAGGTAGGCCTTGACAAGTCACGCGGTACCAACCAATTTTGGTAACGTTGCTCGGTATCGCGGGGTACCGCGTGACTTTATAGGTTTTGGTACCGTTACTCGGTCTCGGTACCGTATAGTGCTGCGGTACTAACGGTAGTCTCTATATAGTACCGTTCCTATATAATTTGCTAAGATACTACCTATTTAGGTTATATAAAATGCTATATAAGTCGATAAAATACTATTCTTTATAAGTGTATAAGCTATATCTAGATTCTAGACCTAAGTCTTTTATCTTTATAATCAGGATTTAGTAACTATTTACTAATATAAATATTTAAAACTACCTATTTTTACTTTAAAAAAGTACCTAAAGGTATAATTATTAATATATATTATTATTACTTTCTTTTCTATATCTATATTATTCTTTATATTTAGTATTTAGGTATATAGATCATTCTTTAGACTAAGTTAAGTAATAATAATATATTAATATATATATCTAGAACGTTTCTAGGGTTTTATCCTTCTACTATATTTTATACTATATTAAGCTTCTATACTTTAGACTATATACTATATCTTAATTTATACTTATAATATAAAGTTATTAAATATTACTAGGTAAGTATAATTTCTAACTATAGTTAAAGACTAGGATAAATATAATTTCTAACTACGGTTAGAAATTAAGTCTTTAACTAAAGTTAAAATATAGAATTATTTAATAATAACTTAGCTAAAACCTTCTACCTCTAGACTAAGGGACTAGTATAGACCTTAAAAATCCCTATTCCTATAGTATTAAAGAAGGTACTACGTTACTCCTATATTACTTCTATAGTACTCCTACGGTATGTTACGGAACTACCCGTCACTAATCGATGGTACCCCACCGGGTGCACAGATGGGCCACTGAGAGCCAACCAATCTATCTGTCAGCAGATCACGTGCAGTATCTAATACTCTGGTATCCCTAGGTATTCAGGAAAGAGAAAACCTATTCACACTTAGTAAGCAAAAGCATGATTAAGCCTGATCAGACTCCCTACTAGGAGGTTTCCGGTATATATATACTTTAGGATATCGGATATCACCTACACTAGGAATCGCTGCACACAGAACTAGGGATACGTGACTGTGACTCCCGCGTCGACTTAGAGAAGTATATGTAGGAGTATATAGCGACTCTAGTAGTGACTCTAGGGAGTCACGCTAGGAGTAGGAATCGAAAGATATATAAGGACACTTATTTATATACTTAGTTCAGTTCTTTGTCTTTAATTATATATTATTACTTATATTTACCTTTTAGACTACTATAACTCTTTACTTGATTATAACTTAATAATACTTACGAGTAGACTAATACCCTAGTATAGATCTACTTAGCGCTTTTACTAGTATCGTTCCTCGATCTCTTAATAGGACTTAGGCTATAGTAAGGCCTTATAGGTAATAGCTTAGTTATAATAGATTGTTAATGTTAGATATATAAAGAGTATTAAAGTAAGTATACCTAGAACCTATCTAACCTAACTGTGACTAGTTAGTAGTGTATAATATATTAAAGACTGTTTTAAATTAAGTTTCGAGTTATAACTACTAATATATCTTAACTTAGAAAGAAAGTCCTAACTAAGCTAGTTTAGGACGATAACCCCGATTCTAACGCTAAGAGAGATAATAGGATTAAGATACTAAAGGAGTAGGTAAAGACTTTATTAAATAAACTTTAAGAGTAAGAAAAGTATAATACCTAGGTTAAGGACTATTTAGTATAAATATATACCTAAGTCACTGCTTTAGTACTAGTTAGTACTATCTAAAGGCTAGCGTTACCTAAGGCTAAGTATTTTAAAGGAAACTAAACTAAGCTTCGAGGATTCCTTACTTAGATAGATATATACTTTAACGTAAATAAAGCTAAGTTTCTATCTGAAGCTAATAGGGTGATTTTTATATTAACTTACCTATATAGATAAGTATAGAACTAGCTTAAACTATATATTTAAGATTATTATAAGAAAGTATTAGGAGATTAGTTTATAACTACTATAGATATCTTTAGTAACTATAATAAGTTCTACTAATATCTTAAGCAAACCTTTAGAGATATTAATGTAACCTAAATAGCTAAATATAAGCTATAGAAAATCAAATAATAAACTAGTATATTAGTCTATACCTCCGAATTCTAGTAAATTATATCCTATTTAGATCTACCTAACTAAGTATATATTCTATACTTCGAGGTAGGACTTAAACTAGATATTAAGAATAAATTAGTATAAATTAATAGGCTTAAAACCTTAGACTAACTTATTATAATTATAGTTAAGATTAACAATTATATTAACAAGTAATGATACGAACGCTAAGAGATAGACTAATAGAAAAAGGGTAAGAGTTATAGATTTAGCTATTTTAGTAATAGGCGCTGTGATAGAGTGCTCTAAGACCTTAATCTATATAGCTTAAAGCTAATAGAATTAAATGCTACTTAAGATAAGTAAAATAAGCGTTAATAGAAGAATCTCTATTTTATATATAGGAAACTAGGATACTATATAAGAGAATATAAGCAGAAGAAACTATATAAGAAACGGTAATATATATAGGTAATATATAAAAAACTGTATATAATCTAAGAAACTAAATAGGACTATCTAAAAATAGAATCTTTAGAAGATCTCTTAGTAAGATAGAGTAACCTAAGCCTAGAAGAGATATTAGTAGGTAACCTATATATTAAAGGGTTAGCTAATAAGTTATATATTAATTACCTAGAAATTAACTAGGATACTATAGAAAGCTAGGGATAGACCTAGTATATCCCTTAGGAGCTAGACTACTCCTTAAAATAGTCTAGTAACTCCTAGGAATAAGAAGTAGGTCTCCTAAGAACGCTAGTTACGACCTTTAGAACTACTAATAGTCTAGGAATAATAAATATATTCCTAGGAAGTGACTAAATAATCCTAGAAATACTACTAGATAGTCTTAAGAACTATCGAAATAATAAAGAGGCTGATAATAAGCCTATAGGATATCTTAAAGGAAAGATATAGCCTAGTAGACTAGACTAGTACTTTATTAATATAATTAAGGAAGGTGACGACCTAGTAGGATACCCTTATAAAGATTCTACTTATATATATAAAAGATATATATAATACCTAAGATATAGTAGAATAGCTAGCGTTATATACTACGATAAGATATATACTACTTATAGGACTAGTAAGTTAGATCTTAGTATCAAACCTTAGCTACTAAAGTAGATAAAGAAGCTATAATAGAACTAAGAGTACTAAGGGGTATAGTATAATAGCTAATAGATATATAACTACTAGGGCTGTCTAATAGTATAGCTAGTAGTAACTTTATTAAGAATATATATTAAACTATATATAATCCTACTAATAAGAAAGGCTTAGACTCTTATTAACTTAGGAGTAATAAATAATTTTATAAACCCTAGGTTCTAAGAAACCTAATAAGTCCTTACTAAACTATTATTATATATTATCCCTATTATAAGACTTAATAGAGAAGTCCTCTTTAGTAGAGTAAGCGAGGAAACTATTATACTACTAATATCTGTTTATAGATATTTAGAACTGATTAAGTTTAATATTCTAGAAATAGGAGACTATAATATTATTTTAGGAGTTCTATGGCTTAGAAAGTATAACCTAAGTATTAATTAGTAGTTAGGATAGATTACCTTCGATAGGTATAAATATATAGAATAGTATAATAACTATAAAACGTATTAGAAGAAGTCTGGCTAATAGGGTAAGAATAGATAGTCCTAGAAGAAGAGGACTAGGGTATTAGTTATAGGCGTCGCCTTAGATACTATAGAATAGTTACCTAGTATATCTAACTAAGAACTAGTAGAATACGTGATTATTAAAAATAAAAAGCTATATATAACTAGTGACGAACCTTAGATTCTAAATAAATACTAGGAGTTTATAGATATTTTTATAGTACCTACTAACAAAGTGTTACCTAAATATAGGCCTTTCGACTATAAAATTAATATAATAGAGGGTATTAAACTTACTTTTAAACTTATCTATTAGTTATTATAGAAAGAATCCTAAATACTTAAGGAATATATTAATAAGAACCTATAGAAAGGTTATATCCAAGCCTCGAAGTTATTAGTTAGATACCTAATTATCTTTATACTAAAGAAAGATAGGAGCCTTTAACTTTATATAGACTATTAATATCTAAATTCGATTACTATTAAAGACTAATACCTATTATCTTTAATCTATAAGATATAAGACTAGATTAGAGGAGTAAAGTACTTCTTAAAATACGATATTACTAATATATATTACTATATTAGAATTAAGCTAGGCTATAAATAGAAAACGGTATTTAGAACTAAGTTTAGATACTATAAATATAAGGTTATACCCTTTAGCCTTACTAATGTATTAGCTATATTCTAACGCTTTAT